AATGCTGAATCGGAATACCCCACCCACCCCCAATCGGTTGAGCCACTCAGCGGTCGACCCCCGACCTAAACACCGCTGCGAGCTTGTCTATTGTGGACTACTTGCTTAGGAATAAGTTCATCTCTGATGCTCCTCTTTTGCTTAGTACGTGGTCACCCGGTCTCCTGACCCTTAAGATCGATCAAATGACAACGCCACGACTTCTTTTAAAAGTGACTATTAACATGTAAGATCGTTCGAACCCGAGTAAACCTCGTAGACATGTGTAAATTCTGTACCCAACCTTCCTCGGCGCTACAGTGCAGCAATTTGCCAGTTGTATTGGTCAATAGATATACACGAGCAGTTGTTCACACTGTTACCACAGGTCCAGTAAGCTCAGCAGGAATGTTTCGGCACTTTTTTTCAAACAAGGTGTTTGGGAGCTCGTAGGAAGCAACGCCGTCCGTGGGTTAATGGCTCGCACCTCAACGAAAAATTTACGCAAACCGATTCAGACACAAAATATAGCATTTGAAATGGATTTCATACGAGTGACGAGAAAAAAACGAAACATCTCGTGGATAGACTTCGACAGGTCGAGCAACGAACAACATCATCATTCATAGCCACCATGGTGCTGACAGCATCGGTATGTATCTTGGCCACCGCTGTAACTCGCTGTGGGCCGCAGTTATATTTTCGCGTCTGCTGAATGGATTGCTGATGTTAGGCACACCAGTAATTTAGCGGATTTCACTCTGGGATACTTCGGTGCGGAATCCCCTTTGGGATACTTGGTGTGTTTTATTCATGGGGAAGGGAGTTGCGCCGGTCATTGCGTCGAATGTTACTTGTCATCCATAGCTGGGGTCGAAGGAGGAGTTTCTGTCTTGTTATTGATACAGAGAGGAAGTGGTGTGGGATGGTTCACGTCTGGGATCTGCTTGTTCCGATCGCCAGGCGTGTACACGTAGAGTCTTTGCATCATGCGCTACCGAGCCATAAAGATACGTGATAGTATAGCCGATTGACAGGACTTTCAAGAACAACACTGTGTGGGAAGATGCCTGTGTATTCTCGTGGCCCACAGTACTCGGTACAATTGGATTTCTGACGATGGTCGACAGCTCTGACCCAAGACGCGCCATCTTAGAGCTATTCGTACGCCCCCAAAACGTGCTTGAGGTGAAAATCGCGGGGGGGGGCAGCTCAAACGAGACTAGACACTCGTGCAATGCAATAAAGTAGAAGCAGCGTGCAGATCAGTTTAAGTTGGAAGTTGTGGTGGTCCAATGCCAAGGACTAGAGCTCTGCAGACATGTAGCAGAGAGACTTACATACCCCCGTGGCGTTTCCGATACCTCCGCTCTTGTGATCGCCGAAAAGCTACGCTGGCGCATCTTGACCGTCAACGGTGGATAAGAGAGTGCGAGTTCGTTTGTTGCTATTAACTGTTGAATAACCATTCCTCTCAACGACGGGGGCAAACATAGGTACCACTCAAGGAGACTTGTTACTTCGCTGGAGTTCCTTCAATCTGCTCCGCACAAGCTGCCAAAAAATATCTTCAGCAGCAAGAAGTCGACCGCCCCGAGCACGTAGCCGAAAATTGGCCCACCGGTCGTTGTACAGAACGTTGGCTCGATGTATACGCCTTCATCGTCGCCATAGTGATCAAGTAGACAGATCCCACGCCATCAGCGATTGCAGATCCCTACTACGAAACTTTCGGAATACCGTACCTCACAGAAAGAATGGTATTGCCATTTCAAGACCTTGGGCAATCTTTTTGAAATTGAAACGTAATTTTAGCCTATCAAAACGCATATAACTGAAAAATATTTACAGAAAGAAAGCATTTTCGAAGAAAATGAGAGCTTTTTAACGGTAATTGGAGTGCCAAATGAGAAAGACCAAAAGTGATCTTTGTGTGAGGTATGGTAATAATATAATAGTACATTTTGAGTTCTGAATGATTTAATCTAACAATTAAACCATTTAGAGCTCAAAATAGTATTATGTTTAAAAACGGTTATTGTTTAGTATTTTTTCTTAACCCTAACATTTTATGCTCATTGTATTTTTTGCAGTTGCATTTTTAGCTAAATGTTACTTTTGGGCTATATGTTAATACAGTACTGTACACGGCTACAGATTGCAAGCGTAAATGACGCTGCAAATCTGCACGGAGTGTTTTATTTACGGTGGTATTTTACTGAGATAGCTAGTGTACCGTAAGGTATGCTGCTACGCAGCCGGCACAGGATTAGCATGAAGCCGTGCGTGTAACGCATGCGTTTAAGTATTCATCATATATTGAAATATTATAAAAGTAAACTTAATAGGTAATCTGAATAATTACCTAGTCGGTCTCTATCAATGAAGAAGCATCAATCGCATCATCAAGTTTCATTCGAATAATTTCCAGTTCTCACGCCTGAAGACGCAGCAACATCAGGGTGAATTTACAGCACGAAGGTAAGAATAGTCGTCTGCTTGGGAGGGCGTTGCTGCAGCTTATAACTTGCTTATATTTGGTTATTAATACAGCGCGGAGGCAAGAAAGCAAATTGATATTATCGTAAGTGTGTTATTGTACTTAAAGGTCTGATTATCTGGTAGATGTGGATGCTCATAATATAAAAGCACAGCGCGGGCGACTGGTGCGCCGCAAGTACGGCGCGCCTAAGTCGTGTGCGCTGTGCGTTTATCTGTTTTGTTTATTTTTGCTATCTCAGCCCCCGCGAAGCCCTAGTTTGTTTTCCCTTGTTCTACAAGTATGATTAATCACACACAGTATCAAATATAAGAGTTATTAAACTGTTTTAAAATAACAAGTATTTACTTAAGTAATGTTGTTAACGCTTGCCATCGGCGTTTGATGCAGTCGCGTCTGTACTGTACATGTAATTCGCAGATCACGATGGTAAGACGACGCGGCTCGCGTCGAATGGACGAAAAGTGGCACTCCACAATGTGCAGTGCACATGTATTGAGCTTTGCAAACGTTTTGTCGTTTTGACTTGGAGATCTCCTCGACTTAAAATACATGTACATGCAAATCGAGGTCAGATCAAAGAAAGGGACATATCGATCTGTTTAGGCCAGCTGAGCTTCGACAATCCAAATCAGGGCTCCAGGTCGATCTCCTGGTGGATCTGAACGATAGTGGCTGCTTGCACCGGGCCAGCCTGTATTCTTTTTATGAGTAAGAGATCTTGAGATGTGCTTAGAGCTACAGCTGGTGATTTGACGTTCAACACTCCAAAATCGGTGAAGGAACTCCTTCATTTGCGTAAAGGACGAGAAGGAGGCAAGCGGACGTCGGCAGGTGCGAGGCCGTCGAAATGCAAGCCCCTGCTAGCTAGGAGAGGGTGTGCGTGTGTGCTAAGATCATGGTATCATTTGCGTGTTAGCTGGGGGGGAGTTGTGCGCACAGGGCCAACACAAGCACGCGGTATTTGCGGAGGGGGGCCCTGCACCGAGCTTTCCAGCGCCTCGTGCAGTACTCGGCTCGCTAGACTGCTTGGCGCGGGGGCGTCCAGCCAAGCGCAGCCCGGCAGGCAACATGTTGTGGTAACAAGTAGTTGGCACTAAACATTAAAGTAGATCCAGCGTGTGTTGCTTAGCGCCTCGAAGCACTTTTGACAGTACTGTAGCTACTTCAGACTACACGCAATGGTACAGTAACATACAGAATACAGCATTTAGTGCAGCTCAGCCGCTTGCTCTCGAACCGAAGTGATATGTAGTGTTACTGTGAGGACACTTAGACCCAAGGACTTGGCGATCAAGTCCTCCAACTCGGTGGCCAAATTGACCAGACTTGGCCACTTGGCCCATGCTCGTGCTGGTGCTCGCTCGGTTGGTTGGTTGCTGGCAGCAACTTGCTGCCAACTTGGTTGGAACGTCCAACCAACATACGGAAATGTTCTCGACAAAAACAGAGTGTCAGCCTATTCTTTTACCGTGCACCGGGCCAGTCGGTGTGGCCCGGTGCACCACGCTGCACCGACTGGAGCTGACCCGGTGCAAGTATCCTCTGTCGATCTGAACAGAACGAGCTCGATCTACGGCAAATCGACCCCTTTTGCGTTTTCAAACGCGCAATTCGAGGTCGATCTACGTAAATCGAGGTCGTCCATGCTACCGCCTCTGTTTTGTGCCCTGATTTGCCTTCCTCGATCTACTAATACTAAGTAGGCCATAAAACGGGGCGGTATTTTATCTGCAAAGCGCAATACATGTATTAATACATGTACAAGAGAGCAAGAATTTTGCTGTCATGTTGCAATAAAAGTGAAGTACATTTTCGCTTTACACAAGAGTACCTCCTTAGCTGGTGCATGAGTGGTATCGAAGTGTTAGCAAAACGACCACCAAACCGCAGTAATGCGATTATTATAGGATCGCCCATACATGTACGGTACATGTAATCGCACCAGTGCTCCGCCATACCGGCTGTTCCGAAATGAAAATGTTAGTCTATCATGTGCCTCAAGTCACTAACGCTACGCAATTGGATCTCAATTAGATGGTCGAATCAACTAAAACGTGTATTGCATCTTTGACTCCCTTCAAGGCAATCCATGGTCGAGTTGATGCGAGGAACTTCTTCAGAGGCTTCGACTCAAAGTTGCAATTGGGAGCGACGCCCTGTGGCATTCCTACCCGCCAGCCACACGTTTGGAAAACAACTTGCGATGGGGATGATTAAAAGCAAATCTGCTCGTCGAATCGCTGCTAAGAGAAACGCGGTTTCACGATCCTGGACTCGGCCCGCTGGAACGCTAGGTGCTTGCAAAATGGCCGTAGACACTCTGTACGATCTCACGAACGAGAGCTACCGACGGTGCCTTGGTAAGGCCCTTACCGGGAGTGGAGCAATCTCTGTGAGAACGGGCAGTTTGAAGGGAGAGGCATTGGCCCGGCAACATGAACTCCCGACTCAGCATCGATCACTTCTGCATTTGCCCTCAAGCACTCAAGTCCCCACCAGCTCGACACAAGGCAAAACCATGGTTGTTTCCGTCGCCAGCGCCAGCCGCGCGATCTTCGCCGTGTGCTCGCTCATCACTGCCCAAGCTGCCGCGGTCCCCGCCGACGTCGGCCCGTGCCTCGACAAGGCCGGCATCGAGAACTCGGTGCCCAAGACCACGACGTGGACGATGGACATCCAGCCGTGGAACTCGCGCATTAACCCGCAGCCTGCGGCCGTTGCCTTCCCCAAGACGGAGGCTCAAGTATCGGCCGCGCTCAAGTGCGCCGCCTCTGCTGGCGTGAAGGTGACGACTCTGGGAGGCAACCGCTCGTTCTCGAGCATGGGTTTCGGCCGCAACAACGACGCCCTTGTCATGAACCTCAAGTACCTGAAGCACCTCAAGTACGACGCGTCCACTGGGCTTCTGTCGTACGGTGGTCCCGTCATGATCTCGGAGACCGCCAAGTACATGTGGGGTTTCAAGCGCACGCTTCCCCACGGCCGTTGCCCTGACGTCGGCATGACCGGTGTGGCCGCCTCGGGCTTCGGCACCCTCTCACGTGCCGCTGGTACGGTGCTCGACAACATTGAGGCCGTCCGTGTGGCCCTGGCCAACGGTTCCATTGTGGACGCCAGCGCCAAGCAGAACGCCGACCTGTTCTGGGGCGTGCGTGGTGCCGCCAGCTCCATGGGCGTGGTGCTGGACTTCAAGATCAAGACGATGGCGCCTCCGTCGCAGACTGTGACGAACTACACCATCGCCTTCAACAAGAGTGCTAAGCCGACTCAGCAGGACAACGTCGATGCCTTCATCGGCACACAAAAGTGGGCCCTGAGCGCCGACAACAACGACCTGCTGTCCATCCGCTTCAGCCTCAAGACCAAGTCCACGCTCCAGGGTTTCTTCTATGGATCGTCCGCGCAGGCCAAGACTGTGTTCGCCTCGCTCATGAAGAACCTGCCGTCGTCGATGGTGCTCACGACTACCGAGGAGGACTTCTGGACGTCCGAGGCCTACTCGACCCCCGGCCTCATCGAGCAGACCATGTCTCCTCGCCGCTACTTCTACATCGCATCGGTCACGATTCCCAGCGCTACCCCGCTCACCAACGCCACGGCCTGGGAGCTGTTCTCCAGCACTGCTTACGCTCCCGCCCTTCCTGACGCTACGGCCTCTGGCTTTGTGGACATCTGGGGCGGCAAGTACGCCAAGGGCGTGAAGGCTGACGCGTCGGCCTGGAAGCACGACAACCGCCTGCACCTCATCCGTTGGGACATCCGTACGCCGACCTTCGACGTCAAGTTCGCTGACAGCACGATCACTACGATGCGCAGCAAGTTCTACAAGTTCGTGGACGCTTACAAGGCTTCGGGCGGCGTGCCCGGTGGCTTCACGACGTACCGTGACGAGCGCTGGACGATCAAGGAGATGGCCGAGTACCTGTACGGCGGCGGCAACTTCGCCAAGCTGCAGCAGATCAAGACCAAGTACGACCCGAAGGAGATGTTCAACACGGACCCTCAGGCCATCCCCGCTCTGGCTTAGACGCCCAGATAGATCCCAAACGTAAAGACGTTTCGGCCGAGAACGTCGCGTCAACTTACAGTATGAATGTGTAGTGAGCCCCAGAACCTTAACAAATGAAGAGGAGCCACTCTGGTGTGCTCGCGTTGTGATCATTAACGCGTGTTGTATGTAGTACGTGTACTTGAGTAGGCCATATGCAGATTTTCAGTCATTTACAGCAGTGTGTCAATCTTTTGATTACAACTTCAACACACTGCCTAACGGCCTTCCCAAATTTCGGGAAGGCTATTCGATGGTATTTTGGGAAAAGCGCGTGTGGTCATCAATCAACCGACTGACGCACGTCCTTCAGCTTAATAATGCTGTCGGCCAGGTGCGTCTCCCGGCGCGTGTGGACGCTGGCGCGCGCGCCGTCCAGCGTGGCCTCGTTCGCCAGCAAGCGGCGCTCACGCAGCAATGGCGGTGGTGGTGGTAGCACGCCGCTGTCCTCCGGGGGCCAGAAGCAGCGCCAGCAGTTCAACCGCCTGCGGGCCTCGCTGGCCACCGAGACGCTGCAGCACATGCCTCTGCCTACGCCCACGCAGGTGCCGACTCCGGAGCAGCCCGTAGCCGCGGTGCCGCTGGACGCGGACGGAAAGAAGCGTCTCAAGGAATTCGCGCGCATGCTGCGCCGCAAGGAGGCGCGGCACGCGCGCGTCAAGCACCTGCCGCTGTTCCGGGAGGGCTCGCCGCTCTTCCGCCGCTTCGGCGAGAGGACGCTCGGGGACTACGACAATCTGCCTACGACCAGCTTCGACGGACCCATCGCTGTCATCCACTCGGAGCTGGAGGAGCAACCGCACGCCGAGTATTTGAGAGAGCAGAAGGTGGTGGGCGTGGACACGGAGGCCAGGCCCGACTTCCAACCACTCAAGGGCAAGAAGGGCAACCCCGTTTGTCTAATCCAAGTCAGCACGCTGGACAGAGCCTTCATCTACCGGCTGCAACGCGGCAAACCGCTGCCTCCGGTGCTGCAGGAGCTGTTCGCAGACCCAGGTGTGCTCAAAGTGGGCCACTCGCTGAGCGACGACTTCCGCCAGCTGAAGGCAGCGGACCTCGTAAATACCGTCAACTCGACCGTGGATACGCTGTACATTGCACACAAGCTGGGCTGCATGCGGCCTGGGCTCAAGACGGCGTGTCAAGTGTTTTTGGGTGGGTCTCTGGATAAGGAGATGCAGGTTTCGGACTGGGAAGCGCCTGTACTCAGCGAGGCGCAGATCAGCTACGCGGCTACAGACGCGTGGGCGCCGTTGAGAGGTGGGTTGCTATGGTGTGGATTAAAGCGGGATAGTTCGAGGCTCTTATGTTTTCCTTCGGCTTTGTGTATTTGCCAGTCCTGCTCGCTATGATTCAGCTGAAGGATACAAAGGAGCTCTTACGGACCAAAAGCTACAACTCGTCCGCCCAGACGCTCGTGAACGAGGATCATGAAGCACTGCTAGGAAAACTGCTTTCATTTGCCTTGAGCCACCGGATACCCGAGATGGAGTGAGTTGCGGCCACAGCACATTTTGACTAATCCAATAGAACTTCATGGTGTTTGTAGAGAAATCGTTACCCTGGTTTCGCCTATCAAACTGTTAACAGGCAAACAATTACAAAGTCACGTCCAAACCACAACAACAATCTTGCTCTTAGTGGCGTTTGGGAGATGAAGCAGTGCACGGGAGGCTTGGTAATGGGAGAAACCTTTTTTCCCAGCGCGGCACCAGCCGATACGTCGACAACGAGATACTGGCTTCAAGTCAACACCGCGCGATGAAGGCATCATTCGTGACAGCACTATTATTGTTGCCAGCAATAGCGCTCGCGCTGCCGATGCTATCATGCCTAAGCAATTGTGGACGGATTCTCCGCGGCCGAGGTGATCGGCCAGATAGGGCAGCTACAGACCTGAGCACCGTTGTGAATTTGGCCACTCGAACGCTCAATGAGACTGCAGCGTGCACGTTAGCCAAGCTCAACGCTGGGTCCTAGTTCAACACGTACTGGTGGAACCAACCCATCAATGGGACCTACAGCTACCCCGCCAGCGAGTTTCGCGACATTATTTGTATCCGACGCATTCAGACGACCACGATGAAAGAGAACGGTGGTCACCCCATAATCTACGGCATTGATGCCATCCACGGTACTGGGTACGTTACGGGCGTCGTGATGTTCCCGCATGAAATCAACAGCGGCGCGAGCTTCGACTTCGACTTAATCTACGAGGTGGGTCAAGCCACTGCCCGCGATACTGAAGCCGCCGGACTGTCGTGGATCTTTGGCCCAATTCTCGACATTGCACAGCACTCGCTCTGGTCGCGCAACTACGAGACGTTCGGCGAGGATCCGTACCTGGCCTCGGTCATGGGGCCCTCTAACATCCGCGGGTTGCAAAGCTACAACCAGACTGCCGCGTGCGTCAAGCGCTTCATTGGGTATTGCAAGACGCCAACAGGTCACGACCGCGACGGAGTCCTTATCTCGGACTTTGACGTGTTTCTTCATGCCGCCGTACACGGCTGCCATGGAGTCCGGCGTGCTCTCTGTGATGGAGAACTACATCTCCATCAACGGTGAGCCGGTGGTCGCAAGCTCCAAGATTCTTAATGGTCTCCTAACGGACCTTGGTTTCGACGGGATCCTGGTGACGGACTGGAGCGAGATGCACGAACTTCAAAACTGGCATCGGTCGTACAGAACACACCAGGAAACTGTCTCGGCGTCGCTGCAGCATACGTCGATCGACATGAATATGGTGCCGCTCGACACCGACTTCATCAAATACGCACTCAACATGCTGAAGGAGAACCCGGACCAGGAGGCTCGGTTGCGCCAATCGGCCAAGCGCACCATCAAGATGAAGCTGCAGCTCGGGCTGTACGACAACCCGATGCCGGGCAAGGACTATGTGTCCATGGTGGGCAACGACAAGGACAAGAAGCTTGCGCTGGAGATGGCGCGCGAGTCGATCGTGCTGCTCAAGAACGAGAACAACGTGCTGCCACTGCCGAAAAGCGCGTCCGTCTTCCTCACGGGCCACTCGGCGGACAACGTGGGTTATCAATGCGGAGGTTGGTCCGTGACGTGGCAGGGATACTCTGGCAACGTGATGTTCAAGAACGGCATCTTGATCCGTCAGGGCCTGGAGGACGAGTTGTTTTTCGCGTGGTTTTTGTCGTTTTCCGAGTATTGGCTTTTTTACGCACCAAACGGTTGGTGCGAAGTTCGCATCGGCGGATGCACCAAGTGCATCTGAGTCGCCTGTGCATGCACAGCGGCGTTGTAAATGAAGACGCCTTTTAGACACTCGGTAGGATAGTGCTGATGAGGAAGGCTGATACGGCGTAGACGTGCGTGCCTGTAGAGGTCTCCCGCCAGTTCTTGTGCGATTTCGCGCCAAATACTATGCCAACGCCAGTCCCCATTTCTTGCAGTTTGCCGTGGACTTGCTTTTTCAACGGGACTTCCGCCATGGCCGACCGGGTCCAAAAAGGTGAAGTGTTTGCTTGCGCGGAAGTATGCGGACCAGCCCGAGCTCCTAGCGCATCTACCAGCCGAGAACAAGATCAAGAACCGAAAGGCAGTCGTCATGGGCAACATTGCCCAGCAACAGAAGGTTGAGAACTTTTCCGATCTTGCTGCGTGGGTGAGTACGACACAAGAGGCATTTTTCCGATCCGGGGCATTTGGCAGGGTCAACGCCGAGCGAGAGTTTGCCAAGGAACCTGCCGGTCACAAGAACGGCATCCTCGTGTTGAGCGCTTTTGAGGCATCTACAAGTGGCCGGTGGTCTTCGAACATGGCGCTAACGAATTTCTCGAATGCGAAGAACTCGCCCAGCTCATCGCGCCTTCCAGCCAATCAGGGCTGGATGTCACTTGCAGCGCCGAATCGAGTCAGTCCCCGGTTGTCGCTGATGAGGTCGTCGCTGAAGAGAGCTAACGCATAAGCGTTTGTGCTCAGCTCAATTAGAGGATTCGGGCTCCCAATTCACAATGCATTTCATTCGTAAGCAAGGCAGGGAGCTAGATGTAGCGTTACAGTGAACTGGAACTTCAAAAAAAAATTGCTGCCTTCAGCTCCCTTCGCCGTCAGCGCGAGCTTAAAGTTCTTCTTCTCGTTCTTGGCGCAGCCATGTCCTGCTCCGCGATAGACTGATCTCGACGCTTTCGAGCGCGCTGCAATTACACATATACCGCCTAAAGCAGGAGAGATGCGGGTTCGCTACCAAAATTTGGTAGCGAACCCGCATCTAATACTTGAGACGCACGGCCGTGAGGAGTAGGAGCGACAGCCTGGCGTTTTAAGGTTTTTACGTCGTTGCTTATTTAGTTTCTTCTCTTTAACCAATTCAGCTGCTTCTTCATCACTTGATGGAAATGGATATTCAGCAACAAATCCTCAAAACCGTTGAGTAATGATGTGAATGTATTCATCCAACTGATAGTTCTCATCAAACCCTTCCAAGCTACACCGGATACTTGTTTATACTGTTTGAACTTTTTGAGCTTTTTATTGTTATCTTCAGTCAATATGTTTAAAGGTTTGGAATCAGTTGGCTGACCAAAATAGTATGTTGGATGAGGTTTAACCCCCTTTTTCTGTATAAATAATGGGTATTAGTCTGAAAGGGATTTTAATACCCTTCGAATGAAGTTCTGTGTAATAATCAGTTAAAATATTTTCAGCATCATTGTCCGCGTTGCTCAGCTTTGGGTTCATATCTTCATCGATACCACTCATTGTGCCATATTTAGCTTCTCCGTCGCCTGGTGTGAAATCCTTTACGTCAATTTCCTCGTCATTCTTCCCAATTACCTCTAACTGAAGTCCTCTGTCTCTGATCATATTGATAAATGAACGTAGCGTAAGTTGCCAATTGACCTCCTTCGTGATCGCTTGTTTTGCTCGATTGCTACTCTTACCAAAGACGCTGATTGAATTACCATCGACCCATACATAGCCATTTTCATCAACAGGTGATGATTTGGCTGTCCCTTTAAGGATGGGAACAATCTTCTTTCTTAGTCCATTGGATTCAAGCAATCCCTTATTTTTATTAATGGTCCAAAACAATTTGAGTATGCTATCAGACTGATCACTCGCTGTTGAAGTTGAGTTATCGAAGAGAAAACTGTCCTCAAGTCTCTGTTTGGTGCGATCAGCAATATCTCCTTCTGAAGCATTGACTCTTTTCCTTTTTGATCCAATATGTTGCCACATCTGTTCGGAAGTATTTTTATCATCCTTCCCCATTTCGTAGCGTTCCCTCTTTTCATTGATGTAATTGAGAAATCGAACGTCATTAGTTAGAACCACACGAGTATGGTCATATGTCTCTGACCAATCGATGCTTGGAACTAAAACAAGCTTCTTCAATCTAATACTGTATGTCTTAGCGCCATTTCCAATATAATACTTCGTTAGCTGACGTCCGTTAGACGCAAGAGGATGGATACCCAATTCTGCAAGAATAGGATAAACCTCATATATATCAGCAACCGCTTGTTTTGATCGCTTCTGTTCTTCGATTTCATCGCTGTTTTCATCACTAAATAAGTTCTCATCCGCTGGTTTTTCATCCTCACCAACCTTGACATCAACTAATGAAGGCCTTGCTTGTGTTCCAGCATGATTAGTATCAGGCTTAGCAGTAGATTCGGCATCTACCATAGTTGGAGTTGATACGTCAGGGTTTGTCTGGGAGTATTCATCAATCAGCGTTTTTTTTAAGGACTCAGATGACTCGGATGTTGAGTCTGTCTGAGTTGTTGCAGTTGTTTTACTGGGGGCTGTAGTAATCCCATTCGCGATATCAGTAGCCCACGATGCGCCTTGATACATCTCACGCTTCGCTTTAGCTTGACGAACGCGACGCTGAGCTCTTTCAAGAAGCTCTTGACGCTTCTGCTCTCGTTGAGCAAGTGCTGTGAAATTTGGAAACATCGTATCTATATGTTGTGAGCCATAAAAAAATGAGCACTCAAATTACCAATAGCTTGGCATAACCGAATCATGACGGAAAGGTAGATACGAATGACAGATACTGTTTCGTTCGTTTAATAGATTCAAATAACGATCTTTGATACAATGGAAAGGAACGCCAAATATTGCTTCCAATTCGTGTCTGTATTTACGATTGACTACTGTCTTACGTAAATTAGCGGCTGCATCAAGATTCAGCAACTCATTCTTGATTCGACTTACTTCTTCGATGATCCACAGCTTGCGTCTAAGCTTCACAAGCTCACGTTCTTTATCTAAACAACTTGGGCACATTGGTATCTATATATAAAGTCAGATAATTTCAAAATCTCTCAAAAATAATTGGATAATATACTTGAGTCAAGAAGCTTACAGAGGATGTCTCTTTCAATTAAATTTTAAAAATCACGTCTCATTTTTTTAGCGCCGGGTCAAGTCTGAGCTTCAGCTCTTTGACTTCCAGTACTCCTTTTCAAGAGTTGATCTCTTGTTCTTGTTAATCAACCGTAGGTTATCTTGTGGCTCCCAGGAGTCAGGCTCATTACCAAGCCATTTTAGCAGATATTTGTACTACCCAGAGCGTGTCTTCTTATGATCCAAAATCTTTTCCGCCTCAAGAATATCGCCTCGATTAATAGTAGCAGCTGTAGTAACTGTTTTAACCAGTTTAAGATCGTTTGGGGGCTTGTAGAGGGTATGACCATTCTTTGAACGGATTTGGACTCGGTAGCCATCAATTCCAACTATCGTATAGACTGCATTGCTCCACCGAGCCGATTCTTTACCAAATGCCTGCTTCTTGAGACGGTATAATACGCTTGATCCGACCTCAAACTTATTCTCAATTCTATCGGCTTCTGCCTGATTATGACTCAGATCCGCATCCATTACTTTACCTTTGACATCACTCGGGGTCATACCAATCGAACGATGAAACGTGCTATTGTAGTTTTCAATAACGTCAGTGATAAGCTTTTGCAAAATCCTCTTGGGGGACATTTTAGTTAGTCTCTGCTTCAGCGTTCTGTTAAATCGCTCAATTTTCCCCATAGTACCATGATCACCGGCCTCGTTGTTGTAGTGCTCAATTTTCTTGGTTTTGAAGAACTCTTGAGCCTACGAGATCATGAACTCGCTACCATTATCGCTTGTAATGATATCCACTTTATGGAGTCGAACAAACGCTTTAAGCGCTGCTAACACAGTTGCTGCTGTCTTGTTTGATAAGACCTTCGCAAAGCCCAACCTTGAGTTGATATTGATAGCAGTCAAAATTGGTCGCTTCTCCCAAAACGCAAGATCAATTTGCCAAGAGTTGGGGTTATGCGAAGCTATTTTGAAGCCATTGAATATCTTCTTTTGCTCTTGATATCGTTGAATATCAGTCTGACTCGCATACCAATCTTTTACAATTTTGAAAGTTATCTTAGAATTTAACTCCTTTGCCTTCTGATACAGAGCTTGAGCTCCGATAAAACCGGTTTTTGGATCATAGTAGGGTTTCTTTAATAGCGCGTCCATGATCTATATTTACATTAAAAAAAGAACCCCAGTGGTTAGCTGCTTAAATATCAAGTGGTTCAGTCGTGATACCATCATCAAGTACTCGACGTTTGTCATAGTAGTAGTTGAGCGCTGTTTTGTTTTGAGTATAGGTGATGATAGACTTGGTTTCTTTCGATAGTCTGAACCCCTTGTTTGTACCTTGTAGCGTGATGCGATCCCGTACAACAGTCTCAAACCCATCGGGATTAAGAACACCATTGTTTCGACCACCTCCCTGCTGAATACCGTACGCTGAAACTTTTACCTTGTAAGACTCGTCGGGTAGATAGCAAATATAGTTATTACTCGATAGTGAGACCATAGCATCACCTGACCATTCATCTTTGAACAAACCAGGAGTACGGCGATCAAACTTAGCCACCTCAGTGTTGTAGTCGCGTGGGAACCAATCGTATTTATGCTCCTTGAAGTGGGTACGTAGCTCAGGCTTGATACAGTCTTGAAACGGATTCTCACAGCTGAAAGCGATATAAGCTGAATCAGTATCCATCTCCTGATACTGGAAGTCAGAGCGGTCAAAGTAGAAATCTATGCAGTCGTAGTAGAACTGGAGCATGCGTAGCTTGGCGAGCTGGTAGATGGCAATCGACAAATGGATTGGGTTCTTGTTATTAAGACGGCGTTTCTTCATGGTGATTTCACACGCATCATTAAGCTCTTCCAACCCATGGAACGTAAAGTGTTCGATCTTGTTCTTTATAGCTTTGTCATTCGACTCATACTTGACCTCTTTGTGCTTGCTCATATCCATTCCAGATCGACCGAAAGCACTGTTGCCTACAAGTTTCATCATCTCAGCAATCATCGCCTTCGACTTATCAACATCACCCTCTCGCCGGGCGTTTAATACAGCCTCCATAAATGGAGCAAAAGCCTTGTGAGAGCTGGCCTTGATAAAGCAGTAAGTCTTGGTGATCTCCATACCATGAGAAAGGTACCACTTGAGCAAAGGAGTGTAGATGAGAATGTTTTCACCAAAGTATCTACCAATCAACTTGCGAGCTGGCTTTGCTTGGCTTTGCTTGCGCGCCTCATTGTGATCGAACATGTGCTTACCAGTGACACTCTCGTCGGTACAATCGATTAGTACATTCTTGAAAATGGGGGTCATTTCACTAAAGTAATCTTTTAGATGGACTAAAGATGGTCTGGAGTACGAATATCGCATTCAAGAAAGCCAAATATTTTATCGGCGTTGATGTCGTCGATGATACCTTCATACGCTTCAACGGTAGTCAATCGACCGCATGGCATCTCATTACCAAGAGCCCAAAGATACAGAGCGTTAGCATCGTATCCGATAATTTTTTTACAGACCTTACCACCGCGAATCTTGGTTTCATTACGCTTAGCGTAGCGATTAAAGATAATGGATGGACCTCCGGCGATGTTGGCCTTCATCTTAGCGTAGATATCATTTTCCTCTCGATCAATAGAATATACCAGTTTGTCCGAGTTGAACTCAAGCAAATTCTTGTATCGAAATCCCCCGAGGGACATATCTTTACGCGCGGAGTTGCACTTCACACAGCTGATCAAGATGTTGCCGTCGATGTGGCCAAGCTTATTGTTGATACGATCAGCTGAAGCGGTATCAGCGGTTAGCTGGCAGTAGCATAGACCACACAGATACTTTTGCTTTTGCAGCAATGTATTCAAGTGCTCGAGTGTCATACCAAATTTTCGCTTTGCCTTAACATCCTGACTCTTGTATCCACTCATTCGCTTAGATGGGAATTGGAATGCGTTAGCTGGCTTCTTATCCGGATATTGGAGATTATTGAAGCAGGTCTGATACATCACCTTCTCCGAAAGACCAGGTAGCGACACTCCATCCGCAAACATATCCAGATCGAAACGCTTAAAGAGCTCTCGTTGAGCCTTGATAGCCTTGATGAATGGGACTACGTCGAGATTGCTGTACCAGATCAGCAGGTCTTTAATCGATTTCATCTCATAGCAATCCCACACGAACTTCACTCGTTCGTAGTCATCGCCGGTGATGCTTGTTCCACGGAGCTTGCTATCAAAAGCTGACTTAGGCGGGATAGTAGTCTGGTTTAGCACATTGAACGCGGTGATGTACTCGTATGGGAAAAGACCCTTACCAAGACCACAGACACATCTAATTTTGTCATCACATTTGCAGCCACCAAGATATGTTGTAAGATACTTGTCGTAGCTGGTACCAGCTGGTACATAGTTGCTAATATCGAGCATTTTTATGTTCGATGTAGCAATGCACATGTAGCTGGGATTCTTGATGACAGATTTGATGTTGTCGGTACCGATAACGGCAAACAAATCCTTCTTAATCAAGTTAATATCGTATCGACCAGAATTGAAACCAAATACTGGTACCTGATCAAGCTGCTGTTTTAGTTTCCCGTAATCAGATCTTTGCTTACCAAAGCCAAGACCGCTATGGAAGTCAAAGAAGCTGGCATTCTTTCCTTGTTTGATCCAACCCTCGACATCAGACATCTTGTAGGTCTTACCAAGATTGACTCCTGGAATTTCCACTGTGAGCGTTGATGATTTTCTGTAGAAGCAACTTGTACTTATTGACATTGTACTGCCGGATCTTAACAGATACATCACCAATGTATTTGAACATATCCGTAAGTAGCATCATCGGATCATCATTTACAAAGCAACGCACCTCCTCGGTTAGGCTATCAGCTACTGATACAGACACCGGAATGTGTTCGTTCGTGAAGACAGTATTCTCCCCGTGTTGAGTCGCAGTAGAATTAAGGATGGCCTCAAAGTCATAAACGATGAAGTGATCAATGTACTGGTCAGCATTCTTGATTGAATACTTCGTAAGTAGTGATCGTATTGCGTTCTGAGCTGGTTTGTAGATAGTTGGCTCAGCTGGGAAGCTTTCGATATTTACGAGCTCGCACTGATTCTTTTTATGGTTTTTAACCCTTTCAGCGCTGACGAAAACCATTTCACACTTAGGACATTGATACTTAGCCTGAAGCATATCGATGTTCTTGATGTAAAGAGCATGATTCTCGAACGATAAAATATCCATAGTCTCATACCCCTTGTCAGATCTACGAATGCATTCTACATTTCCAGAAACTACATCCATCTTATATACGTTAATACCAAGTTGAAAGCAGTCTTCAACCTCATCGAGTTGTAGTAGGTCAATGGGCTTGAAACTCCTAAACAGGCTCAACGAATATTTAACCCCCTTGAAAGAACAGTAGCGCTTGAATGCCTCCTTCACCTGAGCCTGAATTCTTCGAGGATCCTTCTTAGGGCTCTGGAATGTATGCCAGGCGATACAGTGGAAGACGCACTTGTTGTTGGTCTTGGGGAAGTTGATCACATGCTTGTTTTCGCGAATAATCTTAGGGATGACAGCTTCGCTGTCCCCGAGAGCATGGTCGCGATGGTAGATGAAAATCTTGAATGCAGTGATCGCCTTTAGCTTATACCCAGAGCTGGGATAGTTCAGTTTGTCAGCCAACTCCATAGAACGGATTTCCGAAATCACCTTCTTTTGAATATCAGCCTTGCTATTGATAGCGATAGGATTATTGAATACATGAGTATTAGCGAGATTTGGGTAGAAGTAGCGAGTGTCGTCAGGATCGGTCTTGCTTACAAGTTCGTACCCGAGAGCAATATTTACCTTAACCGCACTCGTTTGTGTGGAAAGAACGTTCTCGAGCTTGTTGTAGAAATCAGATGGCTCGACACCCTCATATAGGTGCGATTCCATGTGATTACCATTGTAAAAGCGGTACTTAGGATCAGCCTTGTAGTCGGGCGACAAGTGTTTTTCAAGGGTTTCAATCGAAACACTGTACTGCTTAGATACCAATCTCTTGTTGATTGGACGCGAAACGTTGCTAACATAAGCCATCTTGCCCGTTCTACCACGCACCTTAACACGGTAGCTACTACCCCATTTGATAGGTTGAATATTTAATCTCTTTAATCCTCCGAGTTCGTATGCAAACATGTTGCCTATATATGCTTGACTATATTATTCTCCGTAGATATGACTTTATAATTATTTGACCTTGTATCAGGATCGACTTTATATCTTAGTCATTTACAATATATTCTGAAATTAATTAATTCAAATATTTGGCTTATACCTTTTTGGAGGTTTTAAGCCATTGTCTTTGACTATATTGGGATTGACTTTTTATTTGAGAAAAAAATTAATTAATTAAGTTCGGTTTCGTTGTTAGGTTCGACTTCACCGTCAATAAGTTCGGTTTTGGGTTTACGCTTGCGAGCTCGAATCTGGTCTCTATTCTTGTCATCGTAGTCTTTTTGATAAGATAAACGGGCTTCGCGTGTGCGCTGGTAGTAGCGCTTCTGCGCTGCTTTGATACGTTCCTTGCTAGCTTGGTATTGCTCAGGAGAGTACGTCATCGTTGTATATTAGTAACTTTATATTTATCAGGATCAATAAAAAACAATGTATTAATGCTGCATCAAACAAGAATCAGCTGAAATAACTAAACGTGGGAATAGATCGAGTGACCTGCCGAGCCACAGCACGCGCCATCTCAATGTCGGGACCTAACATACTGGCGATGTCATAGTATCGTTCGATGCTCTCACGAATCCCGCCATTGTCACCACCCTCTCCGATAGGTGGTAACGCCTTTCTCAGCTTCAATCTCTTCACGGGACTTTGGAAATACGGGAGCTTGATCTCGGTGGTATCAGTATCAGCGGGTGCAGTCGGTGGCTGCACCAGTAGCGCTCTAATTACCTCGAAGGCTTCACCTGGCTTGTTGATCGCCGCTTTGTGGATACGGGCAGAACTGTTTATCTTCTCGGCCACCCAGAAGAATATCCACTCTCCTTTCAAATCAGTAAGGAGCGCCATTACTGGGTCGTCAACGAGCAGATCCAAAGCGATCAGCTCCGACAATGCCTGGAAGTCGTTGCTTGCCTTAACGTCTCTCTTCACTTCGATCAGCATCTTCACACCAGGCAGGTACTGCACCTCGGTCGAACAAGATCACTCAGTATGAGGAGATCTGTACGTCCAGCGAGCTCAATTTCGCGACCAGGAACTTTAACTGTGAGGATGTTTGTGCCTCTTTCCACGCCAATCACGCAAAGTTGCTTCTCCTTGAGCACAGTGCCAATGTTGTGTTCCACGTATCGGCGATATCGTTTGCGCTGCTGCTCCTCAGTGAGTACGACCTCTTCGCCGTTCTCAATAATCACTCGTTTCCACTCGTATGGGTCAACTGAAGAACCCTCTCCAGCATCGAATGGAACTGTGCGCACAAATTCCACCCGAATATCCAAGTCGTTCAGAAGCTGCCTGCCCTGGGTCGAGGTTACCTCCGAGTGGACATATTTGCGTTTCCCCAGCACAGTCTGCTCGTACATCTTGTCAACCTTTTCGACGAGTTGATCCATCTTGGAAGTCTCGCTCGCTGAACCAAATGCACCCTCCGGAACCACCACCAGCACGTGGATTTGTCTCGACTTTGGAGCGCGCCCTTTCCGTTTGGTCATATTGTTAGCTGTCAACACGTCCTCAATTGTCCACGTAGCCTTCATCTTCTCGCCATCGATCAACGCTTGAATGTCCTCATGAACCTTTCCGTCCTCCAGATCCAGCGCAGCTTGGTCGTCGTCTGGCAGCCACGCGCCGCCCTCCGTCTTCGCCAGGAAGAGCTGCAGCTTGCTCGCCGCGAAGTCATACTTCTGATCCTCCGCGATCGCCTTCTTCAAGTGACCCACCGACTTGTTCGCGTCGATGTCCACAGGGAACGCGCTTCCCGCCACGCCAACGACCGCACAGAAGAGAGTCACCATCTCTCTTCGAGCCGGCAGATTCTAGAATGAGGAAGAAGAAAGGGAGAATTTCTGGCGTACTTAAGCGGACATGAAGGTGTGTGACATAGATTTTCAACCAATGATGAGACGCCACGTCGCGCTGGTCTGAACTAATCCTTGAGGTAAAAATCTGCCGGCGTAATGTTCTATTGCTTTTATCAATACAGTTTGAACGTTGTCGGTCGAAACGCCCTAAGATCCAAAAGACGTGGCTCTCACTATAAGGTGGTCGAGAGGTTGCGTCGTTGAAATCGCTGCTGTCCCGAAAGAAGGTTTCAGGAATGTTCTCGGTGGTAAATTACTGCCGGCGTAATGTTCAAAGTATTACTACTATTAGGTATGAAAGTGAAATCCTTGGGTATGGACCGTCCATTTGGACTCGTCATTCGTGATTCTACAACACCATGGAGGCGAGGAGCTTGGACGAGCTGCTGTTGCGTCGATGGGATCTCGCAGAGTCTACAGGTGCGTGGGGTGGATGATATCAGAGACACAACGAAGACAGGAAGGGGCTTATTATACTTCGTGTGGGAGGGGGCACGTGTAGGCGTCATGCGTACTGACGTGAACGACACAATTCGTCGTCGGATCCCGGGGAACTTGGGACTCGTCGTTCAGTTCAATCCAAGCCATCTCAAGGTGAGAGAAACTTCAGTGGCCGGCCTGGGAATGAGTTTAAATTCCACATTCCCATTTATTTATTTATTATGTTTTTTTTTAGAGCAAACGACCCGTCGACAAACAGCTTCTGGCCCCACAAACCCACGCGAACACGGATAAACCAAAACCCGGAGGATTCAACTTCACGAAGGCCAAGTAAGAGTTGGACCGAAGCACCTACCTACTGTACGTCGGATATTGCAATTCTGTGACTGATTCTTCGTTTCGGTGGCCAGAACACCCGAGTTCCTCGGTGGTTTGACGTTCAGTACGGACGATGAGGAGCGGGTCCCAGTTGTGCACCCCATCGAGGTAGAAGAGGAAAATGGTGGCAGTAGAACTGTACCGGATCACTTTGTTCTCGTCAACGTAGCCCCATTGGTACGGATTTGTACTGCATTTCTTGAGCTGCGTGAGATAGCAGCAATCTCACAAGCTGGATTTATTATGGATACTCTTGAACAGGTGCGAGGCCACTTGCTGTTCGTGCTCGACATGAACCTCCTCAAACCGCAGAAAATGTCGGAGAAGTTTTTACTGTACGCATTGAGCATCTCACAGGCGATGCAAAACGAGACTTTCGCACTCGGTACGTCAACAATCGTAGATCAACCAACGCTACTACAAAAAGTTATGCTCATGGTTAAAAGCAATGGGTTAATGGGGATTCTGCAGGGTTCAACAGTGCTGGAGCGTGGTCATCTGTCAACCACTTCCATTTGCAAGGCTTCTTCTTCCCTCAAGTCGAGGAAGGGGTGAGTACGACGTTCCCTGTTGCAGCTCAGCCTCGTGAAGAGAGATTCCGCGCTCATGGAGCGATCGTGAACGTCATCCCTACGTGGAAAACAACTTGCTTCGTCATTGAACCCGAGCACGCAGGCGCTGATGCAACGTCAGTCGTCAAAACCGCTTGGGCTCTGCTCGCACTCCTCCAAGCACGAGGAATCCCGCACAACCTCCTGGTTGTAAGTAACGTGGTGTTCGTTTTCCCACGCAAGGAGCAACGTGAGAATGGAGTCGGATTGTTCTCTGATGACTCGTCCACCGATGGGAGCGTTGTACACGCTGGCCGCCTGCGCGTAGCTGTCGCTGAGCTCTCCGGACTCGTCATTGCTGGAGACCAGGTGGCGCACGACAGCCTCACGGAGGAAATGTTCGACACTATCTTGCAAAACGAAGTTTCTCTTCCCTCGGTGAGTATTTGACCTCCTCTTCAACCTAGATACACATAACTAACGTTGGCGTGGGTGTAATCTGTACTGTAGAGCGAAGAAGCCGAGCTTGTGGAGGAGTGGAAAGCGCGCTTGCACTAATTGTGGTGCACACGTCCTCTCACCAAGGACCAATCCGGTAGGTACATTTCAATAACACGTTGCCAACCTCCTGGCCGCAGTGCATTGTACATTTATTTTTGGTTAGGCCACGAGTTGATGATGGCAGTGCCAAATCGGACTGCCCATTAGAATAGAAAACTGCTCGACAGACTGAGGTGTGCTTTAACGCCGGGCGCTCATGGGCTCCGGCTGCAGCTCTTTCGGTGGTGGCGATGTGCCGTTCGACCCCAAGGTCATCTCCGTCAAGCACTTCGAGATCCACCGAATTGTAGGTCAAGGCGGCTTCGGTAAAGTGAACGCGGTCATCCGTAAGAAGTCGACTCCGACCAAGTGGCTGGCCATGAAGACGCTGTCGAAGGCCACGGTGATCAACCGAAACTCCGTCGGCATGATCTGGAACGAGCGCAATCTACTCACCCAAGTCCATAGCCCCCTGATCGTACGGATGCACCACACGTTTCAGGACCCGTACAACTGCTACGTCGTTATGGATCTGCTGCTCGGTGGAGATCTCAAGTTTCACCTTGGATTCACCCGCAAAGACGGTTTTCTAGAGCGAGAAGCCAAGTTCTATACGGCTGGAGTCCTGCTCTCTCTGGAATATCTGCACAGCCTCAGAGTACTGCATCGAGACGTAAAGCCCGAGAACGTCATCCTCGACGAGAAAGGGTACCCTCGACTCACAGACCTTGGAATCTCAGTGCAGACGCCCAATCTACGATTCCAGAGTCGTAGCGGGACTATGGCGTACATGGCACCAGAAATTTTTAGGGGCTCGACGAAGCACGGAACCCCTTCGGATTTCTTTAGTTTGGGGGTGTTGACGTACGAATTGCTGCTAGGACGGAAACCGTGGAACGGAGGCGTGCGATCGCACCTGGAAAGGTGCCCGGACGTGATGAAGGAGTTTACAGACAGCGCGTACGACAAGTACTACCCAATAGAACTCCTCGACTCCACAACTGGTGTTAACCAGAAGCTTTCGCAGTCGTGTCGCTCGTTTCTAAGAGGATTGTTGCATCCGATGGAGTCTCAGCGCTTAGGGGCAGGCCCTGATGGAATTATCGAGATCAAGAAGCACGAATGGCTTAGGACGTTCGACTGGGATGGATATCTGGCACATACACTGACGCCGCCGTTTGTGCCTGTTGTGGACGAGAAGAAAGCCAATTGTGACACTGCGGCCCAGGATTTCGACGACGTCCTCAGTGTGAACTCGCGTCCGGAGCGAATTTCAGCTGAAGATCAGGAAAAGTTCGTAGGGTTTGAGTACAACGTCGACGCGACAAATCCAATCACGATATAAAACTTCAAAACCTTGTTGGTCGACCTGCTCTAGTTTGCTTCCGGGGACTGTCTGCTGTCTCCACTCTAAACTTTCTGGCGAAGGTTTGTGAGCTCCTGATCAATGCCTTCGAGAGCCTCTAAGCCTCTGGAACGGATAGGGACGAAGCGGTCGTTCGCGACAATCATAGGATTATCACAAGTCGGAATGTCCGGATTGACTCGGATCAGCGTCGCCTGTGGGCGCCCACACGCTTCAATCACGTCAGCTACAACCATTTCGGTCTCTCGTCGCACGGACGGCACCTATGAATGAACGCGTAGGGGCGGCATTAGAGTACTGATTGAGGTACCGCACAGCTTAGTATCAACTAAGGTGCTTACCCGCGTTCCACAGCCAATCTCTAGAACAACCAAATTAAGAGCCGGGTCTTCTTGTAGCATCTGCGACGACAGCGAGTACAACTCTAAATTAATACGAGCAGCTAGGCTACAGAAACCATATTTATCTGAGCCTTACCACCTCCATCACCGATTCCCACGCAATGTAGCCGTTCTGTGAACGTCAAAAAGCAGTCAAAACACCTCTCATAACAACAGTAACACTGAGATACCCGCACACACAAACCTCTTCTGCCGTGTTCGCGATCCACTGTCTGTCGTGGAACATGAGCACGTTCGGGCGCCCTTTGCCTCCGCATTCCGGACACGTCGTGGCTTCAGCTCCAGGCGCCCTCATGGTCGCCAAATCCAGGTCAAAGCGGAACTCCGCACACAGCTTCCAGATCTTCTTGCACGGCTCCCTCGCACCCGTCTCGACATCCCCCGCACACTGCCACGTCTCGACACTTCCGTGCAGCTCGTACACCTCCTTGCTGTCGAAGTCGCGACGGAAGTGCGAGTCCACCTAAAAACCAGACACCCAGCCCACATTCAACAATTCAACCAACCCCCAACCACGCCCGCGTAGAATAAAACACCATTCTACCCACATTGGACGTGTAGACGAAGAACGGGTCGTTGGTCACGGAATCCGCCGTGACCCCGGCCGGTAAAGCTTCACACTGCTTCAGCCGGTCGAAAGCCGCTCGGAAACTTGAACGTTTCTCGTCTGCACTGCTGCCGCTGTTGGCGCTTCCCTTGACTCGAATGGCGTCTCTCCACTTGCGTAGAATCTGATACCCTCGGTGGTGCTTGGTGTCTCGGTACGAGTTGGTGCAGCTGCCCCAGAAGCCGTAGAAGATCTCCTCGTCCTGCTCCAGCATGTACGGGTCGCACAGGTCCTGGTACTCCACGTCCATCTTCTCGTAGGCCTCCACCTTGGCGATGTCTCTGCAGCACAGGTAAACAAAAAGTTACATTTTAGTTTACCACTGCTTGAAATAAATGGGGTTTTAGAGAGGTTTTGTACGCGTAGACATGTAGAGAGGAGTCAGCAGAGAAGCCCGCGCCGGTGGCGATCAAGAGGAAGTCGGCGGCGGCCACTGTTTCTGTGTGGAAGAGCAAAAGTTACGCGGGTTTTGGAGTTAGTTTACTGATTGTGTAAACTGTTTGCTACGGAGCGATTGCTAGCGTTCTGGAGCGAGTTGCGCCGCAAACCACTCTGCGCCGGGTAGAGGAGACAGAGATGGATGCGATGAGCCGCTGAGACGCACCTGCCGCCACGCGCCAGGCCTTCTGCGGGTCGCTCTCCATGGCCGATCGATGCGGCAGTGACGTCGGTTCAATGCACTGGACCAGAATGACTGTAGCAAAGTTACGCGAATTTTCACAAAAATAAAATGTGAAAAAGATAGAGTATTGTGGACAAAGTTAATGGGTATCTTCTGCTACCCTTACTGCAACTTGTCTGCACGCTACATCGTGATGTATTTGCCGTTGGGAGAGTGCTTCAAGCCTGCGTTCGCTTTCAGCTTGAGATACCACGTCCGTATGGCTGATTCCTTCGTGCCGGTCCCCTTAACTTTCAGCAGCTTTGTAGCGGTGTTCGCGTCGGCGCGTCGAATAAAATGTGGGATGATGTCTTCACAAAGGCGATACTTTTCTCGCTCTTGCTCAGGTGGTAAACTTCGCCCGCTCTCTCTTCATCGTCTGCAGTCTTGTCGACCCTCAGAAACCGGGGGCCGGACTGCTTGTTGTCGATCGCGCCTTGGACTTGGTTCTGGTGGGCGGTAGGGGCAGCTTGGGCGCTTGCGACGAGCATAGCTGCGATGGGTAGCACTAAGTGGTGGAAGCGCATGACCTCCTCTTACTTGTAGCTTGGATCTGGCGCCTCACCGCTGCACTGTAGAAGCACGATTGAGAAGTGTCTGCATTGACGCACAGCGGAGCCCATACTGATCGGCAGTAGCAAAGCTTACTTCAGTGCATCCGCCCGTTTCTGAGGATGTAACTTGAATTTTGTCGTCTGGGTCAAAGAACACTAATTGTCATCAGCGATGGTGTGGCAGCATTTTTGTATTGTATTGGCGAGATGAAATGCACCACCAAAATTTTCATTTGTCCATAATTTCAAAAGTACTTAACGTATAAAGGCAAGAAGACCAGCAATGAAAACAGCATAACATGCAGAATGTAGGTGCATGCACACGTGTTAGTATCCTACCTCTTAATTTTATCGGCATCATCGGGCGATTTCTCCTGCGGGAAAGACGTGCTTGTCTGATCTGCACACGACTTTTTTGCCATATTTCCTAAACGAAGATAATAAATCGAGAAAGCTAAACGTCAGGGTGAAGCTCGGCTTCTGGTTCATCAAACAAAGGTAGTTTCATGAGCGCCAACCGCGTAGGAAGTGTTCCAGACGCTGCTGATCTCGCCGGTTGTGGTGGCGTCGTCAAGCAATAATGTGCATAAAACGCGTTACAGAAAGTGCGCAATTATTTAGTACTACCGTGGTAAAATTTGTAAAAGAGCAATCAAATGGCACCATATGGCTCAGACATAGCCTCGATATTTTTGAGAAGGCACCCACTGGAGTCCCCGACTGAGCGGCATGCGACGCGGCGTTTTTCCCCGACTGATCCGACTGAGCCCCGACACCGCCCCGACTGAGAAAAAGAGCCGGAGCTCGAGCTATACATGGCTTCATGTATACTGGATAGTAAAATCGTGTGGGTCACACGAAAATCAACCCGACTCCGTCGTGTCACCCAGTCGGGAAAAGAAACCCGACTGAGACGCACCAGTCGGGCCAGTCGGGTTGCTAGACTGAGTCTGGTTGACTGGTCTGTTGCGTTTTCCTGGTCACGCTGAGTCGCTGCGGAGGTGGCGACGCAAAGGACTGCGGAAGTACCCGCACCTCGCACTACGCGGTCGTTAGTAATTTGTATGGACGAAGGCAAACTGGCAGCACTGCGGTGATCTCTGCAACGTGTCCATCAGGTCAAACTATAGCATTCGTATCATTAACTAGGACTACCTTACACCACGAGCATGTTCAATGGGTTATTTTGTCAAAACGTGATCACGTGCACACTAAGTAACTGCTAGCGGCAACAAATTTCTGTCGGGCCCGATCGGTTCGACCCGACCAAACCTAATCACGCTACGAAGTCTTCGCCGCGACGTGGTGGCGTGGAGCCCGTTGCGAGAGGCGCAGCTTGTGATGCCGTTGTTCATCGCTTCTCGTGCCTGCAGGCCTTGCCCACTCTGCCGCTCCCAGGCTGCGAATCTCCCCCGTTTGCGCACCTCTGCGATGTCCCTAGCCGACGTGTCGTTGGTGCTGGGTCGTTGCATGGCGTCCTTTGCATCTACAAACGTACACACATCGCATACAGCTTTCAATCAACATTACCATGACGCACGAAGCGATTATTCTGCTTCTCGGCAGAGCTGTTCTCTCGAGCTGTCCGGTTCTGAAATGGCAAGTGGTGGCCAACGGTATACAGGAGGGGTATACAAGTGGCGGATGATCTCTTACAACGGCACGAAATGATTCAAAAGTTGGGATGTGCCCAGTCGGGGAACGCAGGCACTTCCTTTTGAGAAACCGGCGGACAGTCAATTTTCATTTAGGTACAGTCACACTCTATAAATGACACCCAGTTCGCACGGGCTAAGACGCTGTTTCAGTTAAAGAATTGAGCAGATAAAGAAATGGTCACACTTCTAATGGCTACATTTTCACAATACAAGGGTTTTCTTTACCTGGTACCCCTCCCGCATTTTCGTACTCTTGTTTTGTTTCGTCTTCACACAATTAGAACTCAACCAATAACGGTAGGCGCGGTATTGTCTGTTCCTACTCCTTCTTCTCATTGGTATTAGCAGAATCGCATCCCCTCAGGTTGTACGTGAGTTTCAATACAGTGAGGTTATAGGAATATTTGTTGTCCCGATATCCTGCCACCATGCCTGCAGTTTTATCTTTTGCTTGGTATCTACTGCATAGCCCCTAGTTGTCTCGACACCATAATATGTTAGTTTTTTGTAAAATATATATGTACGCTGCGCTGATTGTAAAATACTGTGACTAGCTTATTAATCAGTATTTACAAGCTTGCCGTTACTGCAAACTCTTTGTTCCAACTTAGCATCCCAAATACAATTTCTCTCTTCGCTCGATTTCTTGTGGCGGGAGTAGTGGTAGCAACGGCATACGTGGGAGGAGGCAGGCAACTGATTGAGAAATATATATGAGTTTGGATCTATTACTACGGCGTCCATCTAGAGGGTTGAGGCGCCAACAATGGCGACCATTTAGAGAATAAAGAGGTTTTTGATTAGTTATAGAACACCAATAGTGAAATCCATATAATCCCGTTTGCAGTCGAGGAATCCTAACCAGATAGGGAACACATAGTCAGTTAGAGGGGTTCATTTAGGGAGGTGTCACTGTATATCCTATTCATTCGCTGCGACTACAAGTCAAAACATAGTTTACTTAAAAGGGGAAGCGCAGAGCTTTCCAACAAAACAAAGCTCACATCATTCTGATTATTTGATGCTGAGATACGCTCCGTCAAAGTTTGGTGGTGCATTTCATCTCGCCACTGTAATCCGATAACACGGATTGCGTGAGGTACAGGGTAGATAGGCTGATCAGATTGACTTTTACACTTCAGTACAGTAGCGAAATACCACGCACAACTTCAGTATGAATCCCTGAACTATCGAGCGGTTGACCCGACTGCATGTATTCTCATGCGCCAATCAGTCCGCTGCGTCAAAACTGACAGCAAGAATTACATATGTGATCTCCAGTGTGACAACGATCAAGTTCAAGCCCCACGCACAAAATGCATAAACAAATTGTGTTATACTTCTTCGTCGTGATACATGTACATGTATCCCATAACGTCACCGCCACCGCGTTCTTTTTCAAGCAAGCCGTGCTGTTTTCTCACCATGACACAATGTGAGCTGCCTTCATCGTCCATCATAAAGCATGAAGCTGTATCTGCAACGGGTACATTGCATGTAGTATTGAACACTAATCGAGACTAGTGGAACGTTCGTTCGTTCTCGCCACATGTGTTTCGATATCCTTGGTACGGATAACGACCAGAGGGGCTTTGCTACAAAGGATTGTCAGAGGCAATTTGGCTCAGAAGATTAAACTCGAAAGTGGAGACAAATTCAGTGTCCACTGATCTACACGTCGCGGATTCCTTTAAAAAAAATTCAAGTACGATGTTGTGGGTTTAGAACAGGGACATTTGCCGAACTGATGTTGGATACAAATACACTGAACTGGTGTATGTTTGACTGCAAGCGCTGGAGTAACTCAATCACAATGATCAGGTGTTGTATGCACGTCTACTTCCGGCCATTTTGAATATTTGCATTTGATTAACACGTAGTATTATTGTATTATACACAGGTTTTTTTTCAAGAATCGCCGCTACTGTACTTTCCGGTTATAGCGTGCCAAACAAGTTAACTATTTATATTACGCTTGAAAGCCTCCCTCATTGAGTCTCTGCAGATCACTGTGAACTTCGTTCGAGGCTTTTAGCGTTGGGCTACATGTTTCTCGCTGACGCAGCTCCAAGAGCTCTTCTGTGCCCACTGTGGCCAGGCACCATTGGCTAGATAGCGCGTCGGTGCTCTCAAAATTTGAGCCCCTACACTATCGCTATCCGCTTCAGTAGTGATTCGGAAGCTTTGTAGTGCTTGCTACCGTACATTGAGAGATGTTGTAAGTCTTATGAGACTTTTATCCTGCCTGTGAGTTGGCATGTGAGTTCTCCAGTTTTCGCCAGACTTTTCGGTCTTGAAGCGTTTGCAGAGCTTCAGAGGCACAATCTCACTCTTGATCGCAGATGGCGTACAATTCCCTTGTTTCCTGTTAGAGAGGAAAGCATACGGTTTTGCCCAGTATCCCAGCCTTTGGGCTCCATAGTTCCGAACAGTAAATTTTTTAGTAAATTTTTTTACTGTTCTGAACTATGGAGCCCAAAGGCTGGGATACTGGGCAAAACCGTAAAAGTTTTTACTGTTCTGAACTATGGAGCCCAAAGGCTGGGATACTGGGCAAAACCGTCTCTAACAGTAAATTTTTTACTGTTCTGAACTATGGAGCCCAAAGGCTGGGATAGGTTTTTCGGCTCTCCCATTTAAATACGAACACAACGAGCCCCCCGCGAGCAGCGCTCGTTACGGATCCCCCTTATTGGGCAAAAAGTAGGAGGAGGCCCCCACCGCCGCGTGCCGCCCGCAGACGTCGCCAAGAAACCCGAGTGCTACTCCGCCGTCCCGTGCAGGAGAAGGCGGAGCAGCAGCAGCAGCGCCAGCGCGAGCACAAGGAGTACGAGCAGCCGCCCGCAGTGCGAGGCCACCACCGAGAGCTACCTGCAGTAGGAGGAGGCCGCCTCCGCCGCGTGCTGCCCGCAGACGTCGCCAAGAGAATCGCGAGCATTTTAACGCGTCGTGCAGGAGAAGACACGAAGAACGGTGGTGGGTGGTAACACAGTGCTCGTTGTTATGGTTCGACCACCTGTTGCAGTTCGTGAGGCGGTTCAAGCCTATCAACCCTCTGCGGGCTACACGCTACTGTCACGGAGAAGTCATTCATTTTTGAGTGGGGTGTACGCGTAGAGTATATCGACAATGATGAAGTGAAAACTGGCTGGGTATGTCTTGCCGACGAGGCGTGTCGACAGGCAGGTGTGAAGTTGGTGTTGTCACGAGCAAGAACATCTAGAGCAACAGAGCATTTACGAAAGGTGCATCGAATCTCGTCGAAGAAAACTGCGGCTGCAGTTGAAGGAAAACGAAAGCGAGATGAAACGGTTGAACGGCTGCTCTTGTCGAATTTGTATCGAACAAGCCCTCAACGCCTTCATTTGCTGCTGGAAACCCTTCGCATCGTGAACAATAACTTGCCTTTCTGTAGCGGCGAGTACGAAGAATCCCGAGTAATCCGGCAGGTGGTGGTGAGAGAAGAGATGCAGACTACGATAAATGCAGAGCCAATTGCGAAGGCAATTGTCGAGCTCTACAGCTCGACCAAAGCGGAGTTACTTGACTTCTTAGAATGTAATCGCTCCGATTGCGCGAATTTTGTGATCATGACAGACTTTTGGACTTGTCGTACAACTCATGGGAAATATTTAGGGTTGCGGCTTTATCTCGTGGATGAGTTTTGGCAAATGCGATCGGTGATGCTTGGAACGCGAAAATTTAGCCCATCGTATGGAGATCGCGACGTTGGAATTCAAGGTCCATTTTCGATTGTGGCTGGAAAAAATTCTGGAGGATTTCAGACTACGGAAAGATTTTTTTTTGCTGCCACGAGCGACGCTGGGCCTGATGTCAAAAACTTGCTGGTCAACAAATTGAAATACAGGTGGGAATGGTGTGTTGCGCACATGGCCCATGCAGCGACAAAGGAAGCATGTGGAATGAGAAATGATGCAAGTAAGTCGCTGAATCCGGGCATGACTAAGTTGATTTCACGGATTAAGAAGACTATTTACCAGGTTCGCACCGTGGAAACTACTGGCAATTTATTTCAAGAGCTGTGTAGAACACAAACTGAAACTGGAACAACCCAACCTTTTGATTACAATCCAGCCCGATTTTTGAGTCTGACGACAGCAATTAGAAGGATTCTGGATAAATGGACTGCGATAGTTGCCTGGTATGATGAAAGGGCACGAAAAGCACTTCGCGAAAGCCAAGTTCCCCCTACTTTTCCACTACAAGACGATCAGCTAGATTTGGTTCATCTACTCTCATTGCTACGGCCGATTGCGGGTGTTAAGCGTATGTGTCAAGCTGAAGAACCAAACCAAGTAAATGTGCTGCATGCACTTTATTTGATAAGGTTTAACACGCTTGATCTAGACAAGCCTCTCAAACACTACATGTCGACCAAAGAAAACCCGAAGTTTATTGCCAAAAATGAGTTGACGGACCTGGCTCAATTTACTCGAGAACGCCTTCGAAAGGCGCTCGATTCACGATTTTTTTCGAGATATTACAAGACGAGTGAGACTCAATCAGCTGCATTTGTGTTTGAGATGCAATCTCGGCTTCACCCGACATACAAAAGGCCTGATAAATCCTTAAACCGTGTGGTAAAGCTATGCTGTATCGACAATGGTCACCGCGCGAGAGACGCAGAGGTTCGATTGGAGTATGTCAGCGAAAAAATTAAAGAAAAGTTTCGGGAAATTTTGACAGCAGTAGCCGAGAACCGTACTATTTTTGAGTATGCAAGTTCTAATTTCGCATCGCGCCCGAGATCGGACTTTCTGGAAGATAGAAGCAGAGTTTTCGTGTACAAGTAGGCATACTGAAACTCAGGACCTACCAAGATCGCGAGTTGATGATGAATTGAATCGGTGGAATTTTGATGAAACTCCAATTGGAGTCAAAGCGGACGGCGAAGAAGAAAGTGTTTTGGAATTTTGGCGTTGGATGGAGCAAGAAAAAAAATATCAGATACTACCACGAGCAGCAAAATTATTGTTCGCAGTTCCTACATCGTCCGCTCATATCGAGAGAGATTTTAGCGTCGCTGGTAGTATGGTGACCCCACAACGCACGCGGATCACTCAGCGCAATGTCGACATGGGCATCTTCCTAAACCGCAACCGGACCTTTGTTGATCTTACTCAATGCGAGGAAATTCCCAGCGAGGAACTAGCATCTCATGTCCCCTCAAGCATGTCCTACCCGATTGAGTGCGTGCCCGATGGATTCGGAGACGACGTGCTGGCGGAGATGATGTCTAGCACAAGTCTGTCAGAACTGTTTGACTTCAATGATGTTTCGTCGTAGAAGCCCGGGGTGTTCTCCCTCGCTTCTTAACCGTTTTCATTCGCGACGATACCTATCGGTGTAAGAGATTATCGTTAGCATGTTACATCATAACAGCAAATTCATATACACTTACTTTGAGTTCAATGATTGCCGCCCTTGCCTCAGCACGCATCTGCACCTCGCGCTGCACCTCCGCGATCACTGCGGTGAGAGCGCATCCCGCAGAGAGTTTACGTTTTGCCACGGCTGTCGACTGCCTTTGCTTATGGGGGGGCTACCTTTGCGTATTGATCACTGCCCTCGGGTAGGGCTTCTTTTAGACTTGGCTGCGAAGATTTTGTAGGAAACATTTCTGCTTTCGCTTCTGCAAACATACTCTTCAACATGCTGCGCAACCATGAACGCTCAGGTCGAGCTTCGCCATCTTCTCGAGCTGGCACACCGTCAGCACGCGCTGTTATAAGCTTAGGTGACAGGCGGTACGTGTCTAGCTGCTGCTCACATGCTGCACACTTCTTTTCGCTGTCGGCTTCGGCCTGCTTCTCCACCCTACCCAGCCTTGTATTTAAGTCCTCCAGCTCCGTCATGATCTCAGCATGCCAGTTGCCACGGCGGTCGTGCTGTTGCGCAACTTGTGCTGTCCATCAATGGCCAGAAGCTGCTGCGCGCGTTCGCCATCGTCAAACCCACCCATCCTTCTCGTAGCAACAACTATTTCTTGATTAGTTGTGTCATCGCCCCGATATTCAGCAGCTGCGGCAGCTCTAGCTTGTGAACGGGTCATGACCATTTTCGCTCGTCGTACTAACAAGCTTGCACGCCAATTCGCAAACCCAAGTCGCTTACCAATACGTCTGTGCGCGGCACGCGGCGGTGGGGGCCTCCTCCTACTGCAGGTTGCTGTCGGTGGTGGCCTCGCACTGCGGGCGGCTGCTCGTACTCCTTGTGCTCGCGCTGGCGCTGCTGCTGCTGCTCCGCCTTCTCCTGCACGGGACGGCGGAGTAGCACTCGAGTCTCTTGGCGACGTCTGCGGGCGGCACGCGGCGGTGGGGGCTTCCTCCGGCTTGCTGCTGATTTTTGTGTGTTCCGTATATTTGCGCTGTTTTTTAGCCAGTGAAATCTTGTTGTATTCGAGCGCGCTCGTTGTGCTCCCCTGTCAAATCGGATCACGGAAGAGCGCCCAAATCCCAACGAGCGCGCTCGCAGGCTTTTTGCTGCTCGCGCTCTTTCACGCGAGCAGCGCTCCTGCTCAGCTCGTGGAGTGCTTGGTAAAATTGCTTGTGCACATCTTCCGCCGAGATGAACCAGTCAGGTAGCCGAAACCGTTCAATTCGGAATTAGCATTCAAGGACTCTATCTCACCCCCGAGGTCAGACGACAATGCGGTTCTACGCCGTCGCTTTGGTAGCTGCGGTTGCTCTTCTGGCGGGCGCCAAGGGCGTATCAGCGGTCGCGGACTCCGTGTCTGCGTCGAGTTAGATTCGTCATTGATTTTGCTCTGAAATCGGTTGTACGTCGTGACCATAGTGGCGATACATTGTCGGGCAGATTCTGCGGCTGCAAAGCAGGCGCAGGAGATGCCCGTGGAGCGTGCGGATTGAGTTTATCAATGGCGATCAAAGGTGAGGTAACCAATCCTATCCCAGCCTTCGCGAAGCCCTAGTCTATCTGTTATGACCCGTGTTGTGTTGGTTTTTCGAGCCTCTGAAAAATACTTGCGAATAACTCCAACCCACATTCAAAGTGGCAATTCAGCATGTACACTTGCGTGAATACTACCCTGTAGAGGTAATGTGCACCATTAGACAATTGAAGCAGAAGCAGAGGCAAAAGCAGAGCGTGTTTGTTTTTATCCATAAATCTGCATGGATAATTGTCATCAAAATCTGCGAACCAAAGGCCTCGAAGTCAAACCACCAGCTTACAGCCAGCGCTGGCGAAACGTGGCCAGCGGGTCCAGTTGAGGCATCTGCGGAACCAACGCTGCGATCTCTTCAATGCGCGCCTTCACCTCCGGGGTCAGCTTCTCCACGAACGCAATAGCCTTCAGGTTTTCCTCGAGCTGCGACGGACGGCTGGCGCCCACCAGCACAGTCGACACGTTCTCGTTGGAGATGCACCAGGCCACAGCGAGCTGCGCCAGCGAACACCCCAGCTCGTCCGCAATGGTCTTGAGCTTGTCGGCCTTCGCCACGCGCTCGTCGAACGTAGCACCGAACAGGGTCTTGAAGAAGGGATCGGCGAAGCGTGTGCTTTCAGCCACGCCGCCGCTGTATTTGCCCGTGAGGATGCCGTTGGCGAGCGGAGCCCACGTCGTCAGGCCCAGCTTGTACTTCTTGTACAGCGGCGCGAACTCGAACTCCACCTTGGAGCGCTCCATCAGGCTGTACTGGGCCTGCTCCACGATGGGGCGGATCAAGCCGAGACGATCGGCCACGTCGCACGCTTCCACGATGTCAGACGCATTCCACTCGCTGGTTCCCCAGTAGAAGGCCCACCCCTGCTCGATCACGTAGTTCATAGCGCGCACGGTCTCCTCAATGGGTGTGTACGGCTCGGGTCGGTGGCAGAAGATGACGTCGACGTAGTTCAGCTGCATGCGGCGCAGCGAAGCCTTAGAGCCCTCGACGATGTGCTTGCGGCTGATGCCCTGGGCGTTGGGACCGGACTCCTCCCACCCCTTGGCGCCCATGAACAGCTTGGTGGTGACCACGAGGTCTTCGCGACTCCAGACTCCATCGGTGATTCCGCGTTGAATGGCCGTGCCCATGATCTTCTCGGCTTGGCTGTTGCCATACACCTCGGCGTTGTCGTAGAAGTTGATGCCGGCCTTGAACGCGATCTACATCATCTCGTACCAGGCATCGGTCGTATGCTTCTCGTCGACAGTCATCCAGCTGCCGAGCGCCATCTTGGAGACGAGCAGGCCGGAGTTGCCGAGGAAGCGGTAGGTCATCTTGGTGGGGGTGGCAGCGTCTTTCGACATGGCAGGCAGGAGTTGTTGCTTGGAGAGGCTGGCTGGTTGCTCGGTATAAAGCAGATTGGAAAATGAACTGCAGCGGTGGAGCCCGAGAGTATGATGAGCTACAACTTACCAGCTCTGGATACTGAACTGTGTCGAGGTATCAGGAGCGTAATCGAGGCAAGTGCACAATCTCGTGCCGATTATATCAACAGCACCTGCATACTCCCGCCCTCGATTACGGGCACAACTCCAATCCACTGGAAGTACACAATTGATATGCGCGTGATGATGCACTACGAACATGCCTCATTCATCTTGTCCATCAAAGATATTCGACGATACCGGTAGCAAGCAAGCATATCTCCGTGGGCTGCCATTTGGCTGTTTCGAGTGTCGTGCTGAAAAATGTTGCAACTCCGGCCAGAATGGCGTGACCGCTAGCTTCGCGAAGGTCTCGGATAAACCATTTGCCACTTTCAAGTCGATACGTACGTAATGCTGACCAAGTTTCCTCTTAAACCAAAGTCCTGTGATTGTGAAACAGACAAAATCTCAAAGGCAATCGTTATAAGGCGCAACCTGTACTTAAAACGTGATCGATGTAGCAGGGCACAACCATGATCGAGCTCACTCATAGGACATCACGTCTCACCCGCACCAAGTCAATCCAGTTGTCTGTTCGCGGCCACAACAAGCACTTGACGTTAGTGACAAGCACCACATTATACAAAATGAAGAAAATAAACTACTTACTCCCACTCATCGTTCTCGTCGTCGGCATATACCAGCTTTTCGGGAGGTGATTTGTCGCGCTGACTCCACTCCGGGGCAGTCTCGCCGGAGTAGCCATAGTCGAAAAAGAGCTCGCCTCCCACTTCAATCGCTTCTCGCGCGAAAAGGCCGATGCGGTCCTCTCCATTCGAAGAGAAAATTCGTACATCCAGGTTGGGATCTCCTTTCTTATGGTTGGCAAACTTCGCCTTATTGCCTTTCCTGGCCGCGTCAACCACTTCCTGACTGTTCACACCGAAAAGGTAGCTGACCCCGATGCGCTCGTAGAGTGTTGTCCCTCGCCGCTCTGCCTCCCTGTCCGTAATGAGTTCTCCAGTGTACTCCAACACAAAATCGTCCTTCCGGATCGGCTCAAGAGCGTACGCACCCCACCCATGTGTCCCAGAGAAAGCAACGCCAATCTTCTTCTGAATACTGCCGCGCAACATATTCACATTGCGGCAGATGTTCAGGTCGTGGCTGCTTTTGCTCTTGAACTCGGGATGGAATGCCATCACGGCGGCATCGCTGGCTCCGCAGCTGAAGCAGTAGTCGGGATCACACTCCTTTCCAGCTTTCAAGCACGCACATGTCGAAGAAATATGGCAATTCCCAATCGAGCAGTTGCAGCCCTGGAACCGGTTAGGGCAATCGCGAGGACAGGAGCATGACCTGCCACAAGAGTGGCGATCCTTTACGCACTCGCATTGCTCGTCGCATACTCCGTCGTGACTGCACGGTTTGTAGCTCTCCTTTTTCTCTCGATCGTAGCTGCGCTTTTCACGACCGCGCTTCGCTATTGATCTGTTCGAGCGCACCCCCGCACCATGTCGTCGGCCTTTTCGTTGTGTTTCGGACGACATCGACAAGTCACCCGTGATCTCCATGTCATCGCCGCTATCTCGTCGTTTTTTCTCTTCAGCCAGAAACCTAGAGATCTGCGCACACGTACACCTTGGGCTTGCGAGTATTGCTGATACCACGCACGAATTCGGTCCATAGATGGATGCAAGCTTTCGAACCAGCACCGACTCAACCTGCTTAAGTGGTGCACCCCTTTCTGTCGAGTTGTCATCGCTGACGGACAACCAGCAAGAATTACTGCAAGGTTGTGCCTTAGACACCAACTTTTGTAGCTTCGCCGTAACTGCGGGGAGGTAGGAATTGTCCACATACTCCGACTTGTCTGCGGCGCGCTCAAACTTTTCGCGTTTCTTTCTTCGTTTCTCCAGTTTCGCGAGTCTTTCAGTCTCTAACATTTTCTCTTGCGTCTCCAAGCTCTTGCTTGCCTTTGTACTGATGAGGGTCTGAGAGCGTTTCGAGCGGCGATATTGAGAGGCAGGCTGGGACTTGGAGTCAACTTCGCTAGGATGCTGTTTCTTGCTTTCCTGCACTTCATCCTCTGATGATGAACCGCCAGTCAGCTCGATGATATCCGCATGATCTGCAGGCGACGTTGAGGAGCTTGGCGTTTCATCTGCGCCCCCTTCTTGCACGGGTATGTCTTGTCGAGCTAGCACAATACATGGAGCAGTAACCATCGGGTTGATCGGATCCGCGCGAAGGCTTCGTTGCGGGTTTTGAGTTCCATGATCGTAGCAGTCATAAGTGTAACAGCGGCGGCATAATAGGTCACGATGCCCTCCAGTTAACCCTTCGTAGGTATTGCAGTCGCGTATACCCAGTGCCTCTGGTGATTCAGCATAACTTGACTCAAAACCCTCCAACGGCTCTTGTAATCTCACAGCTAACGAATGGGGCTCTGACTTATCTTGAAGAAACCAGCACGGCTGTGCGAGCTCACGAAGAGCCTTAATCGCGTTAGTCAGGTCAGCCGCCTTGCTACTAGCGTCCGTGGGGGATTCCTGATGGAGGCCAATCAGCTTGCGCACTTTAGCAATCTTACTTGCCGTACGTTGCACTTTCTTATACAGCCCTCGCATCTCGCAATAGTCAACGAATGGTCTATCAAAGTCTGCTTCATGCTGGAGTGCCAAGAAGACTTGTTCGGATGCTCCACATTTTCTCACAATAATTCGTAATAGATACTCCATAACTTCGTCATCCCGCGCGCCAGGATTCAACACCTTCAAGTCCTCGCCCTCTCCGAAAACTTTTACTTGGCGTGCTTTGCTCATAGTCGTTCCATCGTACAATTCATTGTCGATTTCCAAAGTCTTGCCGTCGCCCAAATAAGGCACATGACGCAAAATGGGGTCATCATCAACGAATGGGTTTTTCCTGACTCCAATCATGGTGAAAGACCGACGAAGCGCGGTGATTTCTTGCAGATCATTGACCGTTTCTGGGCAAACCAAGGACGCAAGAGGTTGGTCCTGGTGCTGAACAACGTAGCGCACATCCCCAACCAGAGAATTGTAAGGCCGTCTTGAGTTCGTCAGATTCTGCAAGATCCGCTTTGCTGTAACGTGCTCGATAGGGGAAATATCTAACCACGACTGATGATCTGTATAAGCGGACACAATAAAGAGCGTATTAGTGGTTAACAAACAGCAATTGCAACGGCAATATTGGCAAGATACTTACTCGCAATTTCCGACCACTGTAAGCGTCTGTAGCGCTCGCTACGGAGAACTTGATGGGCCTTAAGATACCCGTTCACCTGTTTTCGTGTGTCTCTCAGGATATGGCGCACTCTGCGGCCGTGGCACTTTTTGATGTACGGCAACTCCTCTTCGACCAACTCCCTCACCTTGGTGTTGACCTCTGACTGGCTTGGTGGCTAGTGGCACAACATCATTCAAACACAAACTCAATAAAATGGTCTACCCACGCACACCTGCTGCAATTACCAACCTGGGTCATAAGATTATCCTCTGTGATAGCAACGCCTTGACCCACCGCCGCGACAAATTTGCATTTTTCCTTAAGATTGCCCTCTGGGTCGTACTCCCAGAGTGGTTTGTCGGATCCTACACAAAATAATTGGTCGCTGTCAGTATGTCACCGATAAATCACAGCCAGCTCTAATCAAACGCTTACCAGAGGCATACGGGATTGTCGATACAGCGTGTAGGATATTCGGAGGCGCTTCCTCGAAAACAAGTCGCCTCCATGCCGTCGAGTGTATCAGTGGAGTACTCGGCTTCTGCACTGGCGTCGTTGTGCATCCAGCAGCTGACACAACATGCGCACTTGGCGCTGATAATCCGTTTCGAGCGGAAGGCGAAATGTAGGTTAACGAGGGGGGAGTGTTGGGGGTCTCCTTCTGGTTAACGCCCATTCGAGCACGGCGACCATTGCCGTTCGTCTTTGTTGCAGCGTGTGTACCGTTCGTATTTGCACCGTGCCCCCCTTTCCGTGCTGTCGAAGGCGCCCCGCCGCCATTACGTTTTCTCCAAAACTTCAGTGCCTCCTCCTGCTCTTGCAGCTCCCTAAAAGACATGTGTTCTGCAAGATGCTGCGTCTCACTCACGCCATGGAGAACACTCCGCAACGAGGACTGCGCCGCATTGGTCTGCACCGGAACTGCAGGTGCTGAAGTCTTTGGCTGGCGCGAAGGGGAAGTCGCAGTTGATTCTGCCCGCTTAGAGGCGGGTTTCTTCTTGGCGCTTGACTTCTCTTGCCGCGGAGGTGCAATTATTTCAACTTCCTCCTCTTCACTCTCTTCTGCACTTGATTCTTCGTCGCTGGCTGCTTCCTCACTTTCTTCTTCACTCGATAAACTCCGCGACCTTCGTTTTCTCGGCAGAGCTCCCGGCCTTGGTTTGCTGGGTTTAACAGCCAGCGTAGCCCTCTTATCTGCCTTCTTCTGTTCCTGCGACTTCGGAACAGCCATTTTCCGGGCTGTTTGCTGCTTGCCACTCCACCTCCTATGGTCATCCGTCCGAGCACCTGAACCTGCTGACTTGCGCGCCGTCTCACGTGGTCTGCTCACCGTCGACATCGTTCTCGACGGTGCCGCACTCTGCTTCTGTTTCTGCTTGCGTAGTGCCTCCCTTTCGGCTGATACCCGTGTGAAATTATCCCACTCCTCGTCCTTCTCCTCGCTCTCGTCACTCTCCCCGCTTGCACTCGCACTGCTGTACGATTTCTTCCGCCTGTTGACCGACGGCGCCGACTTGCGCGCTTTCTGCCTGTGGAAGTGGTCCAAAGCCCTCTTCTGCGCCTGCAACTCACTGGTGCTCACCTTCGTCTTCTCCTTATGTTGCCTAGCTCCAGTTGAATTTTCACTAATGTTGCTCTTGTGCTCGACTCGCGGCTTCGGCGGCGGCGGCGTCTTCCTGCGGTTCTGGTTCTGGAACCGCGCCATCATCTGCTGCTGGGCCTGCAGCTCGTAGAAGCTCATGCCTTCCGTGATCTGTCGCATCTCTCCGTCCGCCCGGCGGTCGGGGCGCGGGCGGGTGGATGGAGCAACATAAGCTTTCGTTACAGCAACTTTAGTCTTCTTCGCTGGTCGCTTCAATTGCGCGAGGGTCTCGCGCTCCTCGACACTGCCGTCGCTCTCGTCCTGGCTGCTCTCGCCCTCGCTGCTGGCGCTAGAGGCGCATCGCTTCCTCCTTCGGTCGCTGGGGCCGGCGCCAGGCGCGCGCATCAGCCGCCGCCGCGGAGGCTTAAGTTGCGCCTTCTCCTCCTCCTCGCTGCTACTGCTGGGGCTGCGACGCACCCGGCGCCGCGCGCGCGACGGCTGCGAGTCGCTGGACGAGGCCTCGTCGCTGCTGCTGAGCAGCTCGATCACCTCCTGGCCGCCTGTGGGGGAACGGCACGAGAGCGTTAGCGACACATTCATACACAGGCAGGATACGGGCCCGTTGGGTACTTGCCACTCATGTTGCGGACTGATGGATGGACCAGTCACAAAATCAAAATGGGCACAATAAATGGGCTTTTGGTTGCTGGTCACATATCCTGTTTTTGCGCATTTGTGACGCGCAACGTGGGAAGTTGAAGTGCGAAGATACTTTTTCGGACTATTTGTTGTGATTGAATTGCATTGATTGGCAAACATGTATTGAATAGATCGGGAACAGTAAGTCCTTAGCACATGCCGTGGTTGTTCGCGGGGGCAGGCGTGGCGCTGGACGACGCGGATCCCGTCGGGCTGGGCGTCGCAGAAGTGGCGGGGGCGGTCGTCGTGGACGCGGGCGGCGCGTCGCGCTCCTCGCTCGCCGCGGACGGAGGAGTGGGGGTGTCCGAGGGAGTGTCGGGCGAGGACGGGCTGGACGGTGTCGACGGCGCATCGGTGGTAGGGGTCGAAGCGTCCGAGGACGGAGTCGAAGGGGTGGAGGGCGAGGACGGCGTAGAAGGCGGCGCCGTTGTAGCGGGGGCCGGAGCAGCCGTGGGCGCCGGCGTCGTGGGGGCTGCCATGGTCGGGGCCGGAGCGCTCGTAGGTGCCGGCGTTGTCGGTGCAGCGTTCAAGTCGCACACCTTCGCCTGGCCAGAGCACGACTGCTGGTCGAGGCTGCACGAGTCCAGGTCCAGCACGCACAGCATCCAGCACGTGGTCGCGCTGTGCGTGCTCACAGTGCAGTCGCAGCTCTTCTCGCAGTCCGCGGCGTCAGTCGCGTGGTTTCGGTTGCACACAACAGAGCAGCCATCGGAGGGGGCCGTCGCCCCGGACTTGACGGTACACGAGTTGAAGCTGCATTCGGCATCGGCAGACGCCAGCAAGTGACGGCCCGGAGCGCAGCCCAGCAACTGGTGGTCCGACTGGTAGCCTTGCTGCACGTACTGCGCCGTCGTGTTCGCGTGCACGTCGAAGTCCATCTGCTTGAGCATGCGCTGGTACGACGGCAGCAGCGTCATCTTGCCGAACCACGCGCGCAGCAGGCGCTGCGTCTCCGCCGTCTCCACCTCGGGCATGCGCACGCCGTGCATCACGGCCGGGAGCTGCTCCGACGTGGCCACCCACCGGTTGTAGCCCGTGCCCACCATGAGTGTCACCTGGTCGGGCTTGAGCACGGGCCGCACGCGCTGGCCGTCGCGCCGCTGGATGATGAGACCCGACTCCGAGTCATCCTGGCCGCCGGCCGACACCGACTCGAGCGTGCTCTTGGAGCCGTCGCTGCTGACCTTGTAGAAGGCGGGCGTGGCGAACACGATGAACATGCCGTCGTCCTCGTGCAGCTCGAGGGTCAGGTCGTCTTGGCTGCTGCTGTTGGTCGTGGCATTGGCGGCCGAGGCGAGTCTGCGCTCGTGGACGGAAGGCGCCTCGTAGGCGTGGAAGTGGTCGAGGCGCACGGCGTCCGTCATGAGCTTGCGGCTCGAGACGGCCTGGCCGTAGCCGTCCTTGGTCGTGAAGCTCGTGGCGTCGAGCGTCGTGGCCACGTTGAGCACCACCAGCTCCAGCAGCGACGAGAACTCGTTGTAGACGGCCGAGTAGCCCGGACACGCGGCGTGCGTGGTGGTGGCGTTCGGGTTGGCTTCCTGGCCCGACGGCGTGCTGATCGTGTAGCGGTTCGTGCCGTCGGAGAGCGTCTTGTGCAGCAGGAACTCGGCGTTGGCCTCCTGCGCGGACACGGCGCAGTTGGCGGCCGAGTCGAGGTACGCGCGGCGCACCTGTGCGTAGGAAGGCACGTTGGTGAAGCTGATGATGCCGTCCTTCTTGAGCGCGTCGAGGACGTCGTTGGGCGTGTTGGCGGTGGAGAGGGTGGCGTAGTCGAAGGTGGGGACTTCGAATGCAGGCGCCTTGTCGGCAATGGTGGTGGGGACAGCGCCCGCCATGAACATGGCAGCTAGACTGAGCAGCATCTTGTTGATTTGAACCATTTTGAACCGATGAGAGCAGGTGTTTGGTTGTGGCGACGGAGCTGTAGCTCGGTAAGGCAAATTTGAGAATGATTGGCAAATGATAAGGGCACAAGTGCTGCGTTGAAGGGCTGGAAGCAAGAGCTCAAGCTCGCAAATGGTTTTGATCTGCCTTCGGAGATTTGAGGTCAGGAATCACTCGCTGCATCAGGCAGCGGAAGCGTGTCAACGAGTTGCACCTTGGGACATCCAGTGAGTGGGGAGGGTAGAGGGCTTAAATTTGATGCATGGAAACGAGCCCCTGGCAACTTTCCGTCGGAAACGTGCCCACAGCAACTTGCGTACACGGGTATTATTGACAGACCACGCACATGCTTTCGTCTGTAATGATGTTAGCGGTGTCCGTACGCCAAGAGGAAGGGGCGTTATGCTAGGGCGCGAAACCTTGCATCTTCAAGATATTTCGACCGCCAACATACAGTGTTTTTCTAACAGGCATCCCGGTAAGCGCTATCCTGTTGTAGGTCAACGGTAAAAATGAAATGCTGTAGCACCGTCCACTCGTTTATTGAGTATTTCGGAGTACAGTATCATTTCAGTATCTTTGTAGGGTTAACTTGTGAGTACATGTACTGTAGAGATGAACACCTGGTTTACAGTGTGTATTGTCGATTTGGTTTTGGTCGACGATTTTTTCCTGTTCGAGCGCTGCTTTCCCGCAAGATTGGTGATCAAACATCCCTCCAGACTCAGGACTCCAGAGTTTTCAGTGCAGAGCGTTGCTTTCAGACCGCGCAAGTGAGGATGCTCGTCAACTAAGTACGGAGGAGTGCGACTTCCAAGGTACTCCACCACAACGTCCCGGTACATGTACGATACTGTACTTGATTCCAACGTGCACCTCGAAGTTCATGTGCATGTAAAGCAACGCTACTGCTTCGAGATGAGATAGCACGTGCCAACATTACATTTGGATCCACCTGATTTACTTCCCGGTCTCGTTGCTGAGAAGCCGACAGTGCAAGACTGGTGTAACCATCAGCTGCGGGATTTAGCAATTGTCGATTTGGGCAGGAGGCCAGCAACTTGCACTACAAATGAGCTGTCCGTCCAAGAGACCAGTCTACGCTGGAGTGAACATGGTCTCCATACAACATGACACGTCGCCCCGTGTCTGAGGTGTTTACTTTTATAACTTAAGTACTCATCGAACTACTCGATATTTTAATATCGAGTAGTTCGATGAGTTCTGAGTAATTTACAAAAGTCTTAAGAAAAATGCCACAGACAGCATGACCACCTGGAAGGAGAAGGAGAGCGAGTACGAGGAGAAGATCATTGGCGTAGAATTACCCCCTCTAGGTAATAGGGAATTCAAGCGAATAAAAAACAATAGAAATATCATCGCAAAATTCTCGTAGCGTCTTATTCACATTAGCGTAGGCAGCAGCCAGCACTGCTAGTATTCTCTCGTTAATAGAGCGCGCTTGCTCAAAAGGATATAATCTGTCCGAAAGTACTCGAAAGTACAAGCACATTACTTGTTACTCTTGAACTAAGTGACAACGATGTATTAATACCTCAATTAAAAAAAAACATTACTTGTTACTCTCTAGTCAGACAGATATATTAATATATCTACTTGGAATAAAGGACGATCCCCACTGGAGCAACAGGACGAGCTTATGCGAGCTACCAGCGACTAACTGGTTCATAAGTGTAGATGTATCGCGCGAGTGTACCGGTAGCAACAAGCCCCTTGTGGGTGGGTACGGTAATTCACTCAATCGGTGTATTCGTTTGGCACATTTCCTGTATCTTACCGCAGATATTTTCCCCGGAGACCCATATTCGTGAAGCGTTGCGCATTTTTAAGTTTAAAAACGTCAGGATAAACCAGCTTCAGCTCGCTGCACGCTCCCAGACCTATGAGTCCGGGCCGGAATGGAAATTCCGGCAGTGTAGACTTTGCGTCCCGACAAGGCTGGCTGCACTCGGACGAGTGCAGCTTTGTCAACCTGCTAATCTTCGTAGCACCTTCCCGTCAAAATTTGTTCGCCAATGCGGAGAGAAGAAGTCAATACTTGTGGCATTATCCTGCAGACAATTGAATCAACTAAAACAATGCAGCTCCTCCAGCGATTCTCGTCATCTTTATCTATTATTATAATACAAACTGAATAGCAGCAGATGACCTTCCAATCTCATTCATTTGCAATTTAGCCCTCCGCCACCACAATCGCATCGGTGGCACGCATAACTATCATGCCAAGAACTCTCCTCGCTTGTGTAGCCATGCTCATGGCGGGCGCTGTCCCCACCACCATTGCCGACAAGGCGCCTGCATTCGAAGTCCCCACCTTCGACTACGCCACCCTCTCCACCGCCAACACGCCCAACGACGTCCTCGACGCGCTCAAGAAGGACGGCATCATCAGCTTCACCAACGTGCCTTCCTACGCACAGGTGCGCCGCGCGTACCTCGACTCGGCCGCCAACTGCGCCGTGTCCGCGCAGGAGGCCAACGCCGAGTTCCTGCTGCACAAGACGCTCTCCGACGGCACGAACCGCTACACGATCAGCACGCCGTCGGGCCAGGAAGCCAACCCGAACGCCACCACCACGCACGCCGCGTGTCCGGGCTACTCGGCCGTCTACAACGAGTTCTCGTCGCTGCTGGAGCTGGTGGTGCTCAACGTGGCCACGACGCTCGACGCCACGAGCTTCACGACCAAGGACGGCTACGGCCAGGCCGTCTCGAGCCGCAAGCTCATGACGGACGCCGTGCGCCTCGACCACTTCCACGCCTACGAGGCGCCTTCCGTCCACGAGCGCAGACTCGCCTCGGCCGCCAATGCCACGACCAACAGCAGCAGCCAAGACGACCTGACCCTCGAGCTGCACGAGGACGACGGCATGTTCATCGTGTTCGCCACGCCCGCCTTCTACAAGGTCAGCAGCGACGGCTCCAAGAGCACGCTCGAGTCGGTGTCGGCCGGCGGCCAGGATGACTCGGAGTCGGGTCTCATCATCCAGCGGCGCGACGGCCAGCGCGTGCGGCCCGTGCTCAAGCCCGACCAGGTGACACTCATGGTGGGCACGGGCTACAACCGGTGGGTGGCCACGTCGGAGCAGCTCCCGGCCGTGATGCACGGCGTGCGCATGCCCGAGGTGGAGACGGCGGAGACGCAGCGCCTGCTGCGCGCGTGGTTCGGCAAGATGACGCTGCTGCCGTCGTACCAGCGCATGCTCAAGCAGATGGACTTCGACGTGCACGCGAACACGACGGCGCAGTACGTGCAGCAAGGCTACCAGTCGGACCACCAGTTGCTGGGCTGCGCTCCGGGCCGTCACTTGCTGGCGTCCGTGGATGCGGCTTGCAGTTTCAAGGAATGTAATGTGAAGTCGGGTGCGGCAGCTCCACCAGAGGGCTGTGCTGTGGTGTGTAACAGAGGCCACTCAACTGATGCGGCGTCGTGTTCAAAGAGTTGTGATTGCACTGTGAGCACGCACACTGCGACCTCGTGCTGGATGCTATGCGTGAAGGACTTGGATACTTGTGCCGTATCCAAACAGTCGTGCTCTGGCCAAACAAAGGTGTGTTCGGCCTAAAACTCGCTGTACTAAGTAATAAATTTCTGCCATTGGAGATATAGATCTTAGGATATTAAACAAAGCGACGTATTCCAAGTACCATATACTTTACAGCCTTCGAGGATGTTTGGGTGTTGACACCTCACCAAGGGGTAGGCTTGACGCTTTAAAACCCGCCCAAAAGCACCGTTGTACAGTATCCCTGGCGGAAGCGTGCCCGCGGCATCTTACCGACGGCAAGTTCCTTGCCCGCATACATGTATTATTGACAGGCCAAGTGCGCGCTTTGACTGCACTGCATGTCCGTACGCCAAGAGAAAGGGGCGTTATATCCCCTCAACATACCCGATACCGATACAGTACATGTTGCCTCAGCGTTGTAGGTCAATGATAAAACTGACACCGTTCACTGTTCGTTCACCTGAGCATTAATCGAAATCTCAAAGTATCTTTGAGAATCTTTGACGGGATCAACTGATGCGTGGGATGGGCACACCATCGTTGCCTGTAGGTATTGTTTCAGACGATTTTTTTTCTGTCCTGTTGTACATGTATTGCTGACAGGTCTGGCAACTCGTCACAGCTTCAGCCTAAAGCGAGAATAAACTTCATACAAGCAATTATCGACTGGGGGACATTTCGACATCAATGGCCGTGCAACGGAACCCTGTCTATGCTAGAGGGACAAATTGCCCATACCGGTACAACATGGACAACCGCCTCTCATATACCAGGTATGTGGGTGCAGCCTGGTTGAGTTTGCATCGTGCCGAACGTATTTTAATACGTTCGTCACAAAAAAAGATTAAAATATTTTTTAACTAGCTGAGCAGCTCGAGTGGGCCGACCTCTTACGTACAGTAAAACTGTACATTTGACGACGTCCCCAAAGCATCAGCCTAAGCTTATCAGCGCTACTAGTCAATTTTTGAAGTGTAAGCCTAGGCTTTAGACCTGCCTTGCTGTAAGCTTCTCAAATGTATATAGCACCTTTACCATATAGATACTGTTGTAGACAGTTCTAGCTATCTATACTAGTCATGGGCATCGAACCAGCTACAGAAACTACTGCGATGGTTTTCAGTACCTGCTGGGGGACAGAATAGCTGTCTTACTTGATCGCAGTCCGGTATTGGTAGCACAGTTATGGATCAAAACACCTTCTGCCAGCAGTGTTGCTCTTAATTAAAACTGCATGCACAGGTAGCAAGGGAACCAACGTGACCGAGGCTGCGCTTTGCTGCAAGTTTTTGCAAACCTAGCTCGAGTCAGCACGAATGCTGCAAGTTTTAGCGAACCTAGCTCGAGTCAGCACGAATGCTGGGCATTCGTGAGCAAATAAGCTCCAACAGAGCGTTGTGCTTTCGGATGGTTGCTATGTGCCCCGTTGCACCAAGAGTGATCAGCTGATAGCCGTGCACTCAACCTACCTATCGAGCTTCGGAGATGCAGCATGTCTGACATCGCCCAGCACGCCTTCCTGCGCGGCATCAAAATTGCCAGCAGCTCCTACCCTGCATCAAAAAGCAGTGCCAGCAATGCAACAATTTGTCATCGCATCTAAATCTTGCAGCTAGACGTTCCCGCCGAACACAAGCCCTTCGCTGAGGCAACACTCTCATGGGTCAAGATCGCCACGACATAGTCCCAAGAGCGATCCGACGTGCTCATACCGCCGTGATACCGCGAGACGAAGGGGCGCCGTGCACTTATGTACCATAACTTTAAGGCCCTCCGATGACGGTGCCCTTACTGAAAGTCTGTGAGGAGTCTCTTGGCCCGGGCCCAAAAGCCCACTATACCCGAGTAAAATTCGGGGAGGTCGTGCCCCTGCTATACATTACAACCCTAAACCTACTTATTCCATCTAATCAATCACCAGACACTACGCGGTAAGGAGAGGTATACCGGTACCAAGTCATTATAATGGGGACTTCGTCCCAAAAATAACTTTTGTATATTAATAATAATAATAATAAAAGTTGATGATGATCACAGTTGTCTATTTAGCTTTAGTTAATACAGTAGCGTCCTGATGTATAAAAGTTGCAAGTGCTCGCAGATACATGTAGATATCTACATGCTAAGTATATGCATGGCAGGCTGTGGATAAACCAACTTCAACTTGACTGCAAACCCTGACCAACGATGCCGATACACTGAATGCACGCACATGCACATGTACATCTTGACGAGTCGTCAATGACGAGCACAGCACGACTTGGTTGCCTCGCAGCATCATCCAGTCAACAATTGTTCACCAGAGCTGGAGGAAAACAAAGGTCCTTGCAAACAAACAATGGCCACAATCTTGAAGTCGTGACATGCGTCGGCCTCGCCACCGTCTCTCAAGTTCTCAAGAGTACAGGTTGTACATGTAACCTGTACATATACACGTTGATGCATGTCCTCCAGCAATCCCTATCTCAGTGACTGGCAGCGCACGCCCAATTGCCCGCGTTGCAACCGCCCACCTCACAGCAGCCAACCACTCCTCATTTGAAATCTAGCCCTCCGCCACCACAATCGCATCGGTGGCACGCATAACTATCATGCCAAGAACTCTCCTCGCTTGTGTAGCCATGCTCATGGCGGGCGCTGTCCCCACCACCATTGCCGACAAGGCGCCTGCATTCGAAGTCCCCACCTTCGACTACGCCACCCTCTCCACCGCCAACACGCCCAACGACGTCCTCGACGCGCTCAAGAAGGACGGCATCATCAGCTTCACCAACGTGCCTTCCTACGCACAGGTGCGCCGCGCGTACCTCGACTCGGCCGCCAACTGCGCCGTGTCCGCGCAGGAGGCCAACGCCGAGTTCCTGCTGCACAAGACGCTCTCCGACGGCACGAACCGCTACACGATCAGCACGCCGTCGGGCCAGGAAGCCAACCCGAACGCCACCACCACGCACGCCGCGTGTCCGGGCTACTCGGCCGTCTACAACGAGTTCTCGTCGCTGCTGGAGCTGGTGGTGCTCAACGTGGCCACGACGCTCGACGCCACGAGCTTCACGACCAAGGACGGCTACGGCCAGGCCGTCTCGAGCCGCAAGCTCATGACGGACGCCGTGCGCCTCGACCACTTCCACGCCTACGAGGCGCCTTCCGTCCACGAGCGCAGACTCGCCTCGGCCGCCAATGCCACGACCAACAGCAGCAGCCAAGACGACCTGACCCTCGAGCTGCACGAGGACGACGGCATGTTCATCGTGTTCGCCACGCCCGCCTTCTACAAGGTCAGCAGCGACGGCTCCAAGAGCACGCTCGAGTCGGTGTCGGCCGGCGGCCAGGATGACTCGGAGTCGGGTCTCATCATCCAGCGGCGCGACGGCCAGCGCGTGCGGCCCGTGCTCAAGCCCGACCAGGTGACACTCATGGTGGGCACGGGCTACAACCGGTGGGTGGCCACGTCGGAGCAGCTCCCGGCCGTGATGCACGGCGTGCGCATGCCCGAGGTGGAGACGGCGGAGACGCAGCGCCTGCTGCGCGCGTGGTTCGGCAAGATGACGCTGCTGCCGTCGTACCAGCGCATGCTCAAGCAGATGGACTTCGACGTGCACGCGAACACGACGGCGCAGTACGTGCAGCAAGGCTACCAGTCGGACCACCAGTTGCTGGGCTGCGCTCCGGGCCGTCACTTGCTGGCGTCTGCCGACTGTCACTTCAAGGAGTGCACCGCGAGGCCAGGCAAAGAGAAAGCTGCCGAGCCTGGATGCCACCTCATCTGCAACAGCGAGGACTTCTCGGATGGCTATTGCAACGAGCGCTGCAACTGCACCGTGAGTACCCACAGCGCGACCACGTGCTGGATGCTCTGCGTGAAGAACTTGGACTCTTGCCCCGAGAGCAAACAGACGTGCTCGGGCATCGAGCGGGTGTGCTCAAAGAAGCTCTAGATCCACTGCGCGTATGGTAGGATAGACTGCAATCAAATACATGTACCGGCATCGGCAAATACATGTATCGTCTTGAATCCGCGCAGGTTCCTGGCCCCTGAAAGATACCTTATCGCCCATGAGACGGAGATCGTGGTGTCGTTTGGAGCGCGCGCAGGTCGGAAGCAGATCCAGATTGTCAACGCAGAGCTCAAAGCCAGGACGCTCGCCACTTGTCGTGCGTCGCATTACATTTGCTCTCGCCCCCCACAGGAAGGAACTCCTCGAACCGATGATCTCGGTGGAGCAGGTCGAGAATAGACTCCCTTCCTCTTGCCCTGCCGGTCGACCTATTCCTGCCAAGATGCTCAGCAGCGCGTTAGCTGGAGACGCGACGGCGCACGCCAGGAGAAGCGGCGGCCCCTATTTTAATTCCTCCCGGCTAGCTCAGAAACGACCCAAGCCCAGGCGCGCGGCCGCGAGCTCTCGAGCGCGAGTTGTGACGCCGCATCGGAGCATGGAAGACACGACCGACGCCACGCAGCAGACGACCGCGGCGCCGCCCACGCCGACGACGTCCACTCCACGCAAGTCCAATGTGTACTCGCGCCTGTACGACCCAAAGTCGTACACGGGCGTCTACAAGAAGCGCTTCGAGTCCGACTGCCACGACCTCACGGAGCGCGTGGTGCACGACCTGTCCAACGCCATGCGCACCAACCTCAACTACGACGTGAGTCGCCCCAAGGCGCGGACGGCGTACGTACTCGGGCCACTGTCTGCTTGCTCTGCAGCCTGGGTGTCAAGGTTGAGCGGGATACTAAACTAACTTGTCTGGGTGTTGCGTCACAGCTCGGTCAAGAACATTTCCACCCCCGCGCCCAGTGCCCCAGCGCCGCCGCCAGCCCCCGCTCCGGTTGAGCGACCAACATCTGCGCCGCCAGTGCAGGAGAAGCTGCAGGGAGACCCAAACGACCCGCACACGCTGCTGAAGGCCGTGTTCCACTACTACTGTCGCTTCGGCCGGACGGGACCCAAGGGCCTTGGCGAGAAGACTCTAGGTGCGATACTTTTGGGTTGTGCATGGTCTGTCGGCGACGTGAGCTCGGGGATCTGACGTTGTTGTGCGATCAAAAATGTAGACAACTCGAACTTCGTCAAGCTGTGTCGCGACTGCCCCGACCTGCTGGACTCGTCCTTCGGCAAGACCGACGTGGATCTCATCTTCGTCAAGGCCAAGAAGAAGGGAGAGCGGCGCATTAACTACGCGCGATTCTTGGACGCGCTGGGCATGATCGCTATCCAGAAATACGGCGACATGGTACGCGGAGCGGCAAGCTCTTCAATTGATAGGTGTTGGTAGTTGACGACACGCTTTCTTCTTGTGTTGTTGCAGCCACTGGAGGCGTCCGTGCCGAAGCTTTTGGAGGCGCATCTCGCGCATCTGCCGTGTCTGCTCGAGTTCACCGACGGCAGGACTGTGAGTGACGTGCATGAACTCGTCGATATTTCCATTGCATCCTTTGTATCTGACACCGTGCATGCTGCTCTTGTAGGTCCAAGCGGTGTGGCAGAAGAGAGCAGAGCACAACGAGCCGGCAACTGCAGATGCTTCGTCGCCTCCAGTGGCGGAGGAAGTCGTGGCGCCAGCCTCCCCCCCATCCCCCACAGCTCGGCTTTTTGCCAGCAACAGCGCCGAGTCTGCCACGGCAACTGCAACCTCTCCAGGCGTTGCCATGGACGTTGCCATGGACCAAGCAGCTTGAAATACGTCACCACGAATCAACTAACAGCAAATACTGAGGAGGACAGCAGCACGGTATGTAGATGATAGGCACACCTCAGCCTAAAAAATGTAGCCACTTTCTAAAACAATCTTCCACCCTTCACCTTTTCACTTTATACCGCTTCATACCCGAAGTTTGTTGAGAATCGGTTTATAGAGGAAATGGGCTTAAACAAATGGACAAGGTGTCCTCTGTGTCCGCATTCCCTTGAACATCCGAATTTTTACGTGGTCAACATCACCGCTTCTTCAATGCGGCGGATCAGTCACCATACTCAGCTCAAGTGAACCAAGACTCAAGTCGCAACGCAACATGAGCACCGCTGCGGCCTTCGGCGACCTGCGCCTGCTGCCCGTGGACTACCACCGCCAGGTGGCGCGCGAGCTGGCCGCCTTCTTCCACTCCTTCTACCGCTTCGGCGCCGCCTCCAGCCGCTTCGACCTGCGCGACGAGGTGTACCTGGACTTCCTGCACAACGTGATCTTCGGCTCGCTCTGCATCGGCGCCGTCGTCTTCCTCGTGCTCTGCGCCATCGTCGTGCGGCGCTGCATCCTGCACATCCGCAGCGGTAAGAGAACTTTAAACATTCACTTAAACTTTCACTTAAACTTGAGCTATAGGATGCAGTCTAGAGCGCAACTTTAAGCTAGTGCTGCTAACCTGGGTATCTATGGTGTGTTGCAGCCTATGTGCGACGTACATCGATGGACTCCACGTCCGTGGAGCTGCTGGCCGTGGGACTGCTGACCTTCCTGGCTATCAGTGCGCTGGGGGGACTGCTGGGAGAGGCCCAGGTGGACTACAGCGCCGGCGTCGTGCTGGACACCATGACCAACACCAGCGACCTGTTCCAAAACGCCCAAGCGCTCACCTCCCAGAGTCTGGAGACGAGCAGCGCCCTGCGCGTCAATGCTGACGACCTCATCACGTCCTTCAACGACAGCGAGCTACCGGCCGACGCCTTTAGGATGTCGGTGGAGGCGCTGCGCCTGGTGCACGCGTCCAAGGAGCTCTGGAACCAGACGGACCTGCTGCTGCCCAAGAACTTTTCGGGGCTCGCCAAGGACTGGGAGTTCAGCTACTTCGTGCTCAAGTCGTCGACCAACGGCGCCATTCTAGCGGTGACGCTGGCCAGCTTCCTGTCCATCGCGTCCGTCGGCTGGGCCATGGTCTCGCCTCTGAGGGTCTCGATCATGGTCATTCTGAGCGTCGTGCCCATTTCGCATACGCTGATCGGCGCGTACCTGTCGTCGACGATCATGACGGCGGACTTCTGTGCCGCCCCGATGAACAACACGCTCAAGCTCGTGGGCTCGACGCCTGTTGTGAACTACTACGTCGAGTGTCCAGCAAACGTGTCGCTGCCCTTTGCTGAGGCGCTGGATAGCGTCCGGCAGAGCGTCCTGGAGGTGACGCTGCTGCAACAGGAGCTGGAGCGCAATGCGTCGCACCAGGGAGACATCGGCCAGCGCATGAAGAAGGAGTTCCTGGACCCCATCGGCAAGCAGCTGGACAGCGAGGACAACCTCCTCAACCAGTTTGCAGCCTCGCAGACCTGCAAGAACGTGTCGAGCGCGTTCGAGTACGCCGCCACCACGTACTGCGAGTACGGCATGCTGGGCTTCTTCTCCATGTGGGTGCACCAGATTTTGTTGTGCCTGATCCTGTTCGTGTGCGTGGTCGTGTCCGTGCTGGTCTACGAGCGCGTCCACATCCGCGAGATCCGTCTGGACGTGCGCTACCAGCTTCTCTCCAGCTACGAAGAGGACGACGTGGAGCACGTTTACTTGTCGTCGGACTAAGCAGGTGAACGGCTGAGGGTCCCCCGTCTGTCTAGTCTGCATCCATTGCATCTGCCTGCTGCATGTAGCAACTGCGTGTACTTCCGTTCATGTGTATTAACCAACAACTTTTCACTCTTTCTTCCAGCGTCTCCCTCCCTCGATTGACGTTGTCTTCAGGGCTGCTGGCTGCTCTTGGCAGGACTGGGCGCCTCAGGGGGCTCGTCCTGCGGCTGAGTGCTGCCTTCGGCGGCCGCGTTGTCGTCCTCGTCCACGTGGCGACGCAGCCACAGGATGTCGCACTTGACCAGCAGCTTCTCGGGGAGCTCGTCTCCGTCGGGCTCGTCGTAGAGCAGTTCCTGCGCCGGCCTGATGACGACGTCTCCGTTGTCCCTGACCTCACGCAGCACGCCCCTCCACTTGGCGCCGTTCATGACGCGGACGGACACTATGAGGCCCACGCACTCGCGCATGAAGAGCTCCGGGTTGAGGATGAAGCCCGCGGGTTTCTGCGTTCAACAGGAGCCGAAAAGTCAATGACAAGCGATGCAAATCAATGCGGAAGAGAAGGACTTCGAGTCGTACGGTGCCTCGCCACGGGCCCATTTCCTTGCGGTCCTTACGAGCCGCGGGGTTTTGCGGTGCAGCAGCAGTGGCGTCACTCATGGCTTCGATCAGCGAGCGGTCAATGTTGCGCAGGACTCGACGGATTCGCGACTGAGATGCAGGCGGTAGCTGGCTAGCACCAATGGGTACATCTGGTTCGACCAATCAAAAGACACCGCCAGTTGGGTCCGTCTCCGGAAGCGGAGACTCTAGCCTACTTGTAGCAGGCAAGTGCAAGTGGCGCCCTCGCCTCAATCATACCCACACTACAATGGTATTGCAATTGTTGCAGCAAAATAATATATACTTGGTTGGCTTGTGCGGGGGGAGCAACACTTGCCACCTACTCTAACCTCTCGACGATGTTCTCGACCGCTTCTGTCACGGACTCGAACACGGCGACGTCGTTGCGCTCCGCCATTTCCCGCAGATACGCTCGGGCTCTTGCTAGGTCTTTGAACTCGCGGCCGGTGATGGCTGCCCCTTCCTCCACCATGCAGCCTTCCTCCACGGGCTCAATCACCAGCAGCAACGCCTGGTGGCTCGAGACCAGCTCGACGGCCTCGGTCATCGCTGCGATGGAGCGCAGGTTGCGCGGGATCACGAACAGGATCAGCTCGGCGATGGCCTTCTGGGTCTCGATCTCCTGGAAGTGCTCGGCCAGCGCCTGGACGTGCTTCTCCGCCGCGGAGGACAAGCCGAACTGCAGGTAGTCGGCGAACGGGACGTACACGGGGATGCCCGCCGTGCGCAGCAACGGGATGGCGACCTTCTGTCTCCACGACGTGGCTGTCAAGTTGCCGCCGAGATACACGGAGCCGCCCGTGTAGTCGCTGAACATCTGACAGCCGAGCTGGTTCACGATGGACTGCGTGGGGGACGAGAGGCCCGGGGAATCGCTGCTCTGTTCGCTGTCGTCCGTGCTCCTGTTGCTGCCGCTGCTGTTTGACTTGAGCAGCCGCGACGAGTGCGAGCGCGACGTCACGCGGTGCGGTCGGTGCTTGACGGACCAGTCGTTGAGCACAATGGACGAGCGCTTCCTGAGCCTCGGCACCTCCGGGCGGGACTTGGGCGCGTTCGTCTGCGTGAGGTACGCGATGCAGCCCTCAATCGCGGCCTTGACGTCCGGGAACAGGCCCACGCCCCTCTTGATGGCCAGGTCGCGCAGACACTGGCGCGCGCCGTTGAGGTCGGCCAGCTCCGTCTTGGACAGCAGCTTGCCGGCCACCTCGGTGCCTTCTTCGATGTCGTCCACCACGAGCATGACCTTGCGGCCGCGGCAAATGTACTCGACGGCCTCGTTGATGCACACGATGGAGCGCGTGAGGCCGTCCACGACCATGAGCACGATCTGCGCCGTCTCCTTGGCCGTGGCCTCGATCTGGATGAGCTCCTCGAACCACTCGTCCACCTGCGGGTTGAAATACCGCACGCGGGCCTCGTCCAGCAGCGGCATGGCCACGTCGTGCCTCCAGGTCGTGGGGTTGCACGAGCCGCCCAGGAACACGGCGATGTCGGCCAGCCGCTCGCCCGTCGAGGGCTCCAGCCCTTCGCTGAAGCTCTGGGTCTTGCGCGTCAGGCGCGCGGTACTGGCGGCCGCTCGACGAGGCGGCGCGCCCTCGCCCGGCACGCCGCAGACTGTGTTGTTCTTGGCTCGCGAGCGCACCAGGTGCGGCGACGTGTACGAGCGGCGCTTGGCGAAGCAGAAGGCGTGCGCGGGGCGCTGCTGCTGCGGCTGCTGCGTCGTCACGGGGGTCGTCATGGAGGGCGAGGAATGGTGGCCGCGGGGAGGGACTAAATTAATTGGCTACCGTTCGGGCAGGTGTGAGAGTGCGCTTGAGCAATGAGCTGGAAGGTGCCCGTCTCGTTTGTCTAAAGTGCAAGTATTCAGCTTGCCACCTGAGTCACTTTTTTCGGAATACAAACACCAAGTGTAAAAGCATAGAATGGGCAACTGTTGAGGATCTATTTTGGAGTTTCAGTTTAGTTTTAGAGCGACCCCCGAAAAGTCGCAGGTATCCTGCGCATAACCGTCAGAAGCTCTACTTTTTTCCCTCTTCACCGTTCGAGTTCGTCTTTGCCGCAGAAGTTGCGGCTCGGCAAGAATGGAGCTCGTGGGTGAAACGATCGATATATACGCTGTCAAGGAGCATCGCGTGCTGTCTCAGGCAGGATGTGGCAGGAGGACCGAAGCAGACTGTCGGGGTTTTGTGGCTGCCGGCCTGATTGCCAGCTTGCCACCTGGAGGATGGCGGACGGCGCCGAAGAACAACTTGCCACCACGCCTACCATCAACCCTGCCTGGCTTGTGCGTGTGAGCTGTGAGCTCCTCCACGATTTTGACATGGCCGGCGCGTGGGAAATTCCACCACCGCCAACGCTGCGATGGCCAAGTGGAAACGCCGGTCGTCGAACACAAAAATCCGGTCCGACCTTCACTAACAAAAAAATAGTCAACACAAATACTAGTATTTGGGTACAGTCGTGTTGTCCACACCATCCTCATCAAATCTTTTCCCTCTTCAACTGCATTCGTTCGCCCCCCCCCCCTCATCTCAGCGCCATGACGAAGCCGTTCGCGCGCCTGCCGACCTGCGTGGCCCCCTCCAAGTACTTCCTGGACTACGCCGTGGACCTGGACCGCTGCCGCTTCGAGGTGCGCGAGCGCGTGCAGCTCGTGGTCCGCGAGACCACCAGCCGCATCACGTGCCACGCGCTGGAGCTGCACGTGTTCGACGCGAGCGTCTCCGTGGCCGGGCGCGCGGCCCCCATCAAGTGCAGCGAGATCCGCTACCTGGCCGAGGACCAGGCGGTCGAGCTGCTGCTGGACGAGCCGCTGGCCGCGGGCGCCGACGCGACGCTCGCGCTCACGGCGCACGGAGAGCTCAACGACAAGCTGCACGGCTTCTACCGCAGCGAGTACGACCACGAGCTGGCGGGCGAGACGCGCCTCATGGCCGTCACGCAGTTCGAGGCCTGCGACGCGCGCCGCGCCTTCGTGTGCTGGGACGAGCCGGCCATCAAGGCCAAGTTCGAGATCTCCATCGCCTGCGACGTGGAGCTCACGGCCATCTCGAACACGCACGTGGTGCAGACGCTCGTGCGCCCGCGCGCCAAGAACGCGCACGTGCGCGCGCTGTCCCGCCCCAAGGCGGCCACGCTGGAGAAGCTCTGGCGGTTCGCCGAGACCCCCATCATGTCCACGTACCTCGTGGGCATGATCGTAAGCGAGTTCGACTCGGTCTCGACCATCACGAAGGAGGGGGTGCTGGTGTCCGTGTACACGCCCGTGGGGCGCAGTGAGCGCGGCAAGTTCGCGCTCGAAGTGGGTGCCAAGGCGCTGTCGTTCTATACCGAGAGGTTCGGCATTCCGTACCCGCTCAAGAAGATGGACATGCTGGCCATTCCTGACTTTGCCGCCGGTGCCATGGAGAACTGGGGGGTTGTGACGTACCGCGAGACGAGGCTGTTGATCGACGAGCAGCTGAGCAGCTTCGGGCAGAAGATGGCCACGGCGCGCACCGTGTGCCACGAGATCGCCCATCAGTGGTTCGGCAACCTGGTGACCATGGAGTGGTGGACGGGGCTGTGGCTCAACGAGGGCTTCGCGCGCTTCATGGAGTTCGAGGCCGTGCACCACGTCTTCCCCGAGTGGAACGTGTGGGAGGTCTTTGTCCAGGACATTACCATGAGTGTGGCCATGGGCAAGGACTGCATGCTCACGTCCCATCCAATTGAAGTGAAGGTGAACCACCCCGACGAGGTGGACCAGATCTTCGACGTGATCTCGTACGCTAAGGGTGCCAGTGTCATCCGCATGTTGTCCGAGTACCTTGGCCGGGATGTGTTTTATCGCGGCATTCACGAGTATTTGGTCAAGTTCAGCTACCGCAACGCACGGACGCAAGATCTGTGGGAGGCGCTGGAGCAAGCTTCCGGCCAGCACATTACATCGCTGGCGAGTGGATGGACCAGTCAGACCGGGTACCCGATGGTAACGTTGTCGGACGATGGCAGCCTCACGCAGGAGCGCTTCCTGGCGGATCAAACGCTAAAGGCGGCTGCTTCGGAGAGTGTTTCATGGGATGTCCCCATTACCTTCATCGCGTCCGATAAGCCCAAGGAGATCCAGCGTGTGGGCATTTGGGAGCGCAACTCGACCTCGGATGCACTAGCGGCCAAGCTTCGTGCACCATCGAGCGGATGGATCAAGCTCAACGCTGGCCAAGCCGGGTTCTTCCTCGTGAAGTACTCTCCTGACGGATGGAAGCGTCTGCAGCAGCCTGTGCGTGAGAAGACGCTGGGGGCAGTGGACCGCATGAGCCTCTTGAACAGCATCTTCTCGTTTGCTCGCAGCGGTGAGCTGCCGGTGTCTAGCGCTCTGGACTTTAGTTTCGCGTACGCGGAGGAACCGGAGCACTTGTGCTGGAAGGAAATTTCGTCCAACCTGCGCTTCTACAGCACGCTCTACAGCGCCGACGCGTTCTACCCGAAGCTGCAGGCCTACATCCGTCAGTTGTTCTCGAAGATCATGCAGCGTTTGACGTGGCAGGCTGCGGAGGGCGAGAGCTCGACCGTGGCTCCGTTCCGTCGCGACGTAATCAGCATGCTTGCTTTGGGCGACGACCCCGAAGTGATCGCCGAGTCCCAGCGTCTGTTCCAGGCGTACTTCGAAGACAGCTCGGCGCTGTCGGCGGACCTGCGCGGCGTGGTCTTCAACGCACAAGCTCGTCGCGGCGATGCCTCGCACCTGAGGCTTCTGCGGGAGAGGTACGAGTCCAGCAATTTCATCGAGGAGAAGCTGGACTGCCTCACGGCTCTCGGCCTGTTCAAGTCTCTGGAGCTTAAGCGCGAGGTGATCACGTGGGGCCTCAAGACCGTGCGCTCGCAGGACATCCAATACGTCTTTAGCAGCGTGGCAGCGGATGCGCCTGGCGCCGAGTTCGCGTGGAAGTACGTGCAAGAGCACTGGGCGGAGCTGAACGAGCAGTACCGTCCGCTGATCGTTGGGCGCATTGTCATGTCGGTGGCGTCGCGCTTCCAGAGCGACGCTCATGCGCAAGAGGTGGAGACGTTCCTGGAGACGCGCAAGCACTCGTCGTACACGCGGCTGCTGGACGCGGCGCTGGAGCGGATTCGTGTCAAGAGCGCCTGCTACCAGCGCAGCCGAGATGACCTGGCCAAGTGGCTCGAGTCGATTTAAAGAGGAACGTGACCTACGCAGGTAATACGCCGATATCCGACATGTATTAAAGTGCGCGCGGCTAACACTTCCAATGCATGTAGCGGCTTTTAAATGAATGTTAACGGTGGCATCGCCGTCATGTCATAACAGAATGGTCGTCTCGTTCAGGACTCGCAAGCTGGATTTTCCGCGCATCAGCAGCATGGCCGAAGACAGGATGTGCGAAGGTGACGATTTTAGGCGATCGCTGCATGAAGGCAGCATCGCCGCAGTTAAGTCTTCCTTCACGCGATCCCGTCCTCATCGATCGATGGGATGCATGCAGAGCCATTTGCAAATCGAATCGAGTCTACGATACACATGTGACCCGAGATCCCGTTGCGTTCTTGGGATTGGAACCTGCCTATCCTGCTCTATCGTTGTGAGCCACACTTCGTAGCCTTTCTCTGGAGGGCATTTCATCCATTTCCAGACCGAACCTCCAGCTCCCAACCAACGCCATGCGTTGGACTTTCGTCGTAGTGGCGGCTGTAGCCACCCTTTTGGCAGGGAGAGATGCCGCCTCAGCCGCAGCGGTGGACCCCAAACTCTCGACTGTGAACACCGCCAACGCCCCTGACGTGGCTCGCGAGCTCAACCTCGACCTAGACAATAAGTTGGAGGTCGTCTCAACCTGGCTGTCTTGCTGCGCGCAGCTCGGAGTTTGTGCCGCCGTGTTCACGCTGGCCGCGAAACTTACATACTCCAAGAAGTAAGAAAGAAATAACTTTGAGGTACTTCAAGTTTTTAGTGCAAGAAAGTATTTCGCAAATAGTTCTTGTTTGAAAACCTGATACTCTTTGCCGTCGTCAATCACCATGCTTCTCCTATATGATGGTGATGAGGTTTATTGGACAACTGGGTAACTTCCGAGTCTACTGCCGTGGTTTTACCCTTGGCCGATTCTCACTACTTACGTCTTCGTTTGCTGTTCTTCGGGGTCTACCAGCAGAACCTGCGCGTCTCCCCTTCTATTAGACCATTCCACGAGGCCTTCTTGCAGAAGCTGCGGCATTCTGGGGAATGCCAAGTTGAGGTACTCTGGTGTTGATTCCAGCGTCTGCCCAGACTCCACCGCCGCAGTTGCCAGACTACACGAACCCTGGTTTGCCGCTTTGGAGGTTTGCATCCATGACCCAACTCGGACCTTGTCAGCCATGTGTCTGCATTTCAGAAACCAACCCCATAGCCGAGCAGCCTGGGGAGGAGTACGAGTATTCAGCGTCCTTATCACGAGATCATTATCTCCGGCAACGTGAATTCCTTTGACTCCTAGTCTGTCAGCTGGACAGAGGAGATGAAAAAGTACACGAAACTCGCTAGGTTGAATGTACACTTTGGGGAAGGGAAGGCTAGACTGCTGTGCGGGTCGGCACAAAGTATTCCACCGCCGCCTCCAATTCTGGGAGAACCTCTAGCGCACCCATGGACGAATCCCAGGACCGGGGGCCGCCTCACCAGCGTTGATGTTGGCAGCTGGAGCGCATTCTTCAGTAGCTCTCCATGGATGAATTTTGTGACTTGCCACTGTGCATACGTTTCCCGTGTCAAAGGCGCGTCCATAGTAACTTGCGTATAGCTACGTCGCAGTATTGCTTTTAGCTGAGAGAGAAGGAGGTGCTCGTGGTTGTCTCTGAGTACAAGACAGTTCTCGGAACCGCCAGATAAAGCTGATTACACTGGCAACACCTGCTCTCCAATACGAATTCGCGACTTCAAAAGAGAAGCTAGTCGCGTCTCGGTCAAATCGATGTTTAGCACATCTTTCGACGTGGGCTCTAATTCGTTCCGGCGGCAACCTGAGTTTCAGGAAAAAAATCTCAGTTTCCGTTCCAAATTCACGTCCTCCATGTGCAGACCTCCAGCCTTCAAGAAAACTACCCCAGGCCAGCTTCGCGACTGGGCACGACCAGAAAATGTGGCTGGGTGTATTTGCTAACCCTGTGCAGATTTCGTGGGGGCAGGCCATAGAATCAGAAGCCTTATTCCACCCTCCACAGCGGTGGAGTTTTAATCTATGCAGGACCTGCTGCTCATACGTGGTTGTTCCGATAATGTGACGAATTTGATCCCACGTCGTGTTGTTTAACGCAGTTCCAATGACCGCATCTTCTGCAACCAGCTTTTCTTGGGCCCGCGTCAGGGCTAGCCTCCCTTGCTCTGCTCGTGTGGCTGCTATCTTCTTCTTGTATTGTTTGGTTGTTTGTCTCCATCTCCGTTTTCCTGTCCAAGTTGGCAACATCCTCGTGATCCACTTATGAGGAGTACAAATTGTGCGGTGAGGCTGGCTGCCGATGGCCTTGGCAATCGCGCCTTCTAAACAGTGCTGCCCAATCGGGATGGGGTTTGTATCACTGCGCGGAACGAGTGCAGTTCCCGGCTTGTGCGTGAGCACAAACTTCCAGCACCCTTTTGCATCATGTTTGACGTGCATGCCTTGAGACGGGGTTGGCGCTCGAAGCAATCCTGGGAATGCCGAGAGTAGCGACAACGCTAGCTCGCGAAACTGCGTCGCTTGCCTGGATGCCATTGGGTATTGAAACTTGGCTGAGCGCCATTCCACTACTCCAGGTTTGATCCATCTGGGTGTAGCTATTGTCGCGAGTCGCCCTGGAAGGGACGGCTGCCGCTGCGAGAACGAAGTAGGACGGTACGGACAGGAAAGGAACGGTATGAAATAAAACAGAGTCAAATGCAAAGATTCAACTTGTTGTTTCCACGGCAAATTCACGACTGACCAACCTACCCGGCACGGAGCACTGCGCCCCGCGCTCTCCCTTGCTTCTCTTCAACTTGAGCGTCGACACACCGCCGCTCCCGAACCCATGGTCACCTCCTTTCACCCCTCCGCCCTTGGCTCACGTCAAGGCTCACGCCCCGAGCCACGCAGCGCTCGTGACCTCCACCCTGTCCCCTCACGTCACCGCCTACTCGCGGAACACGCCACTGCTTCCATCACGACTCTTCGTCCCCGCAACTGGCCCGCCGCCAGCTAATCCTTGCTAAAGTCCGATGACTGCTCAGTCAGCTCATCCTCGAACAGCTGATCCTCAAGTAGTAGTCTACGCGCTGATTGACAGGCTGCCGGAGGACGGCCGCGACCGTACCCGAGACGGTGACCACCGTTCCCACTCGGGACATCCTCCCCGACTGAGACTCGACGTCCTCGTCGAGCGTCCTCTTCCTCCTTGTCCGCCTTCATCTTCGCGCGCAGGGCACGCTGCTCCGCCCTCAGCCCACTCAGAGTACGCACAGGCTTCGGTTTCCCGACGCACCCGTCCGAACGCCAAAAGGCTTCACTCAGACGCTCGGCTTGCTGCAATTCTTCGATGTCGCGGAGCCGGTCGGCGTAGCTCTCCTCCGCCATCTTCGCAGGCGAACGCACTCCCGACGCCGCCTCGTAGCACTTCAGCAAGTGGCTGGCGACCCCAGTCGTTGCCACCACGCAGCTCCACTGCATCACGACTGCATCAGGGCTCAACCCACCGTCGGCTGTCAGCCCACCGTCCGCCAATATGTAGTTCAGAGTCAGGAGTAGCACGCCCACACCCACCGCTCCTTGGCACGCTTTCTCGACCAAGTCATACACGTAGATGACAGTGTAGAATACGGCGTACGTTGCTAGCGTTAGGAACGCCCACAGTACCCGGCCTACGCAGCAGGCACGATCGACCGAGCGCCGACACTCGGCCCTCGATCCGCGCCAGTATTTCACGGTAGACTCGCCACCCAGCTCGAGTACGTCGGGCAGGAACACACACCACAGTGCGTGGTAAGCATCCAGCCACTTGTACAGTAGCCGGCCTAAGCCATCCTTGTGTTCGCCTCGGGGCTCGAGCACCACCATGGGCGTGGCCCAGATTGCCTCAAACCCCTTCCACCGACGCTCCGCGGGCGGTCTGCCTCGTACGGACGGACCGTTCACGAAGCGACGGTACCGTCTTACGCATACCTTCAACAGAGTCAGCCACTTGAATGCAAAGCCGAACACGGCCCCGATCAATCGCCCTGCAATGCTCCGCAAGGGCCTCGTGATCACGCCGCCACAGCACCAATCAACACCAGCAATACGGCCGGCCAGTGGTTGCGCAGCACCCACCACACAATCTTCCAGACGAACAGGGAGTGCCACAGGCACTACACGACAACATCCGTCACGGTTTCCATGTCCGTCAAGGAGACGAAAGCGAAATGCCCTCGCCTCGGTTCGCTCCTCACGGTTGTCCACAGCACTCCATGTTCACAACCATCCTCGTAAGTGTCCAACCGTAACGGGTAACCCACCGTCGCAAGTCTCGTCAATCAATTTAGTCAATCACTCGACCGTCTCACGTCAACCGTGCCTCCCCCATTTCCAGGAAGGGAAACCCGCAGCCAAACGTCCCAACTGCCAGGTCGGAACGCATCAGCAGAGGCCGCGGCAACTCGCAGTCTCGCCCTTATTCCAGCTTTCGCCGAGAAGAGAACAATACCCCCAAGAAGCCTCAGCCACCACCTTCCGCCATGGCCAAGTCGCGGGACGTCAACAAGGAGGCCGTCATGCGACGGCTGCGCGCACGCCTCGATCGCCGGTCCCGGGGCGCGGACGCTGAAGCCGATGCCCAGCTCCGTGCCCAAGTGGGCTTCTACGTCCGCCTGCGCGCCGCGCTCTTCGCCAACAGCGGCTCCACGAACGTGGACGCCGTGGACACCGTCGCGCTCGCCGTACTGGCCGACGACGCGTTGCTTCCCCGCGAGTTGCCCGCGACCGTGACCCTGCTGCCTCTGCCCGACGCGTTGCGGGTCGTAGCTGCTCCCGCGCACGACCTGTTCACCGTCCCTGCGGCTTCAGCACGCTCGTCCACCAAGCGTCCGACCACCCGCAGTGCGTCCAAGGTGCCACCGTCCAAGAAACAGCGCAAGTCCAATGCCCAGGACCAGGACGACGACGAAGCAGACGGCGAGGAGGACGACAACGAGGACGACGGCACGGAGACCTACACGTTTTCCTTGCCTGACAAGTGTCCCGCCGCCATCCGCCGCGACATTAACAAGATCGTCAAGCAGGCGGACGCGCAGGGAAAGACTCCGCCTCGCATGTCGTACACGTGGGTTGGCCAGCGTGCGTGGTACGACCCGCAGGAGCACCCCGCGCTTCACGTGGCGCATTGGCGCTTCTGGATGCACTGGCGCGATGCCTTCTTTGCCTGCGCGCTGTACGCGCCCTCTGACGAGTGCACGGCTCACCGCAAGAAGAAGTCGAACGCCGGCCTGGCGCGACTCGTGTTCGTCAGCCTGAACATCATCGAGTTCGGCTTCTACGGGTATCTCGACCTCTTCGAGAACCGTTCCCACGACAACCTGATGTGGCTCGGAGGCAAGGCCGCCCACCGGTCGACGGCAGCCAAGGCGAACGCGAAGTCCTCCTCGGACGCGACCGTGGCCACGGACCTCGCCACGCTGTACCGCCACGAGCGCGGTCGTTACGACGCCATCATCGCGCGCGCACTTGACCCGTTCCGCGTGGATGAGGACGGTTACCAGTCCATCTCCGAGCTGCTCGAGCAGACGAAGGCGCTGGACCCGACCAAGCCTCCCCACCTCCGACTCAGCGAGGAGGCCCTCGCGCGCGTCGTCATCGACGTCACCGGCGGCGACCCGCCCAACCCGTCTTGGGTCGGCAACAAGAGCACCGGGACTTGGAAGCTCCTGCTGGGGAACGACCGTATCCGAGCCCTCGCCAAGAAGCTCGCGCCCCTCGCGAAGAAGGGCAAGCAACCGTTCCCGCCCCAGAAGGCGTACGACGAAGCCAAGGAGCAGCGCGACGACTACTCCGACTTCGCGGACGACGAGAACATGTTCACGGAATTGCCCCCGACGTCGCACTCGGACGAGGAAGACGACGGCGAGCCCGAGGAGCTCAGCGAGAAGCTGCCCGAAGCCGAAGTCGACCAGGACCAAGAAGACGACGAAGAAGACGAGCAGGCCGACCAAGAAGACGAAGAGGAGCACAGCTCGGGCGCCAACGAGCCCACGGACGACGACAAGAAGAGCAGCGCGGGCGACGAGGCCGATGACTCGGCGGCCAAGAAGAAGCGCGCCGCCTCCTCGGCGACACCCAAGTCCAAGTAAGCTCGCAGTCGTCTTTTAGGGACGCGTCACTAGTCGTTCATGTTTCTTTCTCCAAATCTGCTAGCGTCTCTCCAATTAATCAATTCAAATTCAAAACACGTAATTCCATTTCCACCGATCCGTTCTCGAGTTCCAAGTGACCGTACCATCACCGTACGCGACCGCCCCTAGGATCACGAACAACACCCTCTCCGACACTACTAAGCCATGAGCAGGTCTTCGTCCTCCACTTCAGCGTTAGCCTCTTCCAAACGGGAACTCCTCCGTAGCTCCGGCAGACGCCGTTTCCTCCGTTCGGCTTGCTCAAAAGCCGTCACTAGGTCGCTGTACTCGGGCATTAACTCGGCCCGAGGGATCCAGTGACTCTCGGAATTACCATATACTTCACCGCACGGTCGACCACTTGTTTTGCAACAATCTCCAGAAGCGGCGAAGTAACCCCCGTGAGGGCCGTATCCCCGCGACCAATGGTCACCCGTTCCGTGAAACTGGATGCCGGCAAATCTGCTTCCTCGAGCGGACCGTCTTCGACTTCTTCACCGTCCTCCACAATACCTTCCGGTACTTCGTCCATGTAGGGCCGAGTCCACCGGCCACGGAACTTCTTCAACCGGTTGGCGTTCACCGTGACGATCTTGTCCGGGTGCGACGGTATGTCGATCCGATAGGCGTTCTCGCCAACTCGACCAACGACACGGTATGGACCATGCCAAGCGAAGGCCAACTTTTTCGTCCGCGCCTCGTCCCTCTTCTTCCTGAAGAGCTGGTAGACCCAGACAGGGTCACCAATATCGTACTGCACAGCCACGCGATCGCCCAGTCGCTGCTCATGTCGGTCCTGCGCCTTCAGGAGCTGCCTCTCGACCAGGCGACGTGAGTCACGCAAGGCACGGTAGAGCTCGCGACGGTACGCTGCCACTTCATTGCTCTTCCACTTCTTGCCCAGGTTCAGGAACGCGACGTCCAGCGGCAACACGGGATCGCGTCCGTAGAGAGAAAAGAAGGGCGAGTCGCCCAACGCTTCATGGTAGGACGGTCTGTAGGCGAACAACACCCTCGGCAAATGTAGATCCCAATCCGTCTGAGCCTCACTCACGTGCATTTTCAGCATGCCCATGAGCGTCCCATTGAAGCGCTCAACCAGTCCTTGAGTCTGCGGATGGTACGCTGAACCGTACAGCTTTTTAATCCTCAGCGTCTGGTAGGAGGACTTCGCAATCTCCGACGTGAAGTTTCGTCCATTGTCGCTTAGCAATCGTGACGGCACACCGTGCCGCGCCACCACTCCGTTCACCATCACCTCCACGAAAGTCACCGAATCCAGGCGGATCACCGCAAAAGCCTCAGCCCATCTCGTAAAGTAGTCGACAAACACAAGGATATACTTGTTCCCTCTCTCCGTCATGGGTAACGGACCCACAGCGTCCACCACCAGCATCGAGAACGGTCCTGAGAGATCCGCCGCCGGCATTCGCTGCATCTGGCCGGCCTGCCACGGTCTCGACCACTTCCCACTGCCACATCGTGTACACTCGCGGACATACTCCGTGACGTCCTTCCTCCAGCCAGGCCAGAAAGCGTGCCTTCTCACTTTCTCGAGCGTCTTGGTCAGACCCAAGTGCGAGGATAGCACGTCAGCGTGACAGTAGTGTAGAACGGTTTCCACGTATGGTACAGGCACTACCGGGACGGTCAAGGACCGAGCAGGTCCGACCCGAGCTGGCAAGTGCACCTTCCTCATCAGTAAACCGTTCTGCACCACGTATCGGGACCGCATCTTCACAATCGTAGACCGGAGGAACGGATCCAAGGGCAGGGCTCCGTCCAGCAGAAACGCCACCAGCGCCTTCACCCACGGAACCTCTTGCTGCGCTTGTACGAACTGGTCAAAGTCGAGACCGAACCGGTCCACAGGTGTCAGAGGGGCACTTCCCGCAGGAGCGCCACTCACGGCTTCATTAGGCTGGTCAGGACACTCGTCGTCGACATGACCATCGGCACGCTTGCCACCTATACCAGGACCGTCGCCGGCCCCCGCTTGCTCCCCGACTGAAGTAAGAGGCACGTCCTCGACCGTGCCTTCCGGGTTCAGCAAGTCACGCATCGAGAGAGCCGCCAACGTGTCCGTAGGTAGTCTAGATAGGCCGTCCACGTGTCCCATGGAGGTACCAGGCTTGTGATGCACCTTAAACTGCAAATTAGAGAGTTCCATTGCCCACCGAGCCAGCTTAGTGTTAGTAGTACGGTTACCAGGACTAAACACCCACGTCAGCGCTTGGTGATCCGTGTACAAGTCGAACTCCCGCTTGTCGAGATAACATCGGAACTTCCTGGTCGCCCAGACGACCCCCCAACACTCGATCTCGGAGATGCCGTCCTGCTTCGAGATCCAGTTCTTCTGAGACCCGGTCAACAACTTGCTCGCATACGCCACCACACGGTTACGACCGCCCACTTCCTGCATGAGACACGCTTCAACCGCGTACCGTGACGAGTCAACGTACAACTTGAACCGCTTCTTACCGTCCGGATAGACTAGGATAGGAGGTTTCAAGAAGGCCCTCTTCAGTTGACGAAAAGCACCTTCACAGTCCTCGCTCCACTCGAACGGAGCGTCCTTGACCTTCAAGCGTTCCAGGGGCGCTGAAATAGAAGCGTACCCCGGAATGTAGCGACGGAAGTAGCTGGTCAATCCAAGGAACGACCGTATGCCGTGCACGTCCACAGGCCTCTTCACGTTCAGGACCGCTTTTACCTTCTCGGGATTGGGTAGGATACCCGTAGGCGTGACAATATGACCCAAAAAGGCAACTTGACTTCTTCCCCAATGGCACTTTTTCATCTTGAGCTTGAAGCCCGCTTGCTGGAAGCGAGTCAGCACTTGACGAACACGCACCAGGTGCATAGGGGAATCCTTGCTGAAAATCACGCAGTCGTCGAGATAGACCAGGCAGATAGGCCACTTTAGATCCATTAGCACGGTCTCCATCAACCGCTGGAACGCTGGGACAGCGTTACAGAGTCCAAATGGCATCCCTAGCCACTCGTACAGACCGTACTTGCATGTGAACGCCGTCTTGGACACGCTGTCCGGGTGCATGGGCACGTTCCAGTAGCCCGAGGCGATATCGATCGTCGAGAACAGCTGCGCGTCCCCCAGCACATCCAAGATGTCATCAATTAGCGGCATGGGATAGCAGTCCTTCACCGTGACCGAATTTAACTTACGGTAATCGATGCAGAACCGTATCCCACCGTCCGGCTTCCGCATGATCAGGACCGGGCTCGCCCACGGACTGTTCGAAGGACGGATCAAATTCAACTCCATGTACTGTTGGATCTCTGCCTCCATAATCTCTCCTTCAGCCAACGAGACACGGTACGGTGCCTGCTTGATCGGCGCGCTGTTGCCGGTGTCAATCTCGAACTGTAGCAGGTCCGTACGTCCCGGCTTCTTCGAGGACTCCATGAACATCGAGCGGAAGCCGTCCAGCTCAGTCTGGAAAAGCTCCTTCTGCCCGGAGGACAGCTTGGACTCGGAGAAGTCGGCCTTCATGCCGTCCGACTTGTCGGGCGGAATGTCGGGCTTCGAGGCCTTCACCTTCTCGCCGGCGCCCTCCTCACGCTTTTCCGACACGGACATCGCACTCGCCCCGCCCGACTCATCGCTTTCAGCGGGCACCGTTCCACCAGGCGCCGTCGTTGCCGGCTCGAAAGCAGACTTGGGGATCACGGACGTGCTCGCAACGACCGTCCCCTTCCGAATCCAGTATTCGTCCGTGGAAGCATTGCACACCTCAACGATCACTCGGCCGTCCTCCAGCGTACACAGCGTTTGAGCTACGCACAGCGTAGGCGGCAGGCCCAGCGAGCCTTCGACCAGCACAATGGCCTTATCGGCCACGTTCCCCACCACTCGAGTCCTCACAAGAGCTTGTCCTCGAGGAGGGAGCCGCACCGAAGTCGCCATCGTCACCATGTGGGACTCTTGCACCATCGTAAAGCCCAGAGGCAGCACCTCGCCGGAGCTCTTTTGTGTCAGGGAGCGCTCCGCCACGTCAATCACGGCGCCGAACGCGCCCAAAGCGTCCACTCCCAGAATCGCGTTGACATGCAGCTTGTCGGCCACCAACACGCTCAGCGAAATCTCCACCGACCCAAGCCGGAACGACAAGCTGATCCAGCCACGGATCCGAAGCTTGTGTCTCGACGAGCTCCTGACCAGACCTTCGTAAGGTTCCAACGACTCCGAAGACCGTCCCAGACGCTTCAGCACGCAACGGCCGACGAGACTTAGGGTAGAGCCAGTGTCGGCCAACATTTGAGACGGTAAACAGTCAATATAACCACTTGAAAGTGCCTCAAAGTTGCCAACCGCGCACACCACCCTTCGACCGTCTTCCGCAACACCGTGCACACCGTCTTCTGCGTCATCATCATCATAGCCTCCGAAACCATTCGGTAGGTTCACCGTGACAACGTCCACCAGGCTAGTCTTTGGCAGACGCGTCCGAGCGGGACGTTCACATCTCACCACCTCGACGTAGTGCGAAGCGTCCTCGTCACGCTCAGGGAAAAGCTCCAAGTCGTCGATCACCTCGGCATACGGCTTGTAAAGCGACGAAAAATCAAACGTGACCGCCTTGCCAGGGCGACGGCGACGGCGACGTCTAGCACTCGGCGTCTTAGACCGCCCCGTACGGGCCCACAGCTCCAACCAAATCCTTCGAGAGTTGTTGTCGTAGTAGGTCCTCATCCAGGAACATGAGCGCTCACCAGATCGAGCCGTCACGCTCATCAACTCCTTGACACGGTCGACGTGCTTCAGGAGCAGCTCCTTATCGTACTCAGGAACCTTGTCACGCAGCGGAGGGACTTCCACCGTCCCCTCTTCTCCATCGGGCGGTTTCCGCACCTCACGCTCCCGGCCTCCATATTTTCTAGCCTCCTTCAAGAAGCGGAACACAGCTTGCCTTGCCACCGCATGCGCGACCTTCGGGTCCACGCCTCGCACTTCACTCAAGATAGGCACCGCTTTGGTCACCGCAAAAGTCCCCCCAGGATCGTCCGGCGGACGCACGACGTTCCCGGCCACTACAGACTCGACGGCCACCAGCATCTCCGCCGTAACACTCGAGACGTCACTTGGCGGCACGGTCTCCAAACCTCTCGCGACGCCGGCAGCCGGAGGCGCCCCCTTCGGGTCGGCGACGGCCTCGGACGGCGAGCCGTATACTACGCTAACCACGGGGCTCCGGAAGTCGAGGTTCGCACGCTTGATCTCCTCTGACTTGTCGAGCATGTCCTCAAACCAGCCCTGCCAGTACTCGGGCGAACCGTGCAAGTCAGAGGACGCCTGACGCGTCCGTTCCACCACCTCCAGCGAGATCCCGAGGATGCGAGCCAACTCCTCCGACGCCGGCTCGGCTTGAGCCTCAGCATTCCTAGCGACACGTTTCAGGAGGTCCACCTCGTCCAGCGGGTACAGTCGGTCCTCGAGCTCCTTGTCATACTCTTCGAGCTCGGGGACGACGTCCGCACCGGCGAGGACGGAAGCCTCCTGGCCCGGTTCACCGTTCTCCATCGCCGTGAGCTCATCGTCCGAGAACAGACGGTCGTTACCAGAGACGGTTGTCACCTCCGGCGGGACCGCACCGTCCTCAGCAGCAGTCTCTGCAAGTACGTCTTCTCACTCCGTCCAGGCCGAGAACAAGCAGTCCGATAAGTCGTATCCTTCGTCATCTAGGGCATACGGTGGCGGCGCGTCGGCGAACGGCGTCGGCACCTCCTCCGCACTCACGTCCTCGGGATCCATTAGCGACGCGACCTTCGGCAACTCGTCCGGGTCCTTCTTTTCGCTCGGCAACTCGGGCGCGTTCTCCTCGGTCGGTTCGGCCTTCACCTCGGTCGGCTCGGCCTCCTCTACTCCACCGGTCTTCAAGTCGGCCGCCAAGGCGACCAGCTCTCCCACCGCGACGGTCGTGTCGGCGGCGGCCGCCAAGATGGCCAAGTCCTCGTAGATCGTCCCGTATTCCGAGTCGCCGACCTTCACCGCGAGATCCTCTCCTTCATCATCCGTACTAACCACAATAAACTCACCTTTCTTTTTCTCGTTTTTGTCCTTGTTTTCTCCATACGAAACTTCATCCAGGGCTGGTACCGTTCCGTTCGGCTCCGCCAATACACTCATGCATACATCCACCTTCGAGACCGTCTCCTCCACTTCGTCACGGTCACGATCCTCACCCTCCGAGTCATCCAATAGACAAGAGGAAGGAGTGACTCTCTCCTCCCCTTCCTCCCGCCCTCATCATTGAGGCGGAGACGTCTGCGCAGCTTCTCGCAGACTCACGGCCAGACCTCGGAGCGCCGCCACTTCGGGGCACCCAGCAAACGAGTGACCGTCCTCCTTGCAAAACCCGCACTTCACTGGCCCTCGGCCACCGTTCCTGGCCACGGGAGCCTGACCACTGGTCCGGCCGCGACTGGGTCCGTCCTCGCATTCCACGGTGATGTGTCCAAGTTCTCCACACAGGTTGCATATCATCACTTGTCGTCGACAAGTCTCGCGTGAATGGCCCACATAGCCACACCGTCCGCACACGGGCGCTCCTTCTTACGTCTGTGAATCAGCACCCATACGAATCCCTCGCGGTCGACCGTTCCCAGGTGGAGCGTTCCCGCCCGAACCCGGACTCGAAGTCGTGGCCGACACATTCGGCACGCGATTCCTTGGCGAGCGCGGCGGCTGCCACTGGTTCCGCACCATCTGCTGCTGCCACTGCTGCTGCTGGGTCATGAACGTGGTCATCGTCTCCGCGAGCTTGTCCAGCTTCGTCAAGGTCTCGGAAGCGGCCACCGTCGCCGTCGCCAGGCTCGAGGCCGAGCCCGCCACCTTCTTGTCTTCGAGGAACCCGTCTACTTCTTCTATGGGACGGGACATTTCCTTGGCCAGCAGCCACTCACAAGCTTCGGGAATGTCTCGTGCCGGGCCCGAGTCGAGCGTGGCGAGCATATGCTTGTTGCGCAGCCAGCGTCGGAACAACTGGTACCTCATCTGCGGGTTCGGATAGTCCATCGAGTCGCAGAGGTCGGAGACGCGATCGCCCCACTCCTCCACGGACTCACCACGTTCACGCTTCGTAGTCTGTAGCCGTTCGCACAGCTCATCAGCCGTTCTGCTCAGGAATTGGTTGTGGAACCGTACTTTTAGCGTAGCGAAAGTCTTAATGGTAGAATTGTTCCACCACCGTTCCGCAGGCCTCCCTTTGAGCTTCTGGCGAAACACCAGCAACCGTGACTGATCAGGCAGGTGGGCCGTGTGAGCTTCGAACAGCTCCCAGAAGTCACGAGCCTTCTCCATCGTCGCCGTGTCCGAGTAGAACACCGGCAATACCTTCATCACGTTGGACACCTTTGACGACATGTCGTACGCGCTGCGAGCCGGGGACCACATAGTCGATGCGCGGTTCGGTCCACCGAGGTTCACAGGGGTCGAATGTTTCTTGGCCGCAGGCGCCGCGCCCGGGGTCGGAGTCTTGGCAAGAGTCACCGTCTTGCTCGACTCCGCCTTGACTAGCTGTTTGACTTTCGGCTCAGTCTTCACGACCGTGCCCCACCCACCGTAGGCGCCAGGCTGCGCCCCAACACTCCAACCGTACGTGGGCGGGTTCGGCAACGGCCTCTCCGTCCCAGTTTACACCGCAATGAACCCGCTCGGGCTACGAGAGGGCACTTCCTCAGGTTCTTCCTTCACGTAGGACCTGTAGAACGGCCGCGAATGCGCCGTCTCGATCGGCACAGGATCGTCGTAGCCGAAACCACTCGAATAGTAGAGCACGGGCCTCGAGAGCAAACTCCTCGAATCTTCGGAGTCACCATCCCGTTGCTCCCCGGGGCCGGACAACGCCCTCTTCTCCTCGGGCCCCAGCTCCGCGTGAGCACCGTCTTCTTCACACTCCTCATCAGCGTCCTTGAACTCATCTTCTTCTTCATCAGCCCAGAGATCTCCCATCATCTCTTGGCGCAGGGACTTACGACCGGCCGCGCTCGTCACCTTGGCCATCGTGCTCGTCCCGCTCCCGTCACCGGGTGGCGCCGGCGTCGACGCCGTTCCACCAGTTTCCCCCGCCTTGCGAAGCCGTTCAGCCTCCAGGCGCGCCACTTCTTCTTGCACGATCCGCTGCTCCGCGGACCCCTCACCTTCTCCAACTCCAGACATCTTCTTCAAACTTCAAACTTCAAGTTGCAGGGCTCCGAGCGAGCCGTAGACCAATGTCAGAGGCTCCGAGCGAGCCAGCGACCAATTCCAGGGGCTCCGAGCGAGCCGTAGACCAACTTCAGGGGCACCGAGCGTGCCGTAGACCAATTCCAGGGGCACCAAGCGTGCCGTAGACCAATTCCAGAGGCACCGAGTGTGCCGTTCTTCACTTCACTTCCAGACAAGACCGTTCCACAAGTCTTACGCGGATGCCGAGACTTCTTGAAGATCCCAGGGACGAGCTGTCGATCGCGTTTCCAACGCGCTGCTGTCACCTCGCAAAGACCAACGAATCCCGACGCCCGACTTGACCAGACTGTGCTCACCACTTCCAAGACCACGTGCTGTTTATCTCCATTCTCCACGTACACTGCCGTATCATCGGCGTATCCAGCCATTTTTAACTTCGTGACACCATCTACGCCCTGCAGGGAAATACCTTCAAACTCAGGACAGGCCTCTAACATATCGTACAGAACATCGAGAGTAATGATGAAAAGGAGAGGGGCCAGGGGACATCCCTGCCTTATTCCGCTCGTAACTTGAATAGGCTTAGAGGGGTATCCATTGGCCAGGAACGTTGGTGTGGAGCTGCTTCAGCATGGTCAGCATTTTGGGCGGGCACCCTATCGCTTCCAGCACTGCAAACATGAATTCCCTGTCAATTAAGTCGTAGGCCTTTTCAAAATCAAGCAGCAGAGCTTGGGCAGTGCTTCGAGGGTCTCTGGAACGCTCCGACGCCTTTGCTGCCTCCAGTAAGTCAATTGCAGTATGAATTATGCGCCCCGGTACAAAGCCACACTGGTTTGGGTGGACCAGTTCCGCGACGCATGACCTCATACGCTGTGTGTAAATTTTCATGAGTACCTTGTAGTCACTATTTAGAAGCGATATCGGCCGGAAGTCAAGCGGGTGTGTTGCCTGCGGCTTTTTCGCGATGCTGAATATGTAGGCCTCAGTGAACGAAGTGGGGAACACTCCTGATTGAAACCACATATTGACAAAACGGGTCATAATGGGTCAATTTCATCCTCAAAGTCTCGGTAGAACGAGTTTCCCAGCCTGTCCGGCCCCGCTGCCTTGCCACGCTTGCATCGCTTGAGCGCTTCTCGAACCTCGAACTCCATCATTTCGTCATCCAGCCACCCCATGTCAATCCGGCTCCAGTTCTGCCGTACTTCATCAATCAGCTCAGCTGGTTTGCAGCCTATCGCAGCCCCTCCATTAAGAATTGGCCTCCAATTTTCGGCCAGTATGTCCGCCTCTGCGGGCTTACCATGTGTAGTGCCCGCCACTCCTGGGTCCAGTATTGGAATCGTATTATCTCTATATTTCGTCGAAACCCTTGCAAAGAAGCTTTTGTCATTCGAGGCCGAGCGTTTTTACTTTGTTGTCGCCGTATATCTCTGAAGCGCCTGCGAGTGTCGTTCGCATACTCTTCTCGGGATACTTGGCTATAGAAATCATGCATACTTAAGTAGTCTTATTTTTGAAATAAATAGAATGGTCGGGATTCTCCTGAACTCCACCACGCGAATTATCCTTGTCACGGGGTACGGAGCTGGTCTGCTGTGGGTACCTGCGCATCACGCCGACTTCGTTGCGCAGGCCTGTGTTGGCCTGTAGGCCTCTAGCGTAGCGGAGGGGGGCTCCCTCTTAGTAGAAGGAATCCGTCTCCGCTTTGGCCCTGTTGGACCTCTTCTCGTTCTGCTTCACTGGGCCTTGTTAGCACGTAATTTCCAACGGCAGAAACTCCGTTCCAGGTCGACTCCTTCAGAATCCTGCCGCACAACATCCTGACGCTCTCCTCCTGATAGAGTTTCACTCTATTGAAAAGGTATAGCTCACACTGGTCGTCGAGTAGCCATCCCAGTGTTGCCAGGGCAACGAGGTGAAGCACGCACCATTCCATTTTGCTGATATCATCGGGTTTCGCCCGAGACACGGCATCCCGTTCTTTCTTGCACAGTCGTTTCCACCTGTCTAGGGCTCCCGCTAGCTTCAGCTGTGTAATTTCACTTCCAGAGCTCGTCGCGCGTAACCACTCCTCACAGAGGCGTCTAGTCGAAGTCGAGCATCTCGCCTGTAACATAGTTTTTGTAATTTGCGCTCGTTGTAGCCTGATAACCTCCTGGCGCCCCCAATCAATCAGCTCGGTTCGAGGCCACGCTGAGAGCACAAGCGCAGGAGATGGGAGGCTCCCCATGAGAATTCGGGTAGCTTCTGTGTTTCCGGCCAGAGCTGCCGCAAGGCGACCAATTGAACCGACCGATTGAATGTCAGGTGGGAACGCCTGAGGCATTGGTTGCTTCCCCCGCCAAACATCATATGCAGATTGATTCAGCGCCGCTTGTTCCGGTCCAAGCTCATCTATTTGTCCTCGCGTCTCCGAGGGTGCCATGTTGTAGCTGCAGTCGCCGACTTCCTCCCCCAGGCGTTTGGCGCATCTTGTAGCTAGGCGGGCTACTTCAGCTTCATCCATCGGAGCGAAGGAACACGTTCGAAAGCCAAGCCCTGTGACGACTTTGTTCCGAGCGTCTCCCAGCTTGACCGCACTTTTCGTTTCTTGTGCATGAGTCTGTGGTGGATACGTCCCTGCTGAGAAGTGCCCCCCGGACTTAGAGTAGTTGAGAACCACTGTCACCGGCGGTACCTTGGCTTTCCACAGAGCAAGAAAGAGTTCTGTTGCGCTGTCGTTTGTAAGCATGGTACGGACGGACCCAACCAATCAAAGGCGTTGTGAGATCGACAGGTCGCTTCATCTCTGCGCTCAGTTTGACAGTAATCTCCAGCATCACCGCTGCGTGGCTTGTCGGCAGTTGCTCCCCATCCACCAGCCAGGCATACGCCTCAGCAACCGAGATCTCCCGAAGCTCAATAGCCGCATCTAGGCGTGCGATCATTAAGGCGTTTTATAAGCACTCGCTCGTGTACTCTGTTCAGGCGTTAGCTTGAAGTGTACGCCTCCTGAGTTGGTGAACGCAGCGAACCAGGCCATCCAGCCGCATTGCCCGTTGCCGTCAACCGCGGTAATCGCCCCACCAAGTACTTCTAGCCAGTGGCTCACCGTGAAACTTGCTATTGGGACACCGTTGGGGGACGTGGCAGCCACGGGAGTACCTTGTATTGTGGAGACCTCGTCGTCTGAAGACTCCACCTGCATTTCGTCGTTTTGAATCAGCGTACTTTGATTCGGTGTTTGGGCAGGCTCACCTGCATCCCCCACCCCCTCGATGCCGAAGCAGTCGTGTCTAGACGCTTGAATAAAGCTTTTCTGCTTGGAGGCGGGCTTTTCCGCCGGTGGAGACGTGCTTTCCGATCCGTTTTCTGACGACTTGGCTTCTTGCATCACCTCGTCCTCCTCTTGGGCTCCCTTGCTCGATGTGAAGCGCTGAAGTTTCATCGCTCTTTTGGTGGAGAGAGCCTCCGCGACAATTCTTGAGAGATTTTGAGGCGACCCACCTCACCCTCAGAGCTTGGCGGTTTGGCTGCTTCGGCTTTCGTCTGCTTATCCTCTTCACATGGAGGAATCGTCTGATGAATCGAAGCCTCCCGTGCTCTCTTGGACTTTGCTGTCGCCTCTGTCCCTGGTAAAGCGGTGCCACTCGCAACGTTCATATTTGACGTAGCTTCCGCCTGGAAAGAGAGAGGAGTAAGAGGGGTCCAGCTCTTCTTCATCTCTTGCTCAGCTCCACAAGCTTGCTCCACATCCATGTCACACGAGTCTTCGCTCTCCTCTTGTTTAGACTCGTCCGAGACCGCGCGCGTATTAAGTGAGCCCCCCATCGTTGTCTCCGTTGCTGCTTGGCAGGTGTTCTTTCTTCTCGCCATGAGAAAGTCGGCCATCGATCGCAACGGTACAGTTGGTTTAAAGCGCGCGATCTTGTTAATGGGACCCACACTAGCAGCGGCGATGTCCAGCGTGAGCTTGTCTCTGCTCAGTATGGCTTCATCATCAGATTTCGTGCAAGACGAATGGCCGTGCCCAAACGCCCTACATGATGTACATGGAGGAGCTACAAACACCGTGTGGTGAAAAATAGCAAGTTCGACGTCAAGCCATTTCCAGTGTGTGTGCTTCAGCGCTACTGGCCAGGTTGGTACCGTGAGCTGCACTCTCCAGACTCGACAGTCGACACTCCCTCTGGGACGACCAATCCGCTGGCAATTGTGCACGGGGACTTTCATCACCTCTGCTAGGACGTGGTAGATGTCTTCATGTGAGATCTCACGATGGAGGACCAGGATCGTGAGCTCGTAGCTGTCAAGTCTGACTAGTGGGTGCAGGCCATGCTCATCAGTTGTTTTCCTCATCGCGATGTAGTCTATCAGCTTGACACGCCCTGTACCCATTGGCACACACCAGCTCGCCCATCGCTGGGCTGCCTTCTTTCCCGAGAACGAGAAAGTGAGCAATCGCTGTGATTCCGTGTAGACCACCGTGGTGATGGAGTCGATAAATTCGGCTGCCTGAGCGACGAGATCAGCATCTGCATCTTTTCCGGGGGTCATTAGTTCGATCAATCGTTTGTGAAAACAGTCTTCATGCAGGAAGTGTAAATGCGCAAAGATAGTGTAGACAGATTGGCACTCGAATACACTCTCAAAAGCGGCGAGGTCGGCTTGATTTAGGACGTTGATGAGGAAGTGCGGGACCGTGGGTACTTCCAGATCGCCAGACAGGATCATATCTAACGCACGGCTCTCTTTTGCCGTAAGTGGCCGGGGTCCCGTCGTCGCAGCCGTAGGTGTTGTACAGATGGAGTAAAGCTCCTCCATCTCTGCAGTCAGACTGGGAGGCACATCGGATGAGAAGATGTCCCCACCAGCTCCATTTAGTGCATCCTTGTAAGAGCGCCTCTCGTCACTCCGAGCCTCGTTAGGCTCTGCTCCATTGCAGCGCTCTTGCGACGGCCCAGCTGCCACAAAGTCAAAAGCCATGAGTCTTTGCTCAACTTCTCGTTGGGGGAGGCCCTTATTCACAATCCAATCTTTGAGCTCCACCATGAGAATAGTGGCTTCATCACTTTGTTGCAGGTTCCACTGGCGATGGTAACCCCCATAATTCTTCGGCACGCGGGTGGATATTTCCCACTCAGCCCTAAGGCGATCACGGTCGTATGGCGTGGCTGCACCATGGTGGAACGCGAAGGCTTCAAAGCGGCGTGTACACGCCTTATCCCTGAGCCGAAGTGCTGTATCTATCACCATTTCCATAGGAGCTTGGCCGCTAAGATAGTTCTTGAGCATCTTGAAGTCATTCCACCCGTTGGCAGCTGATGTCGAGGGGCTGGATTTCATTTGCGAGTGCGCTTGGGTCCGGTTGATGTTCACCGATCTCTCACCGTGCGGCTTCGGAGAACGCTTTTTGGCCGCCTTAGCGGGGACGGTCAGGCGATCTTGGGAGCCCTTTTAGGGTGACGGTTGGGGTAACTGACGACAGTATTCCAGCCATGAGCAGCTGTAGCTCTTGGCGCGGCCGACGTTGCGCGATCCGGGGTCGATGCTCGAGTGGGATCACCAGGACCTTGGCCAGGGGCGTGACCACTCATGCCAGCGGGACACTCAGCAGGCACTGGCGCCTGGTCTTGTAAGTAGGGACGCGCGATGCAGCACACCTTCCTAGTGCTGCGGTCTCGTCTTGGAAAGAAGGCTGCGAGGAGTCGGCTCGACGCGGCTGTTCGGAAAGTATGTGCTTCTCCTATAGCTCAGTTGGTAGAGCGTGCGGCTGTTAACCGTGTTTGAAAACCACGCTTGCTGTTTTTGCTGGTTCTATCTGCTAGAAGCAAGTATCGTCCAATGGTTCAGTAGCAGTGTAGATGTCATCCATTTTCTGGGAGGTAGGTAGAGTAAGCTAGCTACTTACATGTATCAGGAAGCCCAACAGGGAGTAACTTGAAGACAACTTTCATGCAACATGATGATGTGGTAGACAAAATATTCGCCTACAAGTACGTCATGAAAAATGAGCATCGAGTTGAATGGCGCGCGCCGATCATTGTCTGATCGCGTTCCTGTAAGTGCACATAATTATTGTGGTAATTCATTCATGTTTATTAATGTGCACGTTGTCTTTAACGTTTCGTATTCAATATGTGTAGCTGATGGATTCCCCTTGAGCTGACGGCATGAAGCTCAGCAATTAGCCGAGCTACTAATGCAATGTTGGGGATGCAACCAGTCATTTTTGAATTCGTCGTGCACAACAAGGGTGCACTGCGTTAGGCTGGGAGGACTACTTTGAATTCCAAAAAGTCTGCTCGGTTGTATCTAACGTTAGCTCGATTTTACCAACTCGAGTACAACTATATGGAACACTTTGAAGAAACTAATAGATGTCTTCTTTGGCTACGAAGTAGACAAGTTTTGTGCTAATACTTCGCCTACTGAGTGGTCGAGTGTATTGGCGCCACTCAAAGCTAAGCCAAATCCAAAACAACAACCATCAATACATGCACTAGCAGTACCAAACAGTGGTTACGTACTATGTTCACATGCAAGTAGCAAATGAGGGGCATAGCCCCTCATTTGCAGCACCTACCATCATTTTTCTTAGGGAAATTTCAGGAAGGTGACTCAATATTAAATTTTGTGCAAAAGGTGATAGAAGGATTTGTGTCGAGAGCACATATTTCAGGTTCAGCAGCATTTGCTAGGGCATTGGGCCACGAAATTGTTGCCTCCAGCGGCGACATGGGGAGTAAGGCATCCAAGCCGTCGGTGATCCTTTATGCAGTGTGGGCAGTGTCGCTTAAGCGACACAGAAGGCGACCGTACTTCACCAGAACAACTATCAGCAGAGGGCGATGCCTACACCGGCACCGCCTTCGCGTTTACCCAGTCCTATACTGACACAATTGGTGCATTCAGCGACGTGCATGGCATTCAGGTGCTGGCCGCTATCGGTGGCCAAATGCACTTGGCACAAAGCCTTGTATCACCGTTTGCACAAAATTTCATTTTGAGTCATATTCCGGAATTTTCCTTTTTTATATGGAGCCAACTATCTACTGCCGCCGAAGCTGCCTACTGGACAGATTTTATAGTTTGTAGGCCAAGAGCTAAGGACGTAAGCGTTTGCAGCGCCGACCACCATTTTTTATATGGAGCCAATGATCTACACCTTTTCAACTTCAAAATGACAAAAAGAAAATTCAATATGTCAAAATGTAAAATCAAAACGACAATACTTTGAAAACCGATACTTAAACCTGTTTGTAATAGTGGGATATATAGAAATACAGAGTGTCGACTATCTATTGGCTGACAGTGAGCTGTATCAGCCGATCGTGCTCGTATAAGATTGTGAGACGGTCCTATCTCTATTCGTGACAGTTTGAACTTACGTTTTGTCATTTTGAACTAGCAATTTGCCATTTTGAAGTTGAAAAGGTGTAATGCCAGCGAGGCTGCCCGAGATCCAGGCGGACATGTTTAATTTGTAGGCCAAGAGCTCAGCTGCATGGACGTAAGACATCCTCAGTTATCCGTCTGTAACTAGGAACTATGCAATACAGTGTAGTTGTAGGCTGATTGGTCATCCTGCATTCTCTTGTCGCTAACGCTGTCCTCATTTCATTGTCAATTGGCTTTGTGTGGTACCGTATTTCGCATGTAGAGCAGTACACCCCATGCTTCAAGGGGTAGGTACCCTTGCAGAGTTGATGCTTCAGCCCAAACTTTATTTTTAGAATCATTTTCCGACAAATGGATCCATTCCAAATGCTGGTGACGAGCGTCGCTGCGAGCCTCGCAGTGCGAGTGCGGGCGCCATGGTTGTGAACGCCATGTCGGAAGAGTACACTAAGCCTTGGCAAGACGCGCGCGCTGCTAGTCCCTTGTTGGCAGCATAAGACGCCCCATTCCATTGGCGAATATCGCAAGAGCTCTTGACGGTAGAGTGCTTGGCGAAGCTCAGAGCATTATATAGTACAGTAGCCTCCGGGAACGCACCCGTATCCAGCACCAAAGGCGGGTGCGCGGGTGCGCTCACTTGGTAGGATTCAGTCCACAGTGTCTTCCGCACCAGACTCAACATGCGGCTAGTACTGCTGGTGATGCCGGCGCGGAGGGCGTTCGTGTGGCGCGGCGATGCTGGTGCCACACTAACGCATACGCGCCGGAGCCATAATTTTGAAAAATATATGTCAGTATTCTGAAGTAATGACATGTATCTCTCAACATGCGATTCGCATGCTTCAGCATTCTGAGCACTGATTGGCGTAGGATAGGGTGTATTTCTCAAGTGGCGGTATTGGTCTACGTGTGAAATACGGTACCTATATTTGTGTAGGTATGGTGTGCGATTGTGTGAGTATGGTGTAGCGAGATGTTGTTTAAATGTTGCCTGAGGTTCAAGCAACTTTCTTTCGACGAATTAATCTGTGTGAGGCTGTCCATACAGCTCTTCTAGCTGTCCTCCCAGGATAATTATTTTATCAACGACTTCGTGATCGAAACGTTCCACGTTTTGATTAGCTTGTTCACGCATGGTGCCACGTAGTGGAGAAATTTTGAATGGTGCGTTCGTGCACATCTAACACGTCTGTATACTTGCTGGTCAGTGTAATTTTGATCGTTACCGATTAGAACAAAATGTTGAATCGGATGCAAAACTTCTTGAACAATAACATGGATCTCGATGAAACTCCTCGTTCTTGAAGACATTTAATAATTCTAGGATAGCAGTAAAGCTGGTACAACCGATTATTTGAAGCCGATCAGATGAAGCCTCCCGTTGAAGTTAACATTATAAGTAATATAATATAGTGGAATCAGATATTTAGATACTTAAATGGATAAATCCGATCCGATGGTTTGTTTAAGTTCTCGGGTCAGAATCTCTCAATTCCAACAAGAATCCCCCAAGAAGCGGTTCATTCTCGAAGTTGCAGTTGCAGGCTTTCTTGCTGTTTCGATTGCGCACTATGGACGTTGGAACGCACAAGGAGTTGAAGGCGATGGACCATGCTGTTCTGCCTGGCGAGCATGGCCATTGGCGCAGGTTGCAGGTGCTGCAGTCGCCGCTGTGGCTTTGCCAGCGCTCGCTATTCTGCAGACCGATCCCATTTCCACATCAAGGCCCGTGCTGTGCTGCAGAAGCAGAAGCTCTTCATCTTTTCGTACGTTATCGCCCTGCCCTTCATCGGTAAGAGATCAGAACTATCCATATCTTTTTGGTAAATATGGAGCTAATATTTTGTCGTAGTGTAATACCTTCGAGATACGTCGACGGAGTAGCAGGCGATGATCTTGGCCACAATCGCCAGGATTCCCCAAAAAAAGAAGAGCACGACGGTGTGTAGCAGTCGAGAAATACTCGATACCCGGGCCTTATCACAGCGTTAACGCCTTGTTGTTGCATTTACTTGCATTTGCAGCTACGCAGAAGAAGCAGTCCTCGCACTTTCAATCGAGAAGGTAGTACATGTATTTGGTAATAGTACTGTGACTGCATGCTTACTACGCAATGCTCCATACAATTGACTTTATAGTGGTCTTGTCGAGGGTACAGGTCACTGTTTTTAACCCCTTCAACCCGAAGGATTTTGAGGGTGAGATAAGCTGTATATACAGCATAATTTTATCTAGAAGTTTGTATACTCGAGGGTTGCGGCGGGAAGGCGGAGAAAAAGGCGGTGACGCAGACACTACGTAAAACTATTCCTACGCTGTATTGGATGTACTACCGTCGGTATATACAGCGCCATTAAGCTGTATAAGCATGTACTCGCACTACTCTTGCACAACGATACCCGCATGTTCAGTACAGAACACGAGGCTCAAACTCTAAAAGCTGCATCTATGCTGATATTTTTTTTGATAATATGAGCGCAGACGATGCGACAGGGGGCAATACTGAAATCAAGTAGCTCCAATTGATGTACGGATACAATCAAATGAAGCGTACCTCTAACCTGCATACAAAACTCAAATGAAACAAATCAATACAGTAAGTTTCAACAAGCAATCATTGAACACCAGCTTGTCTTCCCCCCGGCTACACGCCGCTACAAATGAGCAATCAAAAACTACTTATGAACGTGCGCAGCCTCACACGCCCCCCCTCGCTTACGCTTCCACTCTCTCAATCACTCGAGTCGCCCGACGAAGCACGGCGGTGCTTCTTGGCTGGGGACTTGCGCAGCCGGATCTTGTTCTGTAGGTGGTCAGGAATGGCGGTGCCGTTCTTGTATGTGGTGTGCCAGATCTCCCAGCAGCTCATCAGGACACCGTCGATGGTCATCTTCGGCTTCATGCACAGGTACACTTGCTGAGAGTCGACGCAAGCCTCGCAGTAATACGTCGTGGTCCCGCCTCGCTTCCCATCCGTACGCATCAAAGAACAGATCTTGCAGTTTCGCTGCACTCGCTTCGACTGCCCCGAGTGCGTTCTCCATTCGTCAATCTGCTTCGGTAAGTGCTGGGTACATGAAGTACGTTCCGCTCTGCTCGCAGAAGCGGCAGTGCCGCAGTAGACACTGGAGAAGCAGACGAGTCTAGCCATCATGTATATACAGGTTAGCGTGGGTAATGAAAAACATAATATACAGCTCAGGAAAAATGAAGACTTACCCGCTCCGAACATGTTGTCTTCGTACATGTCCTCGCTCTTCAAGTGAATCAGCTCCAGGTGCAGCTTGCGAATGTACTGCACGTGCGTCAGTGGTCGTGCGCCCTTGCTCGCATGATACGCGTTGAACAATGTATCCGTTGACGATTACGAGGTCTACCAGCCCTAGAAATAGAGACTTGTAGTATTTCCGGAAGGTAACCGCACGTTGCAGGGAGTAGCGCTGGAGGCGGAGTTGATCATGGACATCAACTCCACCCATGTAGTTGTGGTAGTCCTTCACTGCCTTCGGGCACGGCACTTCGTGCTGCTCCCCCGTCTTCTCGCGGCGCACTACGCGATCCATGGAGAGATCACTCCCCGTGCACAAGAAGAAGACGGGCTTGCTGTCCCACCAGGTGATTGACGCCATCTCCTTGACCTTCGTCGATTGCAGGTATTTGTACGTGACACGCATAATCTCCTTCGGCCGAGTTTTCTTCTTCTCTTTGATACTTGCTGCGAACCCGATGCGGTTCGTCATGATCGTTCCTATCGTGTAGAAGCCCATCAGCAGGAGCTGGATAGCGAGGACCACAGTTGTGTAGAATCGATCTGTCACGACGAGCCGGAAGCCTTTGTCTTGGCCGTTCGGGAAAGCAGCTTTCAGGTTGCGTACAACTGCAGCAGATCCCGACTTATTGTCAATCGACTTGGAGTCGGAAATGTGTTGCTTCTTGCCCACGTAGACTTCAAACCTGTGTTATACAGCATAGAATACAGCATAGCATGTTCATAAGATGTATTATACAACCTAGCCAACTTAGTCAAACCAAAAGAAGCACGTCCATACCTGATGCAGTACGCGGAATGAGCGCAGCAAAGCATGAAAAGCTTTGTGCCCCACTTACATGGCTTGTCCATCATGTAGACGCGGGTAGTGTTGAACGACGAGCGTGATGGAAGTATTGTTTCATCAAACGCTACGTGGTCGGGGGGATGTAGCCTCGTCGGAATGTCCGCTGCAGCACGTGAACTACTTTGCGGATTTTCCACGCTCTGTCAGTCTGATCGAGATTACTGGAGAAGTGCAAGTTGCGCGAAATCTCCATGAATCTATCGCGTTTCATGTAGTTGGTAAAGACTCCTCGGGCAATACCACCTTCATCAGCCTGCTTCCAGTGGTTAGAGACCTTCTCACGGTTTGGCTGGATGGCCCGCGCCAACAGTAGGCCGATGAAGACGCACAATTCGTGTGGCATGACTGGCTTGACGGCCATCAAACTCATGCGCACATCACTCCTCGTCCGAATTGGCGTTTCTTCGTCAGGTCTGCGGCGTAGCATCTTTTCGCGTCGCTCAATGTACGCCTCCACTCGCGATTCAAGCTGTTCATGCTTGTAGTTGTTACAGCAAACGGCAATATGCTGCCATAGAGCCACGGGCATGAAGAAGAAGAAAAGAGCAAGAGGTGAATCTTTGCACTTCATTGCTTCTGGCGTGGGGCCAAACGGTTGATACCTCAAGTCTGGGTAGCTATTTTCGTCATCAACAGGCTCGTACGGGCTTGGAGGTGCTCGTACACGTCCGGGTTGATCGGCTCGGACCATCCTGATGTGGCGTGTGCTCGTAGATTCTCCAGGTCCTTGCCCACAATGTCACCAGCCAGCACCTTCTCAGCTCCACCCAGCGACTCGAGAAACTTCTCTGCAAAATGGCGTTCGGAAATAGCTGCAAGGGAGTTGGGGTCTTCATCTTCAACTTCGTCTTCCTCCGCTGGGTCGTTGCAGCCGCGTTCTTCAACATCCGATTCATCTTCATCGACGAAATCGTCTTCCATAGGCTCATCACCGGAATCAAGGCCGCCGAAGTCGTCTGGGTCGTCGTCGTCTTCGACCTGGTTCAGGTCATCTTCTGAATCACTTGACATTACACTGCAGACTGTAGCACAGGTAATACAGCACATCATATACAGTGTAAGTATAGGCAATACAATACAGCACATCAATACAGCATAAGCTTACCCTCAGACTGATCGGCGGCTGCATCGTAATCGCTGTCTGCGGTGTTGTCCACAGCGCCATTTTCCTCGTCCAATGAGCCAAACAGAGAAGTGTCGGGAGGTGAAGCATCCGCGGAGCGTCTTGGTCGAAGTACTCTGGAGTCGACGGCACCAAGTGATACTCAGCTTCTTCTGCGTCGTCATCGCCGCTATCCAAGCTAGCACGACCTGTTGACACATGAAATGGATGATGAGCACATGAAATGGATAATGAGCACAAACGTTGATACCAGATACAATACACAAACTTACCCCGCGGACATTTCGCAGGTGCACTTCGCTGTCATGGGGCTGGAGTTCCTTGGCTTGCCGCCGCCGACGCAAGAGTCGTCAAAGCAGGGCTTGCCGCATCGCTTGCCGCATCCGGAGGCGGAGTCGCTGTTTCGCCCGCAGTGTCCGGAAGCGAAGTCGCCGCTTGACCTGCTGTTTCGCGGGGAGGTGACGCCTGTGGGACTGGCACACATGCACCATCAACTTGGCAGTCTTCTTCTGGAGCTGCAGCATCACCAGCGTTAACCCATTAGTTAGATAACCGTCCACTATGATAACACAATCTTGTCAGCATACCTTTTGCAACGGATAATGCACTCAGCGCTTGAGCGCCTTCCTTCGAATGGACTGTTAGCAGAATCAAACAGTGTGTTAGACTGATACGCCAGACAATAGTCAAAATAGATTACATACCACGGGCGTAGTGGGCGAGAACGCGGTCCTCGCCCAAGAAGTAGTCCTTGCATCTGTGCCAGCCGCGCTCCCGCCTGGTGGGATGAATTTCCACCGTGTCTCGATCGAGCTAGCGGGGGGCAGTTTGTGTGTCCACCCACTCGCTTTTAGCTCCCTCCAGATGGCCTTCCACGTCGTTGTCTCGCCACGCAGAAGACAGGCCGTGCGTCGCTTCTCGCGGGCTCCTGCCATTTGAGCTCTTGGCCGCTGATTTCGAAAGTGAGACTCAAAAAGATGACCACTCAGCACGAAGCCTGCAAGAATTAATTGTTGGTGTAGCATTTGTGTATAGTACCCTGGTAATTAATATTCCAAAAACTTGAACGCATGCATCTATGCGCACAGTGGACAGAAACACTGATTTCACATGACTTAGTCTTTGTATAGCCAGTGATAGAGGCAGGCTCACAAAGAGTTCCGAGCATACAAATTCCAAGTATAACAATTTCTTATGCTGTATTTATACGCTTAGATTTGAAATTTATCCTATCTGGATGATTTGCTAACACATCTTACACAGCGCGCCGGGTTGAAGGGGTTAAGAAAGTAATTCATGCGTGTATAGTATTATTTCGGAGTATTTTCTGTGAGTGTGCAGTTGGCCAGAGTATTTGGCATGCGCGTTAGAAGTAACCTATGGCATATTATTTACTCCGTAACGTTAGGATTAACAGCAAAACGGATACGGGTATGTTAGCTCCTGCTCGTTCAACAAAGCTTTCCTCCTTGGTCCTGCGTGCGAACTGGGGCTAAATCGCGACGTGTATTCTTTGACACTATATGAAGCTGACTTTAGCTCTGTCCGAGAGTTGGACAAGAGATGTGCCCCAAAATGAGAAGGCTCAGATTAGTGTCATCGGAGTATCGAGGCGGTTCTTGCCCCACTAACCTTCCTGGAAGCGATGCAGGTCACCGACTCCTTGCACAGCCTGTGTATATCTTGAACGTGTCGGACGCCCATCGACCATGGAATTGGGTTGTTAGGGCGTCGATGCCTCTGCGTTGCCCCTCCCGAGCGGAAGGAGTGTGTATTGACCGCACGGGGATTCTCTCCATCCCGGCTTGCCGCGGCCTGGATAATGCTGGCAATGCGCCGTGAAGAGACGACCTGAGCTGAACCTGAGCTTGTCGGATACACTGCCACCGGTAAGTACATAGGAAATCCACTCCAGGCTCGGAGGAGGAGTAGAGCCCCTAGCACTGGGCAAAGGAACTTGTGACCGGACTTTAGTAGCATTCGGGATGTGGATTGCCCGGTCTGGTTGGTCTTTGACCCTCGCAGCTTGATGTGGACGGATTTGGCTCTTGATGCACTCAGGGTGGCTTGCCCCGCATCGTCGAGGACATCCACATCCATCGCTTTCAGGGCGAACCAGCGGAACTTGCCCCCATCGATGGCTGCTATTTCTGATCGCCGGAGGAGGAAGAAGAAGGACAGGCACATCACCCCCATGCCGCTTGGTCCGAAAAGGTATGAATGTTGAGTGCTGCGAAGCATTGTTCGAGAAGCTAGATCGACACGGGAGCGTTCTGGTCAAGTGGGCTGTCGAGGCGGCGAATGCCTTTTAGGAGCATGCGAATCTGTGCGTGATCCAAAGGGAATGGTCGACCACGAGCTAGGAAGAAGTGTCGGATCCCGATTAGGGTGTTCAGGATAGATGAACTTTGAAAGGGGCGTCCCAAGCCATATCCTTGGCAAAATCCCAACATGATGAAATCGGAGATGTAGTGTAGTTGAGAGCTGAGTGGGACCTCGTCAAACCAGGGGTTTACTGTAATGGGCCTACTTCGGCTCACTACTTTAGCATACACGTGCGCGCACGGGTGTGAGGAAACGTAGCGTAGTTTAAACTAGAGTTAATTAAACTCGGGCCTCCGAGTATTGATTAATCTAAATAAACGATCCAAATAGTGTTTTGGGTTTAAAATGAGAACTGCTATTTTTGTTTTATGTTTCTGACTTCCTCTAAATGTAATATTCTAAGTTAGGAATCTGCCAACCAGCCGTTGGCAGAATTCCAATGCTATGTATGTCGCTCATTGGCTAAAAGATGCTGCTCTCAGCCAATAGGAATCCTAAGTCTCTATGGACCACCCGTCGTGGTGGTCGTAAATGTATGTAGCCATTGGTGTGTCTACACCAAGGTCGAGAAAGCCTTTCGAACCTCTAACAGACGTCGTATCTGTTAGAGTAACAAGTGACTGTAGCCACTTGTGCGTGTAACCCTGTTACACCATCCCCCCCTCAAGGTTAGACGCGCCGAGCCACGGCACGTCAATCAGGAAATCGACCATTCGTCAATTCTTCACGTTGGGAGAAAGAAAACTTGAGCTCATTCCGCAATGAGCTCGTCGAAGAAGACCGACACAGCAGCAGAGGGGAAGCCCTCCGCCGGGATAGTGTGGAGAAGTGCTGAATAAGAATTGATATCCGAGACAGGCGGCAGGGCCGATCGACTGGAAGTATGGGGGATCAGCGATCGAGAGACAGGCAGCGAAGATCTATGGATCAGAGGGAGTTCTTCGGGGGATCTCAAGTGGCCCGATGACGCCGGTGCGTAAGGCAGGACATGCGGCAAGCTGGATTGTTGATGATCGCGTTCGAACCGTGGTGTGATTCGAGGCTGACCCAAGTCCCGATCGACAACAGGACGGCTGAGGACGGAAGATGATGGATCGGCGGCGGACGGCAACCGGCACAAGTCGTCAATCGAGAGGTGATCGCAGATCGGGAGTCGATCGTGGATCGGGAGCCGATTGTGGGATGATCGTGGATCGGGGATCGACCGCGATGGGATGCACATGGAGGACGAAGTCAGGACAAAAATCCAGTGGTTGTTTAGTTGTAGGATGATAGCGGTAGAGAGACACCAGCTAAACATAAATTAGAGCAGAATTTGCACCGAAGACCACAAGTTCCATCGAGTCACCAAGTTCCAGGAACTCGGCAGCGTCGACGCGTTGGGAGGTGAACTACCGGTACGGTTAAGACTGGATTAATACATTGGCCAGCTTGACCCACTCTAGTGATCTATCTCTTGTGTGCAAGTCCTCGATCGACCGGATATCAGTGCTTGGCCGGCGATCGTTCCTCCTCTCGATCAACCTCGATCCCGCTATAAGAAGCGGCAAGCAACTCAGGAAAGGAAGGGACACACCCGGAAAGGCAACTACAGGCCTTGGATCAACTCCAGGCCGACCGACCGCAGCGAACAACCCTCGATCGGAACGTATACTCGGACGCAGAGTGAAGACTACTGCGCTGCTCCACAAACTATCACCGCGTCACGCCAAGACACTCGACCTTCACCAAGCGCTGCATCTTCGAGCCCCGAGAGAGCAGATCCAGCCCGCCGACGGGTACACAAGGAGAGAACAAGTTCAGCCGATCACGGATCGTTGAGGGACCCCCTCCGTTAGTCGGTGTCTGGGCGCTGGTGGGAAGCTCGATCAGGCCTTAACCAGATTTTGGCCGATCCCGCTACACCACAATAGAGACTCTCTCTATCCCCGAGTACCGCGAGCGTCACAAAACAAAGCGTGACGCTCTTGCTGCCAAGGCTGCGGCGGGGACATCCCAGCCGGAGATTGTCCTCGAAGGTTCCTCTGTAGTCAACGACGCCGTTGACTTCGAGGACGGCGACGTGGAGATGGAAGAGGGCGAGGCCTCTTCTAGCAAGCGCAAGGAGTCTATTGACAGCGATAGTCTCGACCAGCATGCCGGGTCGAGACGCCCTCGTGAAGGAGACGACTCGGACGCTTTGAGCTCGAAGCGTTCGCGCGGCGAGAGCGACACTCCGCTCTCTGCTACTGGGGCTTTAAGCTCTCCACGTGGTGGGGCAAGTTCAAGCTCTCCGCGCGCTGCTCAGGCAGCGCGCGATCCGTGGATGCCGTCTGCGTCAGAGATCGCAGACCGTGTGGGCAACACTGCGCCTCCAAACGAAATCCCGCTGTACGTATGCAGCGGCATCCACGACGATGCTGTGGCGGAAGAGCAGCACTTTGCTCCAGCGCGTTCACGCGCTGGAGCAGAGGTTCGCTCCCGCTGGGGCTTCCGCTTCGGGACAGCCGAGCTAGGTGGCTCGTGCTGCCGGTATGGCTTCAGCTGCCCGACGTAAAAGGTCGGATGGAGGTGCATGCTAGATGGAATATCTAGCGTGTAGACGTTGCCATGCCTTGCCAACACCGTGAACGGCCCGATGAAGCGCGGAGCGAGCTTGCTCGCCCCGAAGTCGGAAACTGCATGTTTAGACAGGTTTTGAGTTGCTAACAAAACCAATGAACCCTTCTTGAATTCATTAGTGTTGCCCCTACCAACATTGTCTGCGTTCAGCTTCTGTCGACCGACAGAAGCTGCAATAGCGTCTTGGACAAACCGCATGACGGCTTGTCTGCGCTGCACGAAGTTAATTGCGTCCAAGCTGAACTCGTTCAGCTCGTTTCTATCAGTAGGCCCGGCCTCCGCGTTTGTCTCCGTGGTGTATGTGCCCTGCACAGACACGTTCTTCTTCTTCTTGCTTTTGTCGGCGTCTGTTCCCTGCACAGACGCGTTCTTCTTCTTCTTGCGCGTAGGCGCGGCTGACACTGTACAAGTGTCAGCGGCATTCTGCGGCTGCTGCGTTGCAGTCGTAGATCCTCCCCCACTTAAGGAAGGAGCCACCTTCCCGAGTAGACTCGGGAGGCGTGGGTGTCTGATGGCATTCACGTAGAACGGTGTATGTCCGGTCGAGGCATGCACCGGGTTGTTGATGGCGAGCTCCGCCATCGGCAGGCACTCGCTCCAGTGTTGGAACGAGTGAGCGTAGCTCTTAAGCACGTCTACGAGCACGCGGTTCACGCGCTCGGTCTGCCCGTCCGTCTGCGGATGGTCCGCAGTCGACATCGAAAGTTGACTCCCAAGAAGTGTAAACACTCCTTGCCAAAGGTGTGCAGTGAAGCGCGGGTCTCGATCCGACACAATGTCGATCAGCATGCTATGGTGTTTGAACACCATGTCAACGAACAGACGCGCCGTCTGTTTCGCAGTCACTTCAGCGGGTACCGCAGCAAGATGGTACATCTTGCTGAAGCGGTCAACAAAGCCCACAACGCCCGTGTTCCCCTGGCTGTCCGGGGGAAGACCGAACACGAAGTCCAAAGACATGGACTGCCAACACTCCCGTGGAGTTGGTAATGACTTCAAGGGAGCCTGCGCAAAAGGTGCAGGCTTCACACGTTGACAAACCTCGCAAGCACGGACGTACTTGCGCACCCATTTATACTGGTGGGCCCAGTAGAAGTCTCGCGTGAGAAGAAGGTATGTCTTCTCACGGCCCGGATGCCCCGCAGTCGGTGCATCGTGATACTCATACATGATCCTGAGTCGCAGGTCATGGTCATTGGGCACGACAACGCGGACCGCGTTGTCGTCGACTGCACTGTAGAGTAATAACCCGCCGTGCACCCGGTAACGGTGTGCACGAGCACAAAGATGCTTCGGCAGCTTCTGACGAGCTTTGTCAGAAGGCGCTGAGCCGTAGGCCAGCAAGAGCTTCGCGTCCGCGTCGTGCGCGTACGCGACCTTCGCGTCGTCCAACAGTAACGACGTTGGGGTGCTCGATCGCATGGCGTCAATGGCATCGACGTCGGCATCAGTCGTGGCGTAGTCAGGTCGATGCGAGAGCGCGTCGGCCACCATATTGAGTCTTCCGGGTTTGTACTCAACCCGGAAGTTATACTCTGCGAAGAATGAGAGCCATCTCGCCATCCGTTGCGAGGTGTGCGGCGGCTTCACAGCCGTTCGTAGCGACGCGTGGTCCGTATAGACCACGAACGGTTTGCTTCCGAGTAGATACACTCGGAACTTCGCGAGTGCGTACTTCATGGCAAGGAGCTCCTTGTCATGTACCGGGTAGTTGCGCTCAGCTGGCTTCAGCTGACGCGATTGGTAGTAGACGACACGATCACGACCCTCGTGATCGGGCTGCATCAACGCACATCCGATTGCGAAGTCGGATGCGTCACACACAACGTGGAATGGGCGATCTTGGTCGGCCACCGCCAAGATCGGCGCCTCAGTCAATCCCCGCTTGACTGCATCGAAGGCCTGCTGACACTCAGCAGTCCAAACCCACTCGGCGTCCTTCTTCAGGAGCTGTGACAGCGGGCGTATCATGCCCGCGTAGTCCTTCACGTACTTGCGCAAGTACGTGGCCAAGCCAAGGAACTGCCGCAGTTCCTTGACGTTCGACGGTGTCGGCCACTCATTGATCACTCTGACCTTCTCAGGGTCAGGGCGGGCACTGTTCTTCCCGACGAGACACCCGAGCACGGGTATCTCACTCGCCCCGAAGATGCACTTCTTCAGGTTCGCATAGAGCTTGTGCTTGCGCATGAGCGCAAGCAGCTTTCGGAGATGCACCTTGTGCATCTCAACATCGCTCATCCCGTCCGCAGCCCGGCTGTGGACGAACACATCGTCGAAGTAGCTCGGTGCGAAGTCGCGCACCGAGCGCAACAAGTGCGTCACACACCTGTTGAAGGTCGCAGGGGCGTTCTTCAGACCCTGCGGCATCACTAGCCACTCCCAGAGCATGCCGCTCGGCGTGCTCACTGCCGTGAGAGGGATATCGCTCTCACGCATGAGGATCTGATAGAACCCATCGCGCAGATCGAGAGCACTGTAGATAGTGCTCCTGGCCATCGAATCGATGATAACATCTTTTCGAGGTATCGGCGTCTGCGCCGGTATCGTCGCATCGTTCAGCTTGTTATACGCATGAACGATGCGCCAGCCGCCCTGTGGTTTCTTGACACAGAACGTCGGAGCACTGTGCGGGGATTTCGATTCCCGCACTTGTCCAGCTTTGCGACGACTTTCGAAGAAGTCGTCGATCGCTTTGACCTGCTCTCGCGGCAGTGGCCACTGCCGCGTGACACACTACTTCGTGCCCGGCACGAGATCAATCTCGTGCTGGGTTCCCTTGTCCTGCGGAAGCTCCGCAGGAATCTCTTCCGGAAGTACGTCCGCGTACTCCCGTAAGATCTCGTAGTAGGGACTCGTTTTCAACGAGTCCCAGCTTTGCTCTTCAAAGCGCTCCTTCTTCGTCTTCGCACTGAGAGTGTCCTCGCTCTCAGTGGTGGTCTCCATGAAGAACTGCCTCAGTTCTTCATTCTCGCTCTTCGTTCTCTCGGCGTCCGAGAGAATGCATATTTGCTCGATGCGTCCATCGTGCAAGTCACGCGCGAAGCGTTTCCAGCTCATGACTGGAAGCGAAGTCAACTCCGACGCTTGCGTCGGAGGGTTAGCGAGAGTCATCTCCCTGTACCGGAACCCGGCACAGGTACGCGTCAAGACGTTCAACGTCTCGACGTCCGGCTTCTCAGCCTCCGTCTGCCCGGCAGACATTTTTTGTAGCGTCTCGGCCCCAGGCCGAGACTTGCGCAGCGACCTTCGCATGCGCCGTCTTCTTGTTTTGCGGAGCCCGGCTCCGCTTGGTTCTTGACCTCTTCCAGGCCCAGCCGTGGACGGGTGTTCTTCTTTAGTACCGCCGGCGAGGACGATAAAGGTCTCGACAAACTCTTGATCTTCATACGTGAAGCGCACGCGTACCATGCGCTTCTCGGTCTTCACGACGGCACCCGTTGCCACTCGTACTTCCAACATACTTCGAGGTATCTTTAAATCCTCGAAGTCAAGCCTCGATAGACTTCGCAGTCGAACAAAGTTCTTCGACGCGCCAGAATCTACCAAAGCACGGAGAGAGCCGCTTGCTCTCATCGAGTTCACATTCAGGATGACAAGGTCAGGCTTGTCATCTTGGTTCTTGCAGTGAGAATGAACCTCACTGGGGGCTGCAGTCCTCAGTGCCGCGTGTCCAAGGTCGACACGCGGAACTGCATTACCAGTAGGGCGCCCCGCACCTACTGGGTTCCAGCGTTTTTTGTTTGTCCGCGACGATGCCCGGCATCGCTGCGTCGACCACCATCTCGGTGCACGGGTGCCGTGCACTCTCGGGCATAGTGACCGATCCTTCCGCAACGGAAGCATCGTACATTACTTCCTTGTTGCTGTTGATAACCAACAGCCGTTGCATTCGAGAGGTCCATTGGTTCCGGACCTCCCGCTATCGCGACCGGAGGCGGTTGCAGGCTCGGCGCATTCGCATGTAGTTTAGCCTGCCGCAGGCTAAACTCCTCCTGCATCGCAAGAGTAATCGCAGCTTCGAGAGTACCTGGGTACTCACGGAAGAGATAGGACTTTACAGGCCCATCTCTCAGACCCTTCATGAACGTGACGACCTTGGTCGCCTCGTCTATCGGGTTGGTCACGATGTTCGAGACCAAGTACCGAGCTCTCTGCACGTAAGCATGGGCATCATGCTTGCCCTGCTGCAGGTCGAGGAACTCCGCCCTCGACCGGAACTCGTTTTGCGTTGGCTCAAACGCTTGTCTGAGCTCCTCCTTGAAACCGTCGTACGTGCTAAAGCACGTAGGATCCGAGAGTCGGCGTCCATACGCCCAACTTCTTGCACGTCCGCCAAGACATGACATGGCGAACGCGACCTTCGACAACGGGTCGACGATGCGTCGAGCCGCAATGGCAGTGTCGAGTTCGACAAGCCAACGGAGGAGAGGCTCGCCCTCTCTTCCAACGTAACTGCTCACGCTGAGCTTCAGCGATTGCGCGCGCGGTGTCGTCCCCGACGACACCGTGGTAGACGAAGCAGCATCTCGCTGCTCCCTCATGATGAATCCCAGAGCAACACCATGTTGCTCTGTCGGCGTTAGCGTACGCAGCATCGTAGCTACAGCCGCCTCACGAATGACTGTTGACAGTCGTTGGAGAGCTTCCCACTCTGGGTCCGACAGGTGGAGACAGTCAGCGCGTGCAACGTGAGTTGCAGGCGTTGTGGAGCTTTCCATGGACACCTCCGTATCCATGGGAAGGTTCTCAGCTCCGCGTTCGTGCGGTGACGTACGAACTCAGGTAGTCGGTCGTTGGACGGACTACAAAGTGCTACCAGGTGTAATGGGCCTACCTTGGCTCACTACTACGGCTTACACGTATGCGCACGTGTATGAGGAAGCGTAGGTTTCTTTTACTTGAGTTAAGTATACTCGAGATCAACGAGTATAC